CAGCAGCAGAGGTGGAGTAGCCTCTGGGTGGAGCAGGACAGGTCACAGCAGCAGAGGTGGAGTAGCCTCTGGGTGGAGCAGGACGGGTCACAGCAGCAGAGGTGGAGTAGCCTCTGGGTGGAGCAGGACGGGTCACAGCAGCAGAGGTGGAGTAGCCTCTGGGTGGAGCGGGACGGGTCACAGCAGCAGAGGTGGAGTAGCCTCTGGGTGGAGCAGGACGGGTCACAGCAGCAGAGGTGGAGTAGTCTCTGGGTGGAGCAGGACAGGTCACAGCAGCAGAGGTGGAGTAGCCTCTGGGTGGAGCAGGACGGGTCACAGCAGCAGAGGTGGAGTAGCCTCTGGGTGGAGCAGGACAGGTCACAGCAGCAGAGGTGGAGTAGTATATATAGTAGTATATATATATATATATAATATATATATATATTTATGTATATATACATACAATTTAAATATTACTCTATATATAATATACATGAAAAAGAAAATTATTATTATAAATATTATATGGATAAATGATGATAGTGATAACGTTAGGATTAGTAAAGGCTGTGATACTGACAGACGTATAAGGCATTAAGGAAACAATATTAATACAAACATATTATACATACAATGTACAAATCAAGTACAAGGGAGTTTAAAAGTCTTAACCTCTCTCACTCCTTTTTGAGCTGGATTGTTGTTAATAAAACAAAACTGTGTATTTGTACTTCTATTCTGTTGTTGTTTTGTTTGTTTTTGTCCTTTTTTCTTGTTTGCCATGGCTCAAAATAAAGTATTCATTCATTCGTACTGAATGTGTGAAAATGTAGGCCCACTTGTACAGAATTAACGCAATAATAGTTACATTTACTTGCTTTTATTATTACCATGCTGGTTATTTTCTCTCTTTCAACTTTCACCATTTCTACCTACTTTTGTGTAACAAGGGTAAAATGGATGAGTTGTTATTGCTGACCAGCCTATAAGAAGCTGGTCACATGATTGACTTTTAAATATTACAGAAGCATAATTCCTGCTCGACTCAATCTGTAGCGTTTCACTGATTCACTGTCATCTAGTGTATAGAATATTTCTCCTGTCTCCACCGTCCACCATTTTGAGCTCTTAGGGAACTTTTAAGTCGCTAAAAGTCCACCTCTCAACTCTTAAGGGATCTCCCCTTAGGAGCACTCGTAAGAGCTAGGATTCTTTAGGAATAGCTTTTATCTTAACTAGGAGCTACTCGTCACTTTTAGGGGAAATTCTAAGAGTTGGTCAAGATTCTAAGAAAATTCTTAGAATTTGGCCACTAGGAGCAACTTTTAGCACTAAGAATCTTTAGGAATACGGCCCCTGGATAACGTCTCTTCTATCGTGCAGCGGCTCCACATTGTATTCTATTTGAGCTGTCAGCCTCCGTACAGTCTACGATACCACTATGTGATTAGACAGACAGATGGATAGATACATAGATAGATAGATAGATAGATAGATAGATAGATAGATAGATAGATAGATAGATAGATAGATAGATAGATAGATACATAGATAGATAGATACATAGATACATAGATAGATACATAGATAGATAGATACATAGATAGATAGATAGATAGATAGATAGATAGATATAGATAGATACATAGATAGATAGATAGATAGATACATAGATAGATAGATAGATAGATACATAGATAGATAGATAGATAGATAGATACATAGATAGATAGATAGATAGATAGATAGATAGATACATAGATAGATAGATAGATACATAGATAGATACATAGATACATAGATAGATACACAGATAGATACATAGATAGATAGATACATAGATAGATAGATAGATAGATAGATAGATAGATAGATAGATAGATAGATAGATAGATAGATAGATACATAGATAGATAGATAGATAGATAGATAGATATAGATAGATACATAGATAGATAGATAGATAGATACATAGATAGATAGATAGATAGATAGATACATAGATAGATAGATATATAGATAGATAGATAGATAGATAGATAGATAGATAGATAGATAGATAGATACATAGATAGATAGATAGATACATAGATAGATACATAGATAGATACACAGATAGATACATAGATAGATACATAGATAGATACATAGATAGATAGATAGATAGATAGATAGATACATAGATAGATACATAGATACATAGATAGATAGATAGATAGATACATAGATATATACATAGATAGATACATAGATAGATACATAGATAGATACATAGATAGATACATAGATAGATACATAGATAGATAGATAGATAGATAGATACATAGATAGATACATAGATACATAGATAGATACAAAGATAGATACATAGATAGATAGATAGATAGATACATACATAGATAGATAGATAGATAGACAGATAGATAGATAGATGGATGGATAGATACATAGATAGATAGATACATAGATAGATAGCTAACTTTATTGCAGACTCTAGGTCCAGATAAACGCAGACACAGACAAAAAAACAACTAAAAATCTATTTGTCTAAAGGAGGCACTAAAATGTAGATTTAACTCGCCACATCGCCAGTCTGTAAAACCATAATTACTTCCGGCTCTATTGTGTAAATCTGATGCTTTTGTTTCCTGTTGACATGACCCAACAAGACCCAACATCTGTATTTACCACAAGTTTTGGTTCAACACTGAAATCCTCCTCCTCCCTCGCGGTCTCGACAGCTGTCCCAAACCAGGGGCTGTGATTCTGCCTGAACCAGAAACATCTCACACCAGTGCCCCCTTGTTCCTCCCACAGACATCTTCAGATTAGATAATTCCTTCTTCTTTATCCTGCCACTGCCCAGATAGAACCACCCCCACACCGCAGCCTTTGCCCCCTTCCCTGGTCCTGTCCAATCCATTTACTTCCCGAGCTCTATTATCTGCGCACCCATCTGTCGCCCGGATTTAGATAAATAATGATACTCTTCAATGTCATTGTTATGACTTTAAAAGCTTAATACTTGGGCCCACTCTGCGGCCCATATTGTCCTATAACAGGTTTGGATTCTTTCCACGATCATATCATATCTCTTCATGATTAATCTGGTCAACTAATCTCTGGAATAGATATGAAATCTTCTTAAAATCAGTTCAGAGTATTTATCCACAGTTTCTTTTCACACAATTGAGCTGAAGTTGCGGTGATTGACAGGTTTTTGGAGGCAAGTTGTAAGTGGTATGTCCCTCAGAGATATTTGGGCCAATCCTTCAGCTAAAAACAACCCGAACAGATGACTCCTGGACTTTGGCTCCGTGCAACATCTGTAACTTATCGGTCATTAAGCCCTGGAGCTTCTAGGAGGACAGAGACAGACATGAGACGCGACGAAACGACCACAAAGAGGCAAAATAACTCCAGAAAATAGTGGGAAATGCATAAAAGCGCCGCTGGTGTCGTCACAGTAACCTTGAACTTGTGGGAGGAGCTTACGGACGCTGTTAATGGACTGATTCCAGTTGATCACACTGAGACAGACGTTTGGAGGGCTGTGTTTTGGATTTTTGTGGCGTAGATTTCACAGATTTATCCAAATTTTTTGTAATCTGGGGACAAAGATGGATACAGAAAAGTATTAAAAGTGGACTGGAGGTTTCCCAAAGGATTTCTTATCGAGGCAGATGTGACCTTCAAGACCCCTGCAGGACTTCCAATCGGACTTTTGGATTTTAATAATTCTTCCTCTTGGTTCTCAAAAGAATAAGTGAGAAAAAGGGTAAGAATTGAACAACTCTTAACTTGGATGCTTGGTCAACTTGTGCGGGTGCTTTGAATTAGGCCGAACAGATCAATTATAACTAAAAAACTAGAACATTGTGGGTCTAGACAAGTCTCAGTTTGATGTGGAATTGTCCAGTTGTTGTAGAGTATCTCGTTTATAGTAAATATTATGTCACATTTGGATATTGACAAAGCTCTCAGAAACCAGTAGCTTAATAAAGTTACACAGATGTGATTGGTGGCCCCTCTCTCCCTGTGTTTAAGTGTTTTTATTATAAAAAGGGAGACACTAAAGGTTTCCAGTTTGATGGGAAGACACAGTGTCATTCATCCATCTTCTCAGTGTCATGTGAGGGATTAGCGGCGGCTGAGTCTATCCGTTTGCTCTGGATCTGAAGCGGCAGATGTGGAAGTGAATGAAGCTTGTGCTGGTCTCAAACCTGGATCACATCAGATTTATGACTGAAATAATCATCATTTAAACCGAGTCGACTGTGTTAGATTCATGTTTATTTCAACTCCATCCACTGGTAACATGTGCGTACATTTGTATTTGTTAGTTTGATTTGATGAGCTAAAGCCATGTCCTTAGCGTCATACCAGTTTTATGTAGTTTTAACAACTTTGTGAGAGATGTCTTGGTCGAAAACTCAGTAGAATCATAGTTTATCAAAGATTAAATAAATCAGGCATCCAATTTTGGTATTGTTCCAAATCCTTCTGATCCTTCTATTGGTCAATCCAACCAATATAAGTTTAACAAATTCAATTGGTTGGCCAACAACCAACCGAATGTAAAATCTCTGGGAACTTTATTGGATACTTGAACCAATAATTACCTGAAGGTTTACAGGAGATTTTCCCCAATTTTAGGAAAGAACCGCCCTCTCCACGTTTTGCGCAACACTCTCCGGTCTTATTGGACGAGCATGTATCACCAAAATGATTGACAGCTGGGAGGACCAATAGTCTTGATGATCCACCTGGAAGTAAAATCCTCCTATATACCTTTAACCAATTAGAAAGTGTTTTTAGAGTGCAGCTTTAAGAAAACAATGTCATCATAGATTGAGGTTGCGAGGTAGATGCCATGGACCAGTTCTGGGGAAAAGAGCGATTGTTGTAGAAATGACGTCTAGATTGCAGGATGAAGATGATGAGTGAATCTCTCTAAATACAGAGGCTGGTCTGATCTCTTTTGCATTTATATCCTCAGGTTTTCGTAACAGTCTGGTGTCATGGAGCACTCCCCCTCTCTGAACCTGTCTGGCCCAGACGGTGAAGATGCAGAGGACCCACTGCGCCCTCTTCTTCCTCCCAGGATAATTCTACAACCTCAGGCCTGCTCCTCTCACTGCGGCATACACCACACTGCCCAGCCACCGCCTGACCCCTCTCTATGGCTGGACAGGACCCAAGCCATGGCCACAACACCCCTTTACAACGGACACATGTATTTCACACCATCCCCGTGTCCCAGCAGGAAAACCAAAGGCAGAGATAAGAGCAGGAAATCCAAGAGTCCAGGACACAAAAGTAAAAGTAAGAATACAAGCAGTTCACATCGGATGCAAGAAAGGGTGACTTCTTTCACGGACGTTCCGCTCTCTCAGGCTGGGTCACCGTACCAGGGGCTCTGCAGGCCTTCTATGGACCCCACAGAAGGTGACAGCAGAGTTTGTAGCATTTCCGAAAACGTAGAAATGCACGAACGCCAGACACTGCCCGAAATAATCATCACGACCAGAGACGAAGAGCCGCAGCCGCAATCCCAGCATCCACCGCACCCACCGCAACCGGAAGTGAAGACTCTGCTGCCCAGTAAACTCAGGCCCAAGCCCAACCCGCTCAATATCAGCCCCAAGTCCAAATCCAACGACGACCCGTACTGGAGGACCCATAACATCGGGTGGCGTCTGGTCCATAGGAGAAGCCTATTTTTGAGAAGGCAGCGGCTGAACGACTGCGCTCTGGCGGTGGGGATATTTGGGGTGGTGCTGATGGTGATGGAGACCGAGCTTTCCTGGAGCGTCTACAGTAAGGTGAGTCCAGAGGGAGTCTCGGGTCTCTGTCTCCTGACGCTCTGGTCCAGTCTTTTTAGTAATAAGCTGCTGGAGTTGGACTGAGTTTGAGAAAGTGACAATAGATAAATCTCACATTATCACTGCTCCAATAGGAAAATTCACGCCACTGTTTACGAGCTGCACGCTAACTCTGGTCCCGGAAGAGGTCCAAGTCCAGCGTCCAATCACAGCCTCTTTCCTTGTTCAGTGACCAATCGGGTCAGTGACCAAGTGTGATGAGTCTATATTGATTCATACAACAGCTATCAATCACTCAATAAGTTAACTTTTATTGTATAGGCAACACAAAGCGCTGCAAAACCCATATCACATTAAGCATAAATCCTAAACTTTATTATACGACACGGTGGCTGAGTGGTTAGCACTTGACTATGATTAAAAAACAAGCATTAAGATCACGGCCCACTGATTGTAAAACACTTTGCTTCGATCTGGTGTTTTTGCTCCTGATCTTTCGTTCTCAAGTTCTCTTAAAATCACATCCAAACATTTGTTTTACGGAGACAGGGAGGGGGACCGCAGCGGCTACAAAGCAGCTAAATATCAGTTCAGGAAAGAACTGAAAGCAGCCAAGTCCCGGCACAGAGAACGACTACAGGAGCAGTTTGGTAACAACGATACTGCTTCTGTCTGGAGGGGCCTACGGGAGATCACCAACTACAAACCCAAAGCCCCCCCCTGTGCTGATGACCACAAGCTAGCTGACGATCTGAACTTATTTTTCAGTCGCTTTGATGCTGCCCCTGACACCTCTCCCTCCCCCACCCCCCACTACTCTAACGACCCACCCATCAGCCCTGCCCCCAGCCTAACAATAGCCGCTAAAGAGATTAAACAACTCTTCCTGAGGCTGCACCCCCGCAAAGCTCCTGGCCCGGACCACGTGTCTCCGGCCACTCTGAGACACTGCGCCAGTGAGCTTACTCCTGTGTTCACGGACATTTTCAACTCCTCTCTGCAGTCCTGCCATGTCCCGGCCTGCTTCAAATCCTCCATCATTGTCCCCGTCCCGAAGAAGCCCAGGATCACAGGACTCAATGACTACAGACCTGTAGCACTTACGTCTGTCGTCATGAAGTCATTTGAACGCCTGGTTCTCTCCCATCTCAAGTCCCTCACCTCCCCCCTCCTGGACCCCCTGCAGTTCGCCTACAGAGCCAACAGATCTGTAGACGACGCCATTAACCTGGCCCTCCACCACATCCTACAGCACCTGGACTCCCCGGGGACCTACGCCAGGGTCCTGTTCGTGGACTTCAGCTCTGCCTTCAACACAATCCTGCCATCCCTGCTCCAGGACAAGCTCTCCCAGCTCAACGTGCCCGATTCCACCTGCAGGTGGATCACTGACTTCCTGACGGACAGGAAGCAGCGAGTGCGTCTGGGGAAGAATGTCTCGGACTCTCGGATTATAAATACAGGAGCCCCACAGGGCTGTGTTCTTTCTCCCCTGCTCTTCTCCCTGTACACCAACCACTGCACCTCCAGCCACGACTCCGTGAAGCTGATCAAGTTCGCGGACGACACCACCCTCATTGGACTCATCTCCAACAACGATGAGTCCGCCTACAGGAGGGAGGTGGACCGGCTGGTGTCTCCTACAGGAGGGAGGTGGACCGGCTGGTGTCCTGGTGTCTCCTACAGGAGGGAGGTGGACCGGCTGGTGTCCTGGTGCAGTGGTAACAACCTGGAGCTGAACGCCCAGAAGACAGTGGAGATGATTGTGGACTTCAGGAAGAGCACTGTCCCCCCGCCCCCACCCTCCGTGATGGACTCCCCCATCACCTCTGTGGAGTCCTTCCGTTTCCTGGGCACCACCATCACCCAGGACCTCAAGTGGGAGCCGACCATCAGCTCTCTCATCAAGAAGGCCCAGCAGAGGATGTACTTCCTGCGGCAGCTCAGGAAAGCCAAGCTGCCTGCACAGATGTTGGTGCAGTTCTACACGGCCATCATCGAGTCCATCCTCACCTCCTCCGTCACCGTGTGGTTCGCTGGAGCCACAGTCAGGGACAAACAGAGACTACAGCGCATTGTGCGCTCTGCAGAGGAAGTGATCGGCCGCAGCCTTCCATCGCTGCAGGACCTGTACGTCGCCCGAGCTCGAGGCCGGGCTGGTCGTATCACAGCCGACCCCTCTCACCCTGCACATGGACTATTCCAACCACTCCCCTCAGGCAGGAGGCTGCGGTCCATCAGGACTAGAACCTCCCGCCACAAGAACAGTTTCTTCCCCTCTGCTGTTGGACTCTTGAACACTTCTTAACCTGTCCCCCCGCCCTTTATAAAGTCACTTTACTGCCCATCATACGTCACTTTACTTCACTGTACTGCTGTCACCTTACATTGTGTGCACCATGTGCACTTGTATATTGTAAATAGTAACTGTAACTCTATTTTAAATTTAAATTTATTCTTTAGAAGTGTTTTTTATTCTTATTTTTATTATCTCTTTTTGACTGTTGCACTGAGCCAAAGCAATTTCCAAGTCTGTGACCTCCCGTTACTTACGTTGGCAATAAAAATGATTCTGATTCTGATTCTGATTCTGACAAAAGAGCCTGAGCTGACTCCTGTCGACGTGGAGGAGCAGCGGCTCTACTCAGACTTCTTGGAACTGTGGAGGAAGCTCATTTTTACCGTGAGCTTGTCTTTTTGCTCTTTTTTGGTCTTCAGCCAAAGCTTTGCTCGTTCCAATGCATTAAAATCACTTCCAGTTCAAAATGAATGAGTTTCTAAACCTTTTGAGCTCTTTGAGAAGCAGACACTCTGTAGTTTTGGCCTCTATTGACTAATTTACTTTTCATTCATTGCGAGAAAAAATGTATCCGTATTGAAATAGTATGAAGAGGAAAGCTGGAGGAAGCATTTGGTGGGTTTGACAATTCCCATTTCAAAATTGAAAAGTAGAGACAGATTTCATCACCGGTTTTATGGTTTTGTGTCAAAGCTGGTTTTTCTTTGACCACAAACAACAATCACAAAAGTTAAAAAAGATTAAATTAAAAAGTCATAAACACTGACAAATATGAAGTTTCCATAACTGTCAAATAAATGATATAATGAGGTAATAAATGCTTGGATCAAGTGTTTTTATCCTAATTTGAGAACCTTTTGACAATCTAAAAACAAGATTTTCCATTAGGACAAAGAAAAATGTCTTGTTTTAAGAAGATACAAAACTTCTTTGGAATGAGACATAAAATTGCAACAGACATAAGAGTAAACGGTTTGGCAAATATTGTTTAAGAAAGTTAGAAAATACTCAAATTAAGATTAAAAAATACTTTCTTATTTCCTTATATTTTGTCACTTTTTACAGTGTAAGTGTCTGAGTCAGCACTGCCTGAAATATGTCCTCTAAAGTCTGGAAATAGTGACAGAAATGAAGAGATCAAAATAAAAACGACTTTCAGAATAGATTTGTGAATAATAACAACTTCAATCAATACCAGTTAGCACAAAATACTTCATTATTTACTGAGCACATTATGCTTTTGATAAGAATAAATAACGTCTTTGTTGACTACTTTTTAAAATAGTAATATTACACGGTGCACATAAAACGGCCGCCGGATTTTCGATTGCATATTTATGAGTTTATGAGTTGACTTCCAAACAGATATTGGATTAGAGATGCACCGATACCTCTTTTCTCAAAACCAGTAAGAATACATTCATTTGAGTATCTGAGTTTCTGAGTATCTGAGTATCTGAGTTTCTGAGTATCTGAGCTGATGCCGATACAAGTACATTGTCTTGTCCCTGGGAATTCATAAAACTAACAAAACTTATATTTTAAATGTTTTATTTCTCATTTCAATAATAACAAAATGCTTTAACAATGAAAATATTTTAGCAGTTGTTTAAACAGTCAATAAGAGCCACTGTCACATTCCACTCATACAGATGCTATGTTTTAGAGTTGGTTGTTTTTGGGCTCCGGTGCGAGCTCCGGTGCTAGCTCAGGTGCTAGCTAAGGTGCTATACTGCTAAAATCTGGAACAGTCTTCCTGAAGATGTGAGACAGGCCTCCTCTCTGACAATGTTTAAAACCAGGTTAAAGACGGTTCTGTTTAACTGTGCATACAACTGAGGGATTTTATATTTTTATCTTTCTTTTTAATGTTCTGTGATAATTTATGATTTTAATGCTTTCTTGTTTTGTTCAGCACTTTGAATTGCCTTGTGTATGAATTGTGCTATATAAATAAACTTGCCTTGCCTCCGTTCGGCGGTGAGTTTACAGATGTTTGATCAAGTTGCTGGTGTTATATGTATTTTTTTTGGACCACAACATACAGTCCGATTGACTCTTAAAAAATTGTGTTACATTCGCTTTCTCGCTGCCGAATTTTGGAGATTACCATGACAACACCTGACGTTAATGTAAACTTAAAATGTGGGTATTGGTTGCCAGCAGCAGGTCCTATGGTATGAGTACAAGTACAAGTTCATGTTATCGACCCAGAATTGGCATCGGTTAGCCTGGTCGTACCACACCATAGTACAAATTACATTTCGTACTAAGGTCTGTATTGTCTCCATTGACTCCGTGAACAGGTGGGAGGGGCTAACTCCTTTTGCAGATTGAAACCATTGGATCTGAGTTTACTGTGACGTATGTAAGGAGCCCAAGTGAGTCGTTAGCATTTAGCCTAGCTTTAGCCATCTCCTTTGCAGCTAACGGAGCCCGTGGGGAGTAGCGCCACAATCTTTGCAGCGATTACATTTTCTAAACATTCCTATTGCTCCGGCTTCAGTTTCTTGATAGAACCAGACCAGAATACTTTACTATCGCATTCTTCACCAAACTCCAATCTGCCCGTTCAACGCAAACTAAAACACCCGCCTCCCGTGCTCTCTGATTGGTCGGTTGGAATTCAACCGATTGTAATCACAAACACAGGGACCAGACCCAGACGTTACATGCAGGACATGATGATTGACAGGAGAGTACGGATGGATAAGACCAGGGTATGTATCGGTGCATCCCAATAAGTCAACATCATCAGCATAATTTAGGATCTTTGACTAATTGTTTTTTAAAGTACCTAATAAATGTCGTAATTTCGTAAAAGAAACACATCTTTCTGCAGCAGCTGTTTCTCTGATGATTCGATCCTGAGGACTCCATCTCAGTGAGACAGATACTGGGACGCTTTTGTCTCATGCTAATCACACTGTAAAAAGTGACAAAATATAAGGAAATAAACGCTCGAATCAAGTCTTTTTTATCTTAATCTGAGATATTTTTACTTTTTTAAAACAAGATTTCCCAATAGAACAAGCCGTTAAGTCTAATTTCAATTCAGTTGCGATTTATGTCTCATTCCAAGGAAGAACTTTTTGGAATTGTCTTGTATATTATTAAACAAGACATTTCTGCTCGTCCAAATGTCAAAATGTTCTCAAATTAAGATAAAAATCCTCGATCCAAGCATTTATTAGCCAATACTTCATCATTTTTTGCAGTGCAGACAGTTGAGCAGAAACAGAGCTGTAAGTTGACGAGCCTGTACTGTGAGCTTGTGCCTCACAGTTCGAAGGTCCTGGGTTCGATTCCACCTCCACATGCAGCCTTTCTGAGTGGAGTTTGCATGCTCTCCCCGTGTCTGCGTAGGTTTCCTCCGGGTGCTACGATTTCTCATCCATCCCATTCATTATATCTATGAGTTTCAGGTTGTTTCGAATTTAGCGCTGTTTGACAAAAGCAAATAGATTAAGATTAAGCGATCCTTTATTTGTCCCACAGCACACGTTACCTGAACAATAGCTGTCCTAATCAAAATAAAACAAAATCTCTAACTCTAGCATCAATAATAAGTATAAAAAACTCTATCTTGAAAATAATAATAAATGGATGGAAATACCAACTAAACATAAAAGAACACTATGTATGAAATGGAAAATGGACCAGCAACAAGTGTGTGTGTGTGTGTGTGTGTGTGTGTGTGTGTGTGTGTGTGTGTGTGTGTGTGTGTGTGTGTGTGTGTGTGTGTGTGTGTGTGTGTGTGTGTGTGTGTGTGTGTGTGTGTCATGGCGGTGGGGTGAGCTTGGGAAGGAGCTTTCTGTTGACGGCATGTTTTCCATCAAATATCTGCCCCGTCTTATAGATGTATCTTCATCTTTCCCATAAACTCCTTCTGTGCAATTGCTCTGTCTGCGTCATCAGTTTCTCCTCCCTTGCTTAGCCCGCCGTGGTGTCATGGGTTAAGTTTTGACCCCCCATACGCCACTATACATATAGACCAACCCCCGATCCAAGATGGCGCCCTATTCAAATGAATGGTTGTGCTCAGTGGCGCTTTGTGACGGCACGGGGGCTGAAAGATTAGCGGAAGTTGCCTGGAACTCTCAAAGATCTATGGGAAACTCTCAAAGATCTATGGGAAACTCTCAAAGATCTATGGGAAACTCTCAAAGATCTATGGGAAACTCTCAAAGATCTATGGGAAACTCTCAAAGATCTATGGGAAACTCTCAAAGATCTATGGGAAACTCGCCTGTATTTGGGCATTGTCTGGTCCTCCCGGTTCTGCGCAGTGGATGATCTCCCATGATGCGTTGCGCCAAACACGCGTGTGTGGGTCTCACACCGGGTCTCACGCACGCGCATACATAGTCACATAATATTCTGTGGGTCTTGAAAGTCAGTGAAATCATCCAAAATGGCTGGCAGTCAGTGAGTTAATGTACTGGGTTAGGGTTTTAATGCTGTCTTGTTTTGTTCAGCATTTTGAGTTTACTTGTGTATGAATTGTGCTATATAAATAAACGTGCCTTGCCATTGCTTTTCTCTAATTAAACTGCTGTCCGTGACCCTGTAAGTATGTGACCCAGTATTAGAGAAGTTTGATTAAGCAGTAATGTGTGTGTGTGTGTGTGTGTGTGTGTGTGTGTGTGTTGTTGTGTTTTTGCAGAGTTCTCTGTACTCTCTGATCCTGAAGTCCATCATCAGCGTTACCACGGTGATCCTGGTGGGACTAATTGTCGCCTACCACTGCTGCGAAGTACAGGTGACGTACGCTCTTTCATAACGCTCCATTATGACCAAGGATTACGTCAGCGAGGCCTCGAGGTCGACAGGAAGTACATTTCACATCCACTGATCGCAGCGGCTTTTCTAAAAGTAGCTTAAAGACGTGACGAAAGGCTGACATGTGACATCACCCAACGCTTTTGCAGCATCGAGTAAAGAAGCTGATTTAGAGCTGCTCCAGACCCGCATTCTCTCATAGCAACCCCATAGCAACTTCATAGCAACCCCATAGCAACCCCATAGCAACTTCATAGCAACTTCATAGCAACCCCATAGCAACTTCATAGCAACCCCAGAGCAACTTCATAGCAACCCCATAGTAACTTCATAGCAACCCCATAGCAACTTCATAGCAACCCCATAGCAACCTCATATGAACCTCAGCAACACTCATAGCAACAGTTTTTAAGAGATAATATCAATGTCAAATGTATTTCTACAGCACATTTACAGCAACAAGCTTCAGAGCATATTTTATCGAGCCAGCAGGAGGCACCAGCGCTGCCTCTGGATGTTAATAAACATTGAACCGGTCCTCGGCACGCTGCAAATTTGTTTTTTGGTCTTCTGATGTATTTGACTTTGACATGCCTGATGTAAGGCAATTCAAAGTTCCTCACAAGAGCAGTTTAAAAACACGGATCCAAATGCATAAAAAAAGAAAAAAGTCAATGAAATATACAATGATGTCATATTAAAACAGAGCAGCATAAAAGAATAAGGTTTAAAACTCATTCAACTGTGGGTTTAAAAAGGGAGATAAAGGCAATGAATTGTACAAAATAGAATCGTAATTTGTTGATTTTTGTGGTGCAGAATTAATAGAGGGACAAGATGTGTTTTAGAACGTTTAGACCCTTTGTGAAAAATGTATATAAAAAATAAAGAAAAAGATCTTGTGAAAGGTCCACATTACCCATGCTGCTCAGCCTCTGTCGATCCGAGAGCGATAGAGGAAAGAGCTTCTAAAGAATAGGCCTTTTATCAAGATCGAGCTTAATTGTTTTTGCCAGAGCTCGTCCGTAATGTCCTTGTCCTGTCAATCTACACCAGGCCGCCAAAGTCAAATACATCAGAAGCCAAAAAAACACATTAGCATTAGCATTAGCATTCGTTACAAGCCAAGGGCCGGACTGGTTCAACCTTAAAGCCTGTTGAACCAAGACCTAACACCGGGGACCGCATTTTATTTAATTATTGAATTAATAATCCAATATATTCTTATGGCTCGGTGCGGCTGGTTCTAATACTAAACAAATATCATCCCGGGCCGAGATAATTCATTAGAGGGCCGGATCTGGCTCCCGGGCCTTGACTTGGACACCCAAGCTCTACACCAGGGGTCCCCAACCTTTTTCAATCAGAGAGCTACTTTTATTCAACAGAAAAGGCAGAGAGCTGAGAAAGTTTGTGCTGTCGTGATAATAATCTATGTAATGATTATGACAAAATATGGAAAACAGATGTAAAAGAAAATACCATAATACTGTATAACCCTGTATTTATACTTTTAATAAATGTATACTGACTCAAAAGTGAATCCAATCCAATTTTCAATCCTTTTGGGGAGCTACCTGCAAGGGGCTCAATCCAATCCACTTTATCATACAGCCCATTTCATAAACAAGTATTTTCCAAAGTGCTGTACAACAAGAGAAATGGCAACAAATAATTAAATACACACATATATATAAAAATCATATTTAAAACCCCACAGAGGACCACACGACTCTTGCGCTGTAAAAAGCCAGAGAATAAAAGTGTTGTCAAAGCAGCCGCAGTTTAAGATACAGAAACATGTACATTCAACAGCATTACGACCACATAAATGTCCTGTTTGGTTGGATCCAGAGGTGAAACCATATTGTGGAATAAAATGATGTGAGAGCAGTTCTGTCTCAGTGAGTGATGCTATTTAAGTGCTCATAACGGGGTTTTCTGCAAGATTTTCTCTCATGACAAAGCAAAGAGCATTAAAAGCCTCTCTATAATTCCATCAATCACCGACAGCCCGTTTCATTATAAAACTCTTTTGCTTTGTCTCCACACGACGCCAGAGCAGATTCATTTATCCCAGAGAAGGTCTTTTGAAGTTTTATAATCACACAGTTGTTATCCCTGACCTTCACCTGCAGTGTGTGTGCTTATATTTTTCAGTAATATAATAATAAATGAAGAAACAAAAATCTTTCAGACATTGTTACATGTGACATCATTTGTGCCCAGTTCTTTAGGATCAGGGGCCAATACAATACAATTTAATACACTATACAATGTATTCTTGTATAGCCCTAAATCACAACAGCATCATCTCAGAGACTTAACAAAACCATTGAAATCACCAAAACAGATCAGAAAATCAACAGATAAAACACAGAAAGAACATAGAACACATGCTGATAAATGTCATACATGTTGTAGAATGTTAAAGTGTCCTGATTTCATTTTGGTTCCCTTAGAGGAGCTTAGTCACATGGTAGAATCTTGGAGTAGAGCCGCTGCTCCATGTCAGCATAGGAGGCCTGTTTCACCAGTGTACATTTTTAGTACCATCTCAGGACCTGAAACCATCATGACATCAAAACATATTGGTCGACCTCCACCTTGAATGTGTAATATAAACCTTCTTGTCTTCAGTTGTACATCCATGACATCGGAGCGGAGGACTGGCGCATCGCCATGACGTCCGAGCGCGTGGCTCTGATCGTGCTGGAGCTGGTTTCCGTGGCGATCCACCCGTACCCCGTGGGTTTGGTGGCGTACTTCCAGGAGAACCGTCCGCGGCCGTCGCTCTCGGAGACGGAGCTGGAGATCGTGTTGGCGCTGCCCATGTTCCTGCGCCTGTATCTGTTGGGCCGCGCCCTGATGCTCCACAGCCGCCTCTTCACTGACACCGCCTCCCGCAGCATCGGAGCACTCAACAAGGTGATGTCACACAACATGGTGATGTCACTCAGCGAGGTGATGTCACACAACAAGGTGATGTCACTAAACGAAGTGATGTCACTCAGCGAGGTGATGTCACTGCACAGAGGTGACACATGTCTGTAGTGTGGAGTGACAGGAGATATTCAACTCTCACTGATTTAATTCTCAAATGTAAACTTTCCATCACATTTATATCTCATTCATTTAAGGTTTTTTAAAGGGTTACACCTCTACTCTCAAGTCTGCCCAAACTACCAGCTTGAAAACAACAACACTGATCACAGATGCGGACACGAGGCCAATGGTTACTCTGCAGGACACAGCTCACCAGGGGAGTCTTTACATGGACCAAAAACTAGTCAAACCCGTCACAAATCTGGCCTTAACAGTACAGACGATCGATGAATAGCAAGCCAGTGTTGAAATGTATTATTCATATTAGTCTCCCTTTTTGGAGAGCTCTACACACACACACACACACACACACACTAACATGTATTCATGGCCAATCTGTTTTATATAACGATTTCACTTCCTTAAATCAACCATTGTGACCTCATAAGTTACTCAGAAGTACGTTCCCATGTTTCTTTTTTGTCCCTATTTTCATGAGAGCTGATTTATTTAGTTATTTATTTTTTCATTCTGCAGTTGAATATCTTCTGCACTCAAAGCCTTTTTCGCAGCTGTGTGTTTGTCTTGCCTTTAGTCTGGCGCAGAGCTCTGTAGACAAGAGACTTCTGAGGTGTGACAATCGCTCTCCTTCTGTTTCCCATCTCACTCCTCCTCCTTCAGAACTGCCGTTCAGAAGTGACAAAAAACGACCTCCATGTGTCCTGCAAACGCAAACCCCCCGTACAGAAAGCTGGATTAGGAACGTCCTTTATCTGCTTTTTGTTACGTGATTGTTCTTGGCTGGGAGCTCGTCTAAATCCACCCTTTTGTTAATTCAAGTTTGTCTTTTACAGATTCACTTCAACACGAGGTTTGTCGGGAAAACTCTGATGACCAACTATCCCGGGACAGTGCTCATGATCTTCAGTGTGTCTCTGTGGATCGTGGCCGCGTGGGGTCTGCACGTCTGCGAGAGGTGAAACTATAGCGTTATAAGTAAAATGCTGTTTAAAATAATAAAATTGATCCTCAGATAAAACAAGAAAATAAGACTTGTGCTTACTTCAAGTGGAGACTTATAAGTACAAGTCCACCATACAAATGTTGTAATGTGGACTTTTCTGTGGTTTTAAGTTTTAGATCAATAACCCAACCATAAAAGAGTAAATATTCTGTCCATGTTATATCAATTCTGCAGAAAAAGTAGAAAAACAAAGTCATAAAAACCCTGTGGAGACGTAATAATCGCATGGTCTGTAATGTCAGGACCATCAGACCAGGTCCATTCCCTCTCACTGGTGTGAACGATGATACCATGTGTGTGTGTGGTCTCTGCAGACACCATAACTACCGTGACCTGAGCAGTAACTACATGGAGGCTCTGTGGATGGTGTCGGTGACTTTCCTGTCCATTGGTTACGGAGACGTGGTGCCGCACACGTACTGTGGCCGCAGCATCTGTCTGCTCACCGGGATCATGGTCAGTCCACAAAGCTCTGTCTATGAAGCAGACAAACATCGACAAAAGGTTCTGGTCATTTTGGAGATTCTCAGTGGAGGAGAGAGACCCATGAAGCTTAAAGATGCATCAAGGATTTATAATAATAATAATGCATTGGTTTTATACAGGGCTTTTTTTGGACACTCATAGACCCATCCATCCATCCATTTTCTTCCCCTTAATCCATTTCTGGGTCGGGGGGGTGGCAGTCAGAGCTGAACCCAGTCACAGAGCACCAGCCCCTCACTGATCCTCCTGCAGGTGGTGAGTCCACATGAGCTGAGATCTTTCAGCAGGAGCTTCAGGCAAAGTGGGGTTAAGTGTCTTGCCCAAGGACACAACGACAGCAGACCTCAGTGGGAGTCGTGAAGTAGGTCTTACGGTGGGCTCGAACCCACGACCTTCAGGCTCAAAGGCCAATGCTCTACAACTGAGCTACTGTCGCCCCACACTCATAGACGTTATTATTCATTCACTTCAAACATGGTCCAGGTGCAAAAAGTAGTGTCTTGGAACGAGCGAGGAGTTATTGATGAAGTTCCGTTAAAGTTTTAATCAGCTCATTATGTGGCTGTATCATGGAACTACATGTGCAAAACTGAGCATGTATTTTTCTAAGCACTGATAACCAGTTCGGCATAAGACAGTGTACATTTATCAGATGTCTGTAGCCTCAAAAAATAAATCATACATGTTTTGGAGCGGACCAATAGAAAGAAACCCCTAAAACCAATGGGATGCCTTCACCCCCCTCCTCCTCTTCTCCTGCTCGCACCTGTCTGAGTTATTGTTGAGTCGGATTTTCTAAAACACTTACAATGGCATCATCATCAGTGGGAGCAGTTGGAGTAGGTCCCATGGTGGGAATCGAACTCACGACCTCCAGGCTCAAAGGCCACTGCTCTACCCACTGATGTCTATTGTCGTTGTGTCCCTGGGCAAGACACCTAACCCCACGTTGCCTGAAGCCCCCGCTGAAAGACCAAGGCTGTTTCACCGCTGACAGAGCAGCCATCTTCCTGTGGACTCACCCCCTGCAGAGGATCAGAGGGACTGGTGCTATGAGCAGTGGGTGGCAGCTCTGATTGCCACCCCCCTGACCCAGAAATGGACAATAAAGGGCTTGAAAAACGAATGAACTTACAATGGCTGAACAGGAAACCCCCAAAGTTCCAAATTCACGTTTGCCACTCACCTTGTTGTGCCAGAGAAGAGAACATCAGAGGAAAAGGAGTTGCATAGGAAAAGGAGTTGCATAGGAAAACTCGGACGCAGCCAGGGCTATAATTCTACGGCCGTCATGTTTTGCTAATTGCTAGTTTGTTAGGGAGAAGCTAGCGCGTGTCAAGTATAACGTGTCATGAAGTGTAATTCTTTCATATTTCAAGCCTTGGCTTCGTCACAGACTGCGTTGTTACAGAAACACGTTCATGTGCTGGGGGTTGGGTTGGGTGGAAGACAGGGGGAGTGGTTTTGAATGGTCACCTGAATCATTTACGGCACCTTTATCAGGGAAGCATTTTTTGAAAGAAAGGTTGAAAAAGAATATGTTTTCCCAGATCAGTATTTTTGATTTCATGTGAATTATAGAGAAATTGGCAACAAACTAAGACTCGGGTCTCACTTCTGACTGTTTCCATAGTTACAAGGACGTACATGTAGTGACCCTTGATCAGAATCAGAATCAGAATCATTTTTATTGCCACGTGAGTAACAAAGTTACCACTTGGAAATTGTCTTGGCAGAGAGCGTGCCACTTCGCCATTTGCGGCGCTGTGTGCAACGTGAAGTGGGAAAATAGACCCTGAATGAACACCACGATAAAGACCACGGTTTGGTTGAAACGTGTTGGTTTTCCGTAAACATGTTTGAATAAACCAGTCGCTCAGAGCGGTCTCTTTGCCCACATCTCATTACAGCAAAGGTACTCACTCACTGACCTTTTTATGTGAATACTGCCATCACCACCGTATTGGGAACTATTCCAGCCACTTCTATCTCTCCTCCTCTAACCCAGAGAAGTTTAAAACACTGCTCTGTCCTCCACCACATGTGTAAACAATAGACTCTTTGCAATGTTGTGATAATTCCGGCTATACTACTATGGAATTATTCTGCTCTTTTTGAAGCTTTTTTTTTGAAGCAAAGTTAAAAGAACAAATCAAACTCTTCAAAGTGCGATGTCAAAACACAAAGATACAAAGAGGATTTTATGTGTTTGAATTTGTCTTTTTTCTGACATGGATCTTGGCGTTTCTTCCACTTTCAAGTAGACTCTGGGTAATTCTGGGGAAACGGGTTACCTTTCATTTGTAAATTAATGAATATAAATAACTAAATAAAATGGCCGCATACAGGCTGAATGGTATTTTTCAAACTTTTAATGCAATATTTTGAAAGGTTATTATTTCCCTCTTTGAAATGCTTCACTCATGCAATAACAGGCCACGTGTTGCGCCCCCTGCAGGACACAGTCATAAACAAACTTATTTGTTTTACCCAAAAGCTGTAGTTCAAAGGTTAAGGAAAGACGACAGAAGTGAATCAGAATTTTCCATTATTATGTATTTTACAGAAAGTCAGACCATTTTCGTGATTTATATAGAGACAGTAAACCTTAAAGCAGCAGTAAGCGATTTTTGGGTGTTAATATACGTCTTAAATATTGATATATTCCAATAGCCATCACTTATATAGAGTGTTTGTACCTAAACACGGATCTCTCAGTCCTTCCAGTCTTCTCCCACATATTTAATAAAAAAACCTCACATCCTATGCGCTTATCCAATGACGAGAGAGCACGCCTTATAAGGGGTTTCTCCCGTGTGTGCACGCGCACTCTTCCAAACAAACATGGCGGAGAAGGAAAAGCCGCCTCCAGCGCTGCTGCAGACTAAATACCATGGATCTATTAAATACAGGCAAAACGCCAGAAACAGAGGAACGACAAAAAGTATGAGCAACATGGTGACCAGCTGCATTCATGTTGGCGACCTCTAGCTCCGTGGATTCCTCTCTCCGACTGAACAGGTGAGCATGTTACTCAGTAGTGGCAGTATAGTTGTATTATTTATACATATTGTTGCCTGAGACTGTAATGCGGGTTTTCACCAAGTTAGCTAGTTAAAAATCCCCAGCTGTTGTAGAAATACGGCCGCATTTTGTGGCAATAACTGCGCATTACCTTGGCTTAGCTTTGAGAAACAACAACAGACAACACAACATCGAAGCCTTAGCCCAGCCTCAGCCATCCATAAACTCCGGTCAATTATTAGTTCCCCACATGTACAAAATTAAATGACCATATCACCAGAGTTCCCCCGTGAAGTGTTGTTAGCATTAGCGTTCGCTGTTAGCATTAGCGTTCGCTGTTAGCATTAGCGTTCGCTGTTAGCATTAGCGTTCGCTGTTAGCATTAGCGTTCGCTGTTAGCATTAGCGTTCGCTGTTAGCATTAGCGTTCGCTGTTAGCATTAGCGTTCGCTGTTAGCATTAGCGTTCGCTGTTAGCATTAGCGTTCGCTGTTAGCATTAGCGTTCGCTGTTAGCATTAGCGTTCGCTGTTAGCATTAGCGTTCGCTGTTAGCATTAGCGTTCGCTGTTAGCATTAGCGTTCGCTGTTAGCATTAGCGTTAGCTGTTAGCATTAGCTGTCTGTAGTTGTGAATATGATGTGGCTGCTACGATCACTTCTGATCTGTATGAATCGTTTGTTTTTGCCAATAAACATAGTTGCTTGCACTATATATATATATATATATATGTAGGTCTGCATTTCATTCTTCAATGACTAAGTTTTGCAACTTGCACTCTGTATATTAGTTTTATTGTTATAAAAACAATATCTCTTTACCTCAAATCTAACTTCCGTGACCACTACATACATTTTTATTATTATGTATTGAGAATAAGTAAGAAAAGTCTTGCTGACTACTACCAAATAAATTATGAGCATGATATAATATAGACATTGTAATAATTTACATGTCTTCATTGCATTCTTTTCTCTGTATCTTTTCCAGTATGGCCTAAATCAATTGGAAGGAGGTCTTCAATGTACAAGAGTTCAAAAGCCTCCATAATGCAAGTTAAATAACTATTTAAAAAAAAACAATGCCATAACGACTAGATACTTTTCTGCTGACCTCTTCTTTCTCTAGTATTGACTGAAGACAAGACTTTGCTTCCAGAATTAGAAGAATGGCCATTGTCATCTCCTGAGGAAGACTTTACACCCCACATTTGTCATGTAGGTTGTTGTGAATGCATATATGGGACGCAGTGATTATGATAATGATGTTGTGATGTGTGTGTCGTTCATCCCTACAGTTGTGTTGCTGCCCTGAGGTCCAAAATGAATATCGATCATGTTCCAGGAGTCAGTGTTGAACAAAACTGTCGCTGAGTTTCTTCAACAATCAAGAGGAGTGAGATAATCACTCGACTCCCAAAACAGCCGATGTAAGTGTCTTTCTCTCACAATGCAGTCTCTCACAGTCCAAATAAACATGTTCAAGGATCCTGTGGATCTGGGGCCACTCCTGGTGATCAATAAATACTGATGTTGTTGATGATGAATATATCAAAGTCATATTTGAGTAGATAAAACTGATGTCTCTTCTATTATGTTTCAAAGGAAAATCTCTGCCAGAGGAAGACTCCAGTTCCTTCAACCTGGGCCCCTGAAGCGTGGCTGTGTGGCTGTGTGACTGTGTGACTGTGTGTGCTTGTGGCTGTCTGTGTGTGTGACTGTGTGTGCGTGTGACTGTGTGTGCGTGTGACTGTGTGTGCGTGTGACTGTGTGTGCGTGTGACTGTGTGTGCGTGTGACTGTGTGTGACTGTGTGGCTGTCTGTGCGTGTGACTGTGTGTGCGTGTGACTGTGTGTGCTTGTGTGGCTGTCTGTGCGTGTGACTGTGTGTGCGTGTGACTGTGACTGTGTGTGCTTGTGTGTGACTGTGTGTGCTTGTGACTGTGTGTGCTTGTGGCTGTGTGTGACTGTGTGTGCTTGTGGCTGTGTGTGCGTGGCTGCTTATGAATTATTTTGAGGAAATGTGTTCAAACAAGCTACAACATAAAGATTAACATTTTGTTAGATATCTCTGATAGTGTTCGCTGCAGCAGCGATGGATAAGGACCTGGATAATAACAGTGTTATTCATTTGAGCAAAAAGTGATAACACAAACGTTGCCTTACCATCACTTGTAATTATTTGTCTTAGTAGGGACATTGTGTATATTTTTCCGGCTATAACTTCAAATCTTCTTTTACATAATAAAGTTTCTTAGACTCGTTACAGACTATTTGTTTTCCTACTATAAAACAAAGCACATTGAAAGAGGTGAATGTATTTTTTTTTATTTTGAAATAGTACAACTACAAACATATTTCAGAACTGCAGAGTGGACGTGCACCATGGGGGCCGCTGAGGACGTGCACCATGGGGGCCGCTGAGGACGTGCACCATGGGGGCCACTGAGGACGTGCACCATGGGGGCCGCTGAGGACGTGCACCATGGGGGCCACTGAGGACGTGCACCATGGGGGCCACTGAGGACGTGCACCATGGGGGCCACTGAGGACGTGCACCATGGGGGCCACTGAGGACGTGCACCATGGGGGCCGCTGAGGACGTGCACCATGGGGGCCACTGAGGAAAGCACGTTTTCAATGTCTGTTGGCACCTTTCACAGACGCATCAGGGCCAGGTCTGGGAGGATCTGGTCATCAGCTTCTCTGGACAGAGGGCGTTCAGTGCTTCCTGAAAGAACCGTTATGACAAATGACTTTATATATTGTTACTTGTAGCTTTTCTTTCAAAGTGGTTTCCTTACAGTGTAATAGTGTAACGTAATTAGTTATGACAGTACTTTTGCGTTTCGGACAAGCTTTACTGGAATTGTTTTTCAGTCCCACATCTCACTGTACAGCTCTGATACACTTTGATTTTGTCTTCATTCTCTGAACAGTAAGCACATAATACAGATGTTGATTACATCAATAAATGTATCTTTATTTTGTGACATTGAGAAGGCAGCTTCCAGTGAGATGCAGCTTTACTTTCACATAATACATTACTACAGTGTTGTCTATAAAGAACTCCAAATATATAAATTGTGAGGAAATAAGTAGCAGTAATGTATTACTTTAAATAACCTTCATGTAAAGCTTTGTTGTTATGTATATGCATTACATTCATCTAATACATATGCACTGTAACAGATTAACATCTGTGCGTAATGTTGAGACACGTCACACTGCAATCTGCAACATTATGTTTATCACAACAGTTATCAGTGTACCAACTATAAAAGCAGTATTATTCTATAAAAGACTGGATTGTTTTTATCTCTTTCTTAGTGATGCTATCCTAGCTAACACCAAGCTGCTTCCAGTGTTATAGCTAGGTTACAACTGAGCTATTCTATGCTAATATTTCACTCCCAGAGTTTGTTGTTAATATACTTACGAGTAGACCTGACGGAGATGAACATGCTGCTGCCATCACCAACACGATGCGCGTTCATGTGGTGTGACGAGGAGACGGGGGCGGGGCTAATAACTCGCTCAGGCAGAAGAAACTGCCGGAAACGACCAAATCGCTTACTGCTGCTTTAATTTGAATTTATTTAGAGAAACTCAATCTAACATTTTCCCAAAAACAATCTGTATGAGCTATGTGGACTTGTGAGTGGTCTGTGCTGCCAAGAGGCGGGAAAAACAATAAGTGAGACTTAAGTAAGTTATTATTCATTATTCAGATCAGCAGTCTAAGAACTGTCAATCCAAGCTGGACTCATTTTATTCATAAAAATGTACGAAATGTACATCCAAATTCAGCAAAAGTGATTATTTGATCAAAATACCTTGTAAAGAAGAAAGAAGAAGAAGAAGAAGAAAGAAGATGTGATACTACTTACTATACTACTTTACTACTATGCTACTATACTACTATGCGGGAAAAGCACAGGGTATAAATACACACAGAAGACGGGAAGAAGCAAAACTCAAAACTACAAGAGAAAAAATGTATAGCAAAATAACACCAGGTAAAAATTATCCAAAAGTCACACCATGACCTTATATTCTGAGTTTTGCCAAAGACAGATTAACAGAGACAGATCTGTGTTGTACAGTCTCCATCGTTTACACAGCTCAGAATCTGTTATTCCCACACAGACATTGATCCAAAATGCATGTACCGTGTACATGGACAGGACTTTCTCTCGTAACGGCGTGTCCCGTGTGAACAGGGGGCGGGCTGCACGGTGCTGGTCGTGGCCGTGGTTGCCAGGAAACTGGAGCTGACTCGAGCCGAAAAACACGTCCACAACTTCATGATGGACTCCCACATCACAAAGAGGGTAAAGGCCACGGACAGATGCTCATGTTTATGTGAACGGAAACAGAGTCAGACTGTGCTTATGTGAACAGAGACAGAGTCAGACTGTGCTTATGTGAACAGAGACAGAGTCAGACTGTGCTTATGTGAACAGAGACAGAATCAGACTGTGCTTATGTGAACAGAGACAGAATCAGACTGTGCTTATGTGAACAGAGACAGAGTCAGGCTGTGCTTATGTGAACAGAGACTGAGACAGACTGTGCTTATGTGAACAGAGACAGAGTCAGGCTGTGCTTATGTGAACAGAGACAGAGTCAGACTGTGCTTATGTGAACAGAGACAGAGTCAGACTGTGCTTATGTGAACAGAGACTGAGACAGACTGTGCTTATGTGAACAGAGACAGAGTCAGGCTGTGCTTATGTGAACAGAGACAGAGTCAGACTGTGCTTATGTGAACAGAGACTGAGACAGACTGTGCTTATGTGAACAGAGACAGAGTCAGACTGTGCTTATGTGAACAGAGACAGAGTCAGACTGTGCTTATGTGAACAGAGACAGAGTCAGACTGTGCTTATGTGAACAGAGATTGAGTCAGACTGTGCTTATGTGAACAGAGACAGAGTCAGACTGTGCTTATGTGAACAGAGATTGAGTCAGACTGTGCTTATGTGAACAGAAACAGAGTCAGACTGTGCTTATGTGAACAGAGACAGAGTCAGACTGTGCTTATGTGAACAGAGACAGAGTCAGACTGTGCTTATGTGAACAGAGACAGAGTCAGACTGTGCTTATGTGAACAGAGACAGCGTCAGACTGTGCTTATGTGAACAGAGATTGAGTCAGACTGTGCTTATGTGAACAGAGACAGCGTCAGACTGTGCTTATGTGAACAGAGACAGAGTCAGACTGTGCTTATGTGAACAGAGACAGAGTCAGACTGTGCTTATGTGAACAGAGACAGAGTCAGACTGTGCTTATGTGAACAGAGACAGAATCAGACTGTGCTTATGTGAACAGAGACAGAGTCAGACTGTGCTTATGTGAACAGAGACAGAGTCAGACTGTGCTTATGTGAACAGAGACAGAGTCAGACTGTGCTTATGTGAACAGAGACAGAGTCAGACTGTGCTTATGTGAACAGAGACAGAGTCAGACTGTGCTTATGTGAACAGAGACTGAGACAGACTGTGCTTATGTGAACAGAGACAGAGTCAGACTGTGCTTATGTGAACAGAGACAGAGTCAGACTGTGCTTATGTGAACAGAGACAGAGTCAGACTGTGCTTATGTGAACAGAGATTGAGTCAGACTGTGCTTATGTGAACAGAAACAGAGTCAGACTGTGCTTATGTGAACAGAGACAGAGTCAGACTGTGCTTATGTGAACAGAGACAGAGTCAGACTGTGCTTATGTGAACAGAGACAGAGTCAGACTGTGCTTATGTGAACAGAGACAGAGTCAGACTGTGCTTATGTGAACAGAGATGAGTCAGACTGTGCTTATGTGAACAGAGACAGCGTCAGACTGTGCTTATGTGAACAGAGATGAGTCAGACTGTGCTTATGTGAACAGAGACAGAGTCAGACTGTGCTTATGTGAACAGAGACAGAGTCAGACTGTGCTTATGTGAACAGAGACAGAGTCAGACTGTGCTTATGTGAACAGAGACAGAGTCAGACTGTGCTTATGTGAACAGAGACAGAATCAGACTGTGCTTATGTGAACAGAGACAGAGTCAGACTGTGCTTATGTGAACAGAGACAGAATCAGACTGTGCTTATGTGAACAGAGACAGAGTCAGACTGTGCTTATGTGAACAGAGACTGAGACAGACTGTGCTTATGTGAACAGCGACTGAGACAGACTGTGCTTATGTGAACAGAGACAGCGTCAGACTGTGCTTATGTGAACAGAGACAGAGTCAGACTGTGCTTATGTGAACAGAGATTGAGTCAGACTGTGCTTATGTGAACAGAGACAGCGTCAGACTGTGCTTATGTGAACAGAGACAGAGTCAGACTGTGCTTATGTGAACAGAGACAGAGTCAGACTGTGCTTATGTGAACAGAGACAGCGTCAGACTGTGCTTATGTGAACAGAGATTGAGTCAGACTGTGCTTATGTGAACAGAGACAGAGTCAGACTGTGCTTATGTGAACAGAGACAGAGTCAGACTGTGCTTATGTGAACAGAGACAGAATCAGACTGTGCTTATGTGAACAGAGACAGAATCAGACTGTGCTTATGTGAACAGAGACAGAATCAGACTGTGCTTATGTGAACAGAGATTGAGTCAGACTGTGCTTATGTGAACAGAGACAGAGTCAGACTGTGCTTATGTGAACAGAGACAGAATCCGACCAAACTGACAAAACATACTCATCGTTTCTTTGTTTGCAGACACAAGAATTTGAGATAATTCTTCAAAAACATTCTGACACTAATATTGATCTTATCTGGGTATATTTTGATTTTGAATTTAGTTTGGAACAAGCAAAAATAGGAACAAAGAAATGAACACATGATCCTGAACGATTCACTTTTGGGTCATTAAATACTGTACAGCAGTGATTTTCAGCCAGAGTGTTGTGTATGTTTGTGCGCCTAAAGACTTTGCTTATTGGTCCAAACTAATGGGAGAAGATCAGAACAAATTATTGCACTTCTGTATGAAACACTTTGATGAGAATGACTTTGCTTTCTGATTAAATGCTGCAGAGTTTTAGCCGGTGGTGTGCCGTGAGATTTGTTTTCAATGGAAATGTTTGGGGAACACTGCTGTGCGGCACAATAGTTCTGCCGTTGTGTGTTCTCTATGATTAGCTGTAGTTAGTATTTACTCCACACTTTTATTAAGACTGCTAAACAGGAGTAGCTCTCTGTCATTTCTGTTTTATAAAAGTAGCTCTGCAATAATAAAAATCAAAATTTCAACCTTGGTTTTGCTAATTCCAGAAATTAACAGTAAAAACATACTCAGATAAGACTAATATTAGTTTCAGAAAGTTGTCAGTTTTTGCATTGTCTATAATGTGTCCTTCTGATCTTTACAAATGCCTGTAGAGGTCCTTGATAAACCCGGCGTGGCTGACTTTGCCGCACATAAAAAGCAAAATGATCGAGTTAAAAGTACTGACGTTTTTTCTTCAGCAAAGTAAACGAAATTCGGTAAAATGTGTGAAGCTAAGTTTGATCATCCATCAGCTATTGGCAACTGCCTCGCTTCAGTCTCCAAAATTAGACTTAAAATCACTAGAATATTCCCAGCGCATCTTCCCGTCGATATTTTTCCTTGTATTAATGCTCCGGTCGATGAGTGTGCAGTAAATAACGGCCGGATCTTGACCCTGGACATAAAGCTTCTCTCCGGTGTAAATAACTCTGTGTCTGTCGTAGATAAAAATTGCTGCTGCGAATGTTCTGCGGGAGACGTGGCTGATCTACAAACACGCCAAGCTCAAGAGTCACAAAGACCAGACCCGAGTCCGAGACCATCAACGGAAACTGCTGCTGGCCATACACCAGTAAGCACCAAACACACACAGATTATTATCAAAAGTTTGGGGAAGAAATGTGGAAATACTGTCTATAACGTCCACATTTTAGGGTCAAAGGTTATTTTTTCTCGGCAACTCAAGAGTTCAAAATGATCTCCCAGTTCATCAGAAATATGTGTTTAAAGCAAAGAGCCGTTCATAATAACCAGAGTACATGAAGACACCATTAGACTAGAACTACCCTGGTCTTACCATGTGTAAACTCAGGTCCATGGTCATTTCCTACATGTACGTCTGGTCTTACCATGTGTAAACTCTGGTCCATGATCATTTCCTACATGTACGTCTGGTCTTACCATGTGTAAACTCTGGTCCATGGTCATTTCCTACATGTACGTCTGGTCTTACCATGTGTAAACTCTGGTCCATGGTCATTTCCTACATGTACGTCTGGTCTTACCATGTGTAAACTCTGGTCCATGATCATTTCCTACATGTACGTCTGGTCTTACCATGTGTAAACTCTGGTCCATGGTCATTTCCTACATGTACGTCTGGTCTTACCATGTGTAAACTCTGGTCCATGATCATTTCCTACATGTACGTCTGGTCTTACCATGTGTAAACTCTGGTCCATGATCATTTCCTACATGTACGTCTGGTCTTACCATGTGTAAACTCTGGTCCATGGTCATTTCCTACATGTACGTCTGGTCTTACCATGTGTAAACTCTGGTCCATGGTCATTTCCTACATGTACGTCTGGTCTTACCATGTGTAAACTCTGGTCCATGGTCATTTCCTACATGTACGTCTGGTCTTACCATGTGTAAACTCTGGTCCATGATCATTTCCTACATGTACGTCTGGTCTTACCATGTGTAAACTCTGGTCCATGGTCATTTCCTACATGTACGTCTGGGTCTGATCCTAGTGGCTGCAGTTTTCTCGGTTGAATCCCCTTCGACCAATCAGAGAGCGGGGGAGGCGGGTGTTGTAGGTCGGTGTCGGTGACGTCAAGAGTTTGTGCTGAATTTGCTGGTTGTAGTTTGTCGGAGAATGTGATAGTAAAATAATCTGTTCTGGTTCAATCCAAATATCAAGAAACTGAAGCCAGAGCAAGAGGAATGTTTAGTAAATGTCATTGAAGCAAAGATGTTGTGGCTCTACTCCCCACGGGCTAAAGCTAGGCTAAATGCTAAAGCTAGGCTAAATGCTAACAGCCTCACTCACTCGGGCTCATTACATACGTCACAGTAAACTCAGATCCAATGGTTTCAATCTGCAAAAGGAGTTAGCCCCTCCCACCTGTTAACGGAGTCAATGGAGCAAATCCAGACTTTAGTATGAAATGAACTGAGTACAATGGTGTGGTAAGACCTGGCTAGCTCATAAGATAAATGATGCTAAAGCTAACCCTTGAAGATCATCCCAGCTGCTTCCATCACTGTCCACAGCCGTCATGACCAGAGACTGTAGAGTGTTTACAATCAGAGCTAACGTTTCCCACTCAGGGACAGTTCTCTTGAACAGGTGCAAATGTGTGGATAGCAACGACCTAGCAACCAAAGAGCCAATCAGGAACAGCGCCGGGTTATTCCCACTGCTAGCTGAAATCAAGTTGGGAATAGTGTATACTGGCACCTGATTGGTTCATCGTTAGGATTTATATCAAACATGATCAATATTCAACCACTAAGATCATATCATGAATCAGATTATGAGCTAGCATGTCAGCATAGTGTTAGCATTGTCCATAGTGTTAGCATAGTGTTAGCATTGTCCATAGTGTTAGCATAGTGTTAGCATTGTCCATAGTGTTAGCATAGTGTTAGCATTGTCCATAGTGTTAGCATAGTGTTAGCATTGTCATAGTGTTAGCATAGTGTTAGCATAGTGTTAGCATTGTCCATAGTGTTAGCATAGTGTTAGCATTGTCCATAGTGTTAGCATAGTGTTAGCATTGTCCATACAGTACATGCAGTTTTTGGTCATGACAGGCTCAGTGTGACTAATGCACAGCATGATCATTCAGCCTCCTCCACCCAGCAGCTCCTCCACCCCATCTTCTCCACCTCCTCCACTCAGCAGCTCCTCCCCCCTCCTCTCCACCCCACCTCCTCCACCCAGCAGCTCCTCCACCCCATCTTCTCCACCTCCTCCACCCAGCAGCTCCTCCCCCCTCCTCTCCACCCCACCTCCTCCACCCAGCAGCTCCTCCCCCCTCCTCTCCACCCCACCTCCTCCACCCAGCAGCTCCTCCCCCCTCCTCTCCACCCCACCTCCTCCACCCAGCAGCTCCTCCCCCCTCCTCTCCACCCCACCTCCTCCACCCAGCAGCTCCTCCCCCCTCCTCTCCACCCCATCTCCTCCACCCAGCAGCTCCTCCACCTCCTCCACCCAGCAGCTCCTCCACCTCCTCCACCCAGCAGCTCCTCCACCTCCTCCACCCAGCAGCTCCTCCACCTCCTCCACCCAGCAGCTCCTCCACCTCCTCCACCCAGAAGCTCCTCCACCTCCTCCACCCCCCCTCCTCTACCTCCTCCACCCCATCTTCTCCACCTCCTCCACCCAGCAGCTCCTCCTCCCTCCTCTCCACCCCATCTCCTCCACCTCCTCCATCCCATCTCCTCCACCCAGCAGCAACCCCCCCTCCTCTACCTCCTCCACCCCCTCTCCTCTCCTCCTCCATATCAAACACATCTCCTCCACCCCCTCCACTCCTCCTCTCCTCCACCTCTGCAGTTATGTTTTCTTTCAGGTTCAGTGTCCTCAGAGGAGGTTTCTCTCACTTCCTGCTCCACTTCTGCTGCTGACATCACTTCCTGCCGCTGGGTTAAATTTCCTGCACAAATGATATGAAAAGTCTGTTTTGTATCATTCTCAATCCTTTGTTCCAAATGAAGATAATATTGATTATGTATTATCTTCATTTCTCTGTCCTGGTTGAATGGCTTTAGTCTCTAATGACAGTTGTTGCAAAGAACCAATAATAATGATGAGAAAATCAAACCTTTTACATGTTACCGTTGACCCACTACCCCCCTCCCACTCAGTCTGTGTTGTTTAAAGCTGCACTAACTGACTTTATTTTTGTATTAATTACTAAAATGCTATCCATGTAGCGCAGATTTGTACTGGCGTGACATTATATTTTAGATTGAGTTTTGATGAAACAAGGAAGAGAATGTGTTTCGGGTCGCAGATTGTGACCAATCACAGCGGACCACTAGCCCCCACTTTCGTGAGAAATCTGCAGGTCCGTTAGCACAGACAGCTGAGTTAGCACAACAAGCGGCGGAGCTAACCTGAAACTTCCTCGTCTTCGTCACCGGTTACTGCTTACACAGCGAGACAGCCATCCAAAAGAAAGTCTCGTTCCTCTGCGCTTCCCGGTTCTATCGTTCTATGGTCACGCCATCCACGTGTAAATCCATATCCATGGTTTATCCATATTGGGAGACGCTAGCTCCGTCAACAACAGTGGGTGTGTGTGGGGGGCGATAGCTTCGTGGGTGCGGGGAGGGGAGCAGAAAGAGAGAGGCCAGAGAGAGGCCAGCGAGTCCACGGCTTCAAAATCCCAAAGTCAGTTAGTGCAGCTTTAAGAAGTAATATGTAAAACTGTGGCCAAAAGTGGTACTGCAGCCTCTCCCACTCTCCCTGACTCAGGTTGCCAGATATGCAGACGAATCCAGCTGGGACGATAACAGCTGAATAGACAAGAGTTTAGTCAACAACAAATCTATAACCAACACCTTTTTCACAAAGATAGAAATCCTGCTTTTATTCCTTGTTTTGTCGTTATCTTTCTGATTGGTGAAACGGTGGAGGGCGGGACATCGAAATGAAAACAATAACAAGATTTAGAGGCTGTAAATCCAATTAAAAACCCTGTTATCAGTTAAAGAAGTATTTGAAAATAGCAGTTTTTATTAATGTCTTTTCACAGATTAGGGCCCTTTAATGATGACTTGACATGAAAATCTTACATATTGCTACTTTTTGGCAGAAGCTAAACTAAAACAAACCATTGCACGTATGAAGAGTAAATGTTTTGCACAGACTGCGGAGGGTCAAAATGGAGAAGAGGTGTCTGGCCGACCAGGGCAACTCTCTGGTGGATATAATGAAGGTAAGAGAGGCAAGTGTATCCGTCACTCTCTTTCTCCCCATCGTTGTGTCAAACCCTTCGCTCTGACACTTCTGTTTCCACACTGCACCTTCATCCAACCACACGCAGATGCAGACGCTGATGTACGACGTGCTGACCGAGGTGCAGGGCTGTCGCGAGGACATGGACAACCACATCCTGGGCCTGGTCAAGAACGTGGAGGAGCTCCGCGAGGGCTTCCGGATCCTCATGCCCCTGCTCTCCAGCACCCTGTCCACCCAGAACTCCTCCATCAGGCACCTGCTGCGGGAGAGGGAGGGGCAGGAGGGGGGCGGGGCCGGGGGGGGTAGGGGGCGGGGCCGGGGGGGTAGGGGGCGGGGACAGGTAGAAGAGTCGGAACAGGGGCTGGAAGAAGAGACTGGACTGGGACTAGTGTGTCCAAGAGCGAACTACAGAAAGGCTTAATTTAAAGTAGCAATAATAGCAGATTTATTTTATTACATGAGGGAGAAAAAAAATGAACCAAAGCTTTTTTTTTCACTCATTTTACACACGAGAAGTGACATTAATCAGTTTATGTCATTTAACATGTTTTCTCTGATCTTAACCCTTTAGACGCCAAAGTATCCAAACTGTATGAGTTCCAGTACACTTTCTATACAGCGACCTGGCTTTTCTTTTTTTCCTCTACTTAGGGCTCCACCTGGTCATCATCACATCAAATGTATGAAAACTCTCTGGCGTCTGAAGGGTTAATGACAGTATTAGGCTGAAACTAGTCTGTAGATCACGGTGAAGTGCATTTGATGAGTTTGAATCACGTACAAAAAGCCTTTTGTTTCTAAACTGTTGTAAAGACTGAGGATTATGCAATAGTGAGGAGTGGTCTGCAGAAACTGGCACAACATTCCCCACTGCTTTTCATTTTTGTAGATCAATAGCTACATGCCCTTTTTATTTATAATAAACAGCTTTTTACATGTTTGTGGTAAAGTCTTTGAGTAAACTTTGGATCACACGAGCAAAACAGAACTGCATTAATACACTCAGGAAAACATCCAGAAGAGAGAAACTTTTAAATGTAATGCTTAAACCGCCCCTAACCTTTAGTGCAGTTTAGGGAAAAGGACACCCATGTATTTTACCGTTCATTTATCTTCAACCCCTTAGTCCATTTCAGGGTCTTGGAGCTGCACCTCCTGATCCTGCTGCAGGTGACGAGTCCACAGGAGTAAAACTACAGCCATATTCCATTTACTAATTGCCCGAATGCAGATCAGAGTCCAAATGTGTCATATGCAGCGGCACCACATGGAGTTTGAAGCAGAGACTCTGGAGGAATGTGTCCAAGTGTTTCGCAGACTCCCATTGATCCGTTTATAAATCCCACTTCAGAGCAATGTCATGTAAAAACACCTTAATTATTACCATTTCAAAAAAAAACCTGTTCATTTAGCTTTACTTGTATATGTTAAGACCCTGAGACTTCCCCGTTATAGACCGCACACAAAGGTTATTTAGCCAAAAACATTTTATTAGAGAGAAAGTGTCGGAGAGTGGAGTTACAGCTTTGCATAAAACGTTAGGACGCATAGGCTCTTCAAATCCGTGATGTTTTCGCTGATATCCACCGGTCCAGCCCCCTCTCTCGGCCGCCGAAGGGAAACTAGTGCTGCTTCCTCCTGAACGAGCACCCTGTTGAAGAAAAGGACAACATGAGCGGACAAAGAGCGGCTTACTGTACAGAAAAACTGCCCCACAGCACATCGTCGCTGCTGATGGTGAAATCATTACAATGTGACAAACGAGGGCTGCAGCGTCCTCTGAGTCCCACTACACTGCAGCCTTAAGCGCAGACGCCGCAGCTTCTACGGCCGATAACACAACTTCGTGTCAGGGACTTGTTCTCAGCCTTCGAAAGGAGGGAGCCAATAGTTTAGCTCAACCCTTCTGCAAACTGAGGCTTCTCTGGCACTGGGATGAGATTGGAAAACCACAAAACAAGGAAGTCCAGCCAATTTTCAGTGCGATTTAAAGCATAAAATGTGTTTGTCTACTTTTATATGAACATTTGAATCCCCCACTGTGTGCAGCTGACAATTATCAAGGGCTCATCAAAGGCATTACAATCTGGTAATGCCAAGACTGACAATGTGCGTGTTGATTAACTATCAGAATATTAGCTGTAAGTAAATATCTTAACTATCGCAGCCAAACACAAATACTTGAGTTATGAGCTCACTGGACAGAAAGCCCACATGATTTGCTCGTGGCATCAATCTCAGCAGAGATTAACGACACTAAGACGGGCGCCAGACACGATCCACTGTCACTTTGTTTAGACAGAGTTTATTCCAAAATACTGACCTTCTGTGAGACGTGCTTTTCCTCCGGTTGGCTGACACAGGACGGTGGAGCAGCCCACGCACAGAACGACCGTCTGCGCATGGCTGAACACCGTTGTGATCTTGTAGCATCCTAAAAAGAAAACGGACAAGTAAGTTCAGGTAGATCCAAGTTTCTAATGCGACTCAGGGACCAGGAGCGGATTGAGGTCTTTTTCATTTGTCCCGTTACACTACAGCTTTAAGAGAAGACGTTATAGCTTTGTATAGAGAGGGTTTTGACTTGTTCTCAGCCTTCGAAAGGAGGGAGCCAATGGTTTAGCTCAACCCTTCTGCAAACTGAGGTTTCTCTGGCACTGGGATGAGATTGGAAAACCACAGACCAGGAAGTCCAGCCAATTTTCAGTGCGAAAAAAATTGCATATGTAAACTTTGAGAAGTTGATTTGAGCCTATGGCAAAAATAAACTAGTGAAAGTGCAAAGAAACTGCCAAACAAAGACACTACATCCACTTTGTTGGTTCAGAAGTCAGGAGAGTTGGTCATCTCTGCATCATCCAAAATGTAATAACTTACAATAAATGGGGTTATTTGTCAATTGGTAGAGTTTGAGCCTAGTTTAAGGTAGGAGGATTTTCTACATCCGGGTAGATCAAGACTATTGATCGTCCCAATTCAAAAAGGAGAGGGCGGTTCTTTCCTAATATGTATGATAATCCACCAATATGGTTTTAAACGTATGAAAGCAATGCCATAAGTTCATGGCTACTGAAATGTCATGGTTGATCTGACATTGGCAGCAGGAGAGACACATACCTGGGCATTTCACATCCATAAAATACGAGTTAGGACTCTGAACAAGACGCTTCTTCTTGTGCCTCCTCTTCTCCTCCTCTGGGGATGGATGCAACAAGTCTTTTGCGAGCTGCGTAACAAAGAAAAGCACATATTAGCGTGATAATAACTCATCTGTGGCCGATAAGGAGTAATAATCATGTGCAAAAATAGAACTGCCTTAATAATGTTCAATTAATGTAGGTAAATGACGTGTACGTGTGTTATGTGGGGTCAGGGCGCTCCTCTGCGTGGCCTACTTATCTGGCTTTGACAACTACGATCCCCGTCATCTTCACTCATTTAGCCCACGTTAAACTTCATAATAAATACACAACATGACAGCACTGATTTATGCCCAAAACACAACACGACACATCATTAATATTCAGTAATTCCGTTCCTCGTTGCGCCCATGTTTGCGGTGTGCGCGCCGCCATCTTGTCTCACAATGCGCCCAAACGTGCTGCGTGATTTAGCACAAAATACGTGACGCAAATGCTTTTAAAACACAGAAAAAACTCCTTGCTGGGGTTGCTAACTCTTTATGTGTCTGTTGAGCCGCTTATAGCCCCTCTGATGGGTTGTTTAATGGCGGAAAGAGCATGTTTGGGGCCTCTCCATACTCACTGGCATGTTGGCGAGGAAATAGCCGCTGCCGAAAAGGACGCATAACCGGAAGCCACGGGTTGATATGTGTGGGGGCTCCGAGCACGGGCCGGAAGTGACGTATAAGGCTGATCGCAAATCCACGCCCATAACGTTCAATTAAACTGTATAAATGTGCAAAATGCGTGTATTATGTTGGTATATAATCTATTTGTATTATTGTTAAAACTAATCAACCGTAGATTTGTTTTGACAGCGACGTTTGAGCCTCTTGTAGTTCTGGGTTTCAACAGCAGGTGGCAGCACAAGCTCGTGGAAGAAAGCTCGGGTATCTAACTTGTTTCATAAATAAATCATGTTGTTGTTTGTCCCAACAGAAAGAGCAACATGTGCTTGACAAATCAGACCACAACATGGAGATGCTGTTATAATCTCGTTCGAAAACCTTTTATCTTTTGCATAAGATTTGGGCTGATCTGTTAGAAAAAGCTTTACATGTAATAATAACAAAAACATTAGGAACTAGTTGGATGGATTTGAACATAACCTGCATTAAATGGTTCTATTTTTGTGGTTTGAAAGTTAGGCACCTCAGCTTTAATAAATAACTGAGCAAAGTAAGCCATTTTAATGTTATCCAATTTTCACTTTGTCAGATTATACTACTATAGTATATTACTCAAATACTGTGTTTTATGAGTGAAACAACAATTGATTGATATTTCATTAAAGCATTTATTATAAAAACTGTGCAACACCATTAAAACAAGTTAAAAACAGAACATTTCATGAAGATTATTATATTATATTCATTCAGTTGTTTCACTGATCTGTGACAGTCTTGGCTCCAGGAGTTCTTCTATTTTCTGCAACAGTTCACACTCAGAGGAAATGTTGTTTCTCTGAAAGGAAATAATGAAAAAAAAACACTTATTTGAACAGATTTTTAGAGAAAGTGAAGTATTGTCATGACACAGACTTTAAGGCAGAGACGCAGCAGTCCTCCCTCTGTCTGCTGCTCCAGGGACGAGAGCAGCGACGGCAGCGACTTCTCTGTCAGAATGTTTCCTACGAACACACGTTTATAATGTTTAAAAATCATTTAACTGAACAAATCTGTGAACTACCTGTGCAGCTGCTGGAGGAACGTAAACAAAAGCGTTCAGTTATTTCATTTGGGAATTAGAAGGAAAATGTCTCAGTGTGTCTATATGTACCTGTGTCTCTGTGTCTATAAGTACCTGTGTCTATATGTACCTGTGTCTCTGTGTCTATAAGTACCTGTGTCTATATGTACCTGTGTCTCTGTGTCTATATGTACCTGTGTCTCTGTGTCTATATGTACCTGTGTCTCTGTGTCTATAAGTACCTGTGTCTATATGTACCTGTGTCTCTGTGTCTATATGTACCTGTGTCTCTGTGTCTATATGTACCTGTGTCTCTGTGTGTCTATATGTACCTGTGTCTCTGTGTCTATAAGTACCTGTGTCTATATGTACCTGTGTCTCTGTGTGTCTATATGTACCTGTGTCTCTGTGTCTATAAGTACCTGTGTCTATATGTACCTGTGTCTCTGTGTGTCTATATGTACCTGTGTCTCTGTGTCTATAAGTACCTGTGTCTATATGTACCTGTGTCTCTGTGTCTATAAGTACCTGTGTCTATATGTACCTGTGTCTCTGTGTCTATAAGTACCTGTGTCTATATGTACCTGTGTCTCTGTGTCTATATGTACCTGTGTCTCTGTGTGTCTATATGTACCTGTGTCTCTGTGTCTATAAGTACCTGTGTCTATATGTACCTGTGTCTCTGTGTCTATAAGTACCTGTGTCTATATGTACCTGTGTCTCTGTGTCTATAAGTACCTGTGTCTATATGTACCTGTGTCTCTGTGTCTATATGTACCTGTGTCTCTGTGTGTCTATATGTACCTGTGTCTCTGTGTCTATAAGTACCTGTGTCTATATGTACCTGTGTCTCTGTGTCTATAAGTACCTGTGTCTATATGTACCTGTGTCTCTGTGTCTATAAGTACCTGTGTCTATATGTACCTGTGTCTCTGTGTCTATATGTACCTGTGTCTCTGTGTCTATATGTACCTGTGTCTGTGTGTCTATATGTACCTGTGTCTGTGTGTCTATATGTACCTGTGTCTCTGTGTGTCTATATGTACCTGTGTCTCTGTGTCTATATGTACCTGTGTCTCTGTGTCTATATGTACCTGTGTCTCTGTGTGTCTATATGTACCTGTGTCTCTGTGTGTCTATATGTACCTGTGTCTCTGTGTCTATATGTACCTGTGTCTCTGTGTCTATATGTACCTGTGTCTCTGTGTCTATATGTACCTGTGTCTCTGTGTCTATATGTACCTGTGTCTCTGTGTGTCTATATGTACCTGTGTCTCTGTGTGTCTATATGTACCTGTGTCTATATGTACCTGTGTCTATATGTACCTGTGTCTCTGTGTCTTTATGTACCTGTGTACCTGTTTGTACCTGTGTTTACATTGGACATTTATCGTTGTTTCACTTCCTGACTGGAATAAATCTGTTTCTACGTCGCAAATAAAAAAAACAGACAAAAACAGCCTGAACACAAATATGGCTCAAAGGTACGTGACCTGCTAAACTGAGGTAGATCAGAGTTGAGTTTCCGGAGAGAAAGAGCTGTCGGTCCCTGGACTGTACCAAGAGGTCCAGGAGGGGGTGCACTGTCTCCTAAAAAAAAATGACAAAAAATTTAAAAATGACAAAAATTGTTTTGAACGGACGATTTTTGTCTCAAACCTCGATCTCAGAAATTGTCATCTTCTCCTGCACAAATAAACGTATCGTAAATATGTTTCTCAGATTACATTATATTTATTTTACTGTTTTGAAATTTGATTTTAGCTTGCACTGTTTTTTGGGCATTATAGAAAATGATTAACTCTAAATGATAGACTAGAACAGGGGCGTCCAAACTTTGTTGTAATACAGCCACTTTAGTTTGTCAGAATTGTCCACGGGATTGAAAAACTGTTTTCTCAGCTTCAAAAAGGTTGACGTTAGCTACAATAGCAACTCTATTTTGTCCCACAATCAAAAACAAGTAACACGTGTAAAACAATCTTTACAACAACATATAACATACATATATTGGTAGAGCTGAAGTTGGCTGGATGATAGCACGTGTCAGCGAGGCTGAGGGCCAGATAACATGACACAGAGGGCCGTATTTGGCCCGCGGGCCTGAGTTTGGACCCTCCTGGACTAGAGCATTGTTTTGATGGTTATCTTCTCATGGTCAAACCTCTGGAGCGTCGGCAGGAGTCGGTTTCTTCTTTGCTGCAGACTTCAGTCCTTTCTGTTGAGCTGCTTTTGCAGCAGCTGCAAACATCCAAGATTAATGTTAAATATTATTTACAATGTGTTTTTTTATGATCAGGGACAGAAAGTGCTTTACTGTTGTTTGTGGAACTTTTACTGTTTGTTGTAGACTTTATAAAAACTTTTACCTTTTGCAGTTTTTTGTTGACCCTTCTTTGGGGTTTCTTTCTGGACAGGAGCTGGTTTTTCATCCTTTTTCACCATTTCCTGCAAAACAAAATAGATTCAAAATCTGTGAGTCAAATTAAACATAATATTGTTTTAACACGTTACCTTCTTCTTAGCGTTGGGTTTAGAATCTACTTTGACCGCTGCGGGCGCTCCTTCGTCCTGAGGATCCAAACCCACCTGAAAAACATCTGTAACATTAACGTCTGACATTAGACCGAGACTTTAGTGATCCTCGTGACCCAGGAAACTTCAGACTGTGGTGGAAACCACTGAGAACCACTGGGAACCACTGAGAACCACTGGGAACAACTGGGAACCACTGGGAACCACTGGGAACAACTGGGAACCACTGGGAACAACTGGGAACCACTGGGAACCACTGGGAACAACTGGGAACCACTGGGAACAACTGAGAACCACTCGGAACCACTGGGAACCACTGAGAACCACTGGGAACCACTGGGAACAACTGGGAACAACTGAGAACCACAGGGAACAACTGGGAACAACTGGAAACCACTGGGAACAACTGGGAACAACTGAGAACCACTGGGAACAACTGAGAACCACTGGGAACCACTGGGAACCACTGAGAACTGAGAACCACTGGGAACCACTGGGAACCACTGGGAACAACTGAGAACCACTGGGAACCACTGGGAACCACTGGGAACAACTGAGAACCACTGGGAACCACTGGGAACCACTGGGAACCACTGGGAACAACTGGGAACCACTGGGAACCACTGGGAACAACTGAGAACCACTGGGAACAACTGGGAACAACTGGGAACAACTGGGAACCACTGGGAACAACAGAGAACCACTGGGAACAACTGGGAACAACTGGGAACCACTGGGAACAACTGGGAACCACTGGGAACGCCTAGAATTCCCTCGGATGAGCTGCAGGAAGTGTGTGAGTGAGATTGAGGCAGTCTGCTCAGAGTTGTGCCGAGTCTCAGATAAAGTGTAAATATTATAAATAAAATATATCAATATATACTTTATCAATATCAATATTAAAATAAATATTTTGGAGAATTCAAACTGTGATTGTTTTCTTATGTTTTTCTGATGAATTTCATTTTTGTAGAAAGTAATCTCTACAGATCTAGACTTTGTAAAAGATTATTGAATTGGCTGAACAGTTTTGAACACAGTCCCATGTTGTGGCTCCAGAGGTTCAAAGAAACGATGCCTATTCATGACATCTGTGAGTTATTTGAATGATTATGCATCTGTTAATACATACATGTGCATCTGTGCAGCCCTTGTAAGTATTGGTTCATAAAAACAGAATATGAACAGTCATAATAACATGATATAATGAGACACGTACACTTGTCCAGTCCGTCTTCCATGACAGCAGTTTCCTTCGTTCCACCACCTCTTCATGAGTCAAAGGAAACTCCCCCAGAATCTGAAACAAAACCTCAGACTTTAAACCAGGCAGAAGAACGAGAGCAGTCAGAGGCTTGAATGTAGACGGACCCTGGAGAGATGAGCGGCCCCTGAGTCTCCGATCTGATTGTTGGCCAACGACAGGAAGAGCAGGGTCCGGTTCAGACGCAGCCCCTGAGCACGGACCAGACACATGTTCAGCTGCTGCACAAACACTTGGCTGTGGTATGTTTCTGATCATTTCAGTTTTAAAAGTACACATTTACACATTTACAGATTCACAGATTCACAGATTTACATTTGTCGGTCACACTTTGATTGATTGAATTTGAACAGTTTTCAAGGTATTAATATCGTTGTGTTTGCTGTGAAGTTGATATTACTTCACTGTACTGCTGTCACCTTACATTGTGTGCACCATGTGCACTTGTATATTGTAAATAGTAACTGTAACTCTATTTTAAATTTTAATTTATTCTTTAGAAGTGTTTTTTATTCTTTATTTTTATTATCTCTTTCTGACTGTTGCACTGAGCCAAAGCAATTTCCAAGTCTGTGACCTCCTGTTACTTACGTGGCAATAAAAATGATTCTGATTATTGTTGTAAAGTCCTGTGCTGTAGATCACTTTGTCCCAGAGCAGGGGTGTCGAAGTCAAGGCCCGGGGGCCAGAGGCAGCCCACGAATGATCTTGGCCCCGGGATGATATTTGACTAGTGTTAGAACCGGCCGCACAGAGATATAAGAACATATTTGAATATTCATTTCATTGTTCAGGTGTTTTCTCTTTGAAGGAAGTTTGTTTTTGTCTGTGAGCTGTTGACAAATGTTTTCACTTGAAATGACAAAAATATTGGTTTATTCATTGAATCAGTAAATAGAATACGGTCCAGTGTGTTAGGTCTTGGTTCAACAGGTTTTATGCAACATTTTAATATGTTTTAATAAACATTGGACCAGTGCCATCCTCGGCTCGTGCAAATCTATCTGACTTTGACATCTCTGAACGAGAGTCTCCAGGTTTAAACCTTATGTGTTATATACTTTGTTTCTTTATAAGCTAACATATGCTACAGGGCTATTGTTGTGCTTTTCAAACAGACATTGATCTTGTGCTGTGTGCTCCTCAGTGTAGCTGATCTATCACCTGTGATGCAACAGGTGATAGATCGTGTCTATTTTTGGTTGATTTCACTCAAAGGAAAGTGTTTTTGACCTGAGCGAGATACGCTGCTCCTGCGTCTCCGATGGAGTTGAATGCGAGGCTGAGGAAGAGGAGGTTTTTGTTGGAGGTTTTGGGCGTGGAGAGCGCGGCGCCGATCAGACGAGCGCCTTCGTCTCCAATGTGGTTATTTCTCAGGAACAGGTGAGTGATGCTGAACAATGTGAAGAAAAGCACATTTGATTGAGCAGCAACACGTTTATCACACATGAAGAAGAAACGTTGAGCTGTCACTCACACACTGTCGTTTGAGAGGAGGAGGTGGAAGCTGTGGCGTGGGAGCGGGTTTCCCTCCAGATACACCACTCTGAAACAAACAATAACATGATATTACTCATTCACTTCATACACAGTGGTGAACTACTGCTGACGCCACAGATGCCCTGGGGCAGACTGACAGAAGCAAGGCAACTCATCTGTGCTAGAAGCCTCTTCAATCCTGAGCACCAAAACAACTGAATAATTCACTTTAATAATAATAATGCATTGGTTTTATGTAGAGCTTTTCTCTTCACATCATTCATTCTTTCTCTCCAAACACGGTGGTGAACTACTGTAGCCACAGCTGCCCTGGGGCACACTGACAGAAGCGAGGCAACCAGGCTGTGCCATCGGCCCCTCCCACCACCACCAACCATTCACACACACACCAGACTCATTCTAATGTGGGGGAAGTGTACTTGTATAGGGTGTAAATGTATAAGAAAGGTGTAAATATTGTCAAATTCACACAGAGAAGAACAACTGCTATAAACCTGAAATTTATTTTGAATTAAATAAAAAATAAGAACAATTGAAAATCATTAGCTGTTAATAACAATATTCTTAGATATGTTCAAACAGATTCTTCTGCAACAAACTTTTGTACGAATAATGGCTTTATAAACTAAAACAATGCAGATTGAATGTAAAATGTTTGGGGGGGGGGGCACATGTGCATGATCGCAGCTGTGGTCAGACACAATGAAAAGGCCTCGTGTGAAAAGACAGATTTCTGACCTGAGAGACAGCGCGCTTGAGAGCAACAACACCATTTCATCCGTCAGTCTGGCTCGCCAAAAACTGAAAAGAAATATTCACATGAAACCTCAAAACACACAGTTTGATGATCACCAGCCTCTCACTCACTGGATGCTCTGAAGTTGGCTCAAATCTTGAAGTAGCTTGTTCAAAACTTTCATAATCTGCTCGTCTACTTCCCATCCTGTTTCAATCACACACATGCATTGGTAGTCGCGAAATGAAAACGGATCGGTCGTTGGGACGTGTCTCACCGATTATCCTCAGGCCTTTACTGCTCAACTGGCTTTTGTTTTCTAAATCCACGCAGAGATACGGCTTCGTCCAGAGAGCTGTAGTTCGGACCTCGTTTTCCTCTGTGAAAGTGTAAATACAACTTTTTGTTATTGTGAAGTTCTAATCTGAACTTCCATCAATATTTGGCTTTTTCAAATTGTGATTATCTAGATACTTTACAACTTCTTGCCCATGTCACTAGCTGTTTTTATTTTGTAAATACCTGTATGCACATTCTAAGTTGTACTACTCTACCTACTGCTGTATGTATAGACTTTATCTGATTATTGCATACAAAAATTATCTGCGTATGTTTTCTGAATTTAGTATTTTTTTGTAGGGGTTGGAGTGGGATCTGAGGGAGCAAACCTGTCCTGTGTGTGTTAAATATGTAAATGTTATTTGTTTGTATTGTATTTTATGTATTGTGTTTGTTTTCTGTTCATGGGACCCTCTCAAAATGTAGATGCGGCATAAAATAGAATCAAATCAACACCACACGCTGACAGGAGAGGGACAACAGGGAGCCTTACTCATGAGATGGGTCACTATTTGCTTCCAGCTTCGCTTCATAGCTTCTTGGCGTATTCAAAAAATCACAAATTAGTAAACCTCAGACAGTTGAACACCAGTTTATCTACAATACAACCATGAGTTTCACCTGGTGTTCTTTCCCTTTCAGTTTTTCTGATTTTACTGTGGACAGGTGGTATGCTCTTTTTATCCAGGAGAGCACAGAGTTTAGGGAAGTCCACCTGGATATTGCCTGAGCACTGATAGTCATCTGGAAGAAAACAAATAAGGCTCTAGTTTGAACTGAACACACAAAACAACACCTGCCTCAAAGACTCACAGACCAAACACAGCTTTATCTGGTGACTTACCAAAGGTCAGACAGGTTACAGACTCAGGGAGGGACTGTGCTGGTAACAGATAAGCAAACACATACATGTAGATGGCAAACACAAAAGGTAGACAAAATCCATATGTAAATATAATATGTTTTTCTTATGGACATTGGGAGTTGATGTATCTGCACATTTTCCAACTAAAATGACAAAGGGAGAATTCAACATGTATTTTTTTTAATGTTATCCAGACATCATAATACAAAATTGTTAAAGCTGGAAAATTAACATTCCAAAAAAAAACAAATTCTGTTGGAGAAAGTGAGGTACACCACGTCACCATGAGCTTTAGGTATAGGCTTCATTTACACAATCTCCAGATGAGATCAGCGTGTAGGAGATAGGTTAACATCATGGATAGCACAGGTTTAAGAGCTAGCTTAGCTTTGAATGTCTATAATTGTGAACATTTACAGTCTGTGGTCTGTACCCGACAGTCTTCTTGGGGCGTCCTCTTGTGCCGCTGTATCTTTTCCAGCTTTCTTCATTGTTTATTCTTTATCTTTTTGCCAACTTAATAACACTGTTAGCATTTTTAGCTGAAGATAGCCACTGGGACGCGCCTGTCCACGTCACCATGGCAACCATACACAGACTGGTTGTCAGGGGGACGCTTTCCTTTTTCTTTTCCTTTAAAAAAAAATGTTTTCATGATTATAATTGGATTTTTTACTATTTAAAGAAAGCCTCAATGACTACTGCGACCACAACGCGTATCTTTAAAAAATAAATGTTTAAAAAGTATTTTCGGGTCACCATGGCAACCACGCACGCACGCTCGAGAAGAATGTTTATTGTGGCCTAGTAACGCGAGTCTCGCACGAACTACTTCCCGTTACTTGCTTATTTTCGATTAACGCCGTTCTATTTGGACATTTTGGTGTTATTTGTGTGTTTGGAGGAATGCAAAGACGAAGGGGAGACATGAAGACTCTGGGCTTCACCGTCAAGTCCCAGATGAAGCACTCGGAGGTGATCGGACCCCCCGTGGCTGGGACCTTCCGGGAGCGACCGTCCAAACCTACGCTCTTTCGAAAGTTTTACGAGCGAGGCGAGTTTCCTATGACGCTGAAGCACGACACCAAAGGAAACCGCATCGCATGGAAGGTCGAGATAGAGAAACTGGACTACCACCACTACCTGCCGCTGTTCTTTGACGGACTGTGTGAGACGGAGCACCCGTACGAGTTCTTTGCCCGGCAGGGGATCCATGACATGCTGGAGAATGGAGGGCCCAAGATCCAACCAGTGATCCCCCAGCTGATAGTGCCCATCCGCAAAGCTCTCAACACCAGGAACCGCCAGGTCATCTGCACCACCCTGAAAGTCATCCAGCACCTGGTTGTGTCCGGGGAGATGGTGGGGGAGTCACTGGTGCCTTATTACAGACAGATCCTGCCCATTCTGAACATCTTCAAGTCCATGAACGTAAACACCGGGGATCGCATAGACTACAGCCAGCAGAAGAGGCAGAATGTGGGGGAGCTGGTCCAGGAGACTCTGGAGCTGCTGGAGAGATACGGAGGAGAGGAGGCCTTCATCAACATCAAGTACATGGTGCCCACCTACGAGTCCTGCATGGTGAACTGAAGAGGATCCTGCAAATGTTGTGTTCTTTGTCCCACATCCTTAAAATATATATACATATCTTTATTCCAAAACTTCAAATAAAGTTATACATGTAATACACTCAATTGTTGTATTTTGTAAAATGATTAGAGCGGGTTAAGTCACAATAATGTAGTGCTTTTATTAAAAAAACAAACAAAAACAAATATAAAACAAAAGTAAAAACAAACAGCATTTGCATGAATCATAATTACAAACGAGTGGAAGAAGATTCTGACAAACTGTACACATCACAAAATCTGCCAGTCTGCCATTTACAATGCTTGCATCTTATTTTGTGATTGTCTAAAAATAACTAAACAAATCACACAAAACACACAAATACAAGTACAAGCATTATACCATGACCGCTATCACAAAACCGTTTCCTATTTCAAAGAAAAGAAACAAATAAACATGATATGCGACTGACAGCTTCACTTTTGTTCTGTCAGCGTTCAAAAATATTATAACATTTTTATGTTGTTTGTTTTTTTAGTGTTCAACACTTTGCAGCAAAAACAAGGAGTAAATTTCTCCTTAAAGTTATATTATTAACAATATTCAGAGACAAAGGTGTCTTTGTGGAGCCACTGTCCAATGTCTTCTGCCGGACATTCGATCATGCACTACATAGAGAAATTTCATTTATAGGCAACGAAAGCTTCAGTTTGTGTCTTAACCACAGTAAGAGATTTAAGGACATTAAAAAAGTAATTTCCTCCGAGCTTAAGTGTCTTCATGAGAGTAATACAAACGGAAGAAATAATATTATTATTCTAATAGTCATAATACATTTAGGGCCTGTACAGTACAATAATAAACAATATTGCTTTAGAGACACAATGTTATTTACAAATGTTGGCACTGTACAGCTTCCTGTTTCACTCTGGTCTCATTCTGTCAGTTTAATGGGACTCTCAGGACGTCTCTTTTAGAAGAGGCAATTTGGGGAACGATGAAATTTCATCAAATATCACAATTTAAAACATTCTCCATGGTAACCAGGACAAAGTTTAAAGACAAAAAAAGCAAAATCCACCCTCCCTCCCAATATACAGTGTGTCCCCTCCCCCCATAGTATAAGAAAATATGACCATCACGATACATTTCATGTTAAGTATTGTTTTCATAATTTTCTTAAAACTGTTAATTGCCATCGAGCCCTTATTTTTTTGTTCTTTTTTTAAAAAGGTATATTTGAATATAGAAGCACAGTCTGTGCACACTCACACAAGGCAGTCAGCTCGGCTGTAAGGCGACGTGAGGCCGAGGTCTCCTGCTTTGTTTTAGCTGGTGAACATGTTTCTTCAAGCAGAGGCGACTGACTGCCTTACAAAGGTAATAGAAAATTAAACCTTAACAAGACACTTTGACAAAAAGCGCAAAAAGCTCCAAAAGACCCCTCCCTTCTTTACCAAACAAACCCACCCCAGTTTCAGGTACAGTAAAAGAGAAAAAGATAATAGACTAACTTGTTTTCAGACTGCATCATCCAATACTGAGCGTTAGTGCGTTCCATTATCGATACATTACACAGAGCTCCACCACATCCTCTGTACCAAAAGTGCAGTTCTCTAACTTCACGTTCACTCCTCGTGTGAGTGTCAAACCCACAGCTCCACATCTGTCCGGGCCCTTGTCACGTGTGGTCCTTGCAGCAAAATCCCACAGGGGCAATCTCCAGCCTCCTCATTACAGAACCTCCCTGCTTCCATGCTTTACTCAGTACCAACTGGGTCCAAAACAATATCTAAGTGCATGGGTTATGTTTCCTATGGTCGTTATAATGTTTTGCATCATAAATAAGCAATAAGTCCAGGTCAGCTACGCCACTGCCCCTGTCAGTCCTCTTGAGCAGCTTAAATTGCCATGAAGTCAGCGTTTCCACACGCTTTTAGAGTCAAGATGGCGGCTTTAGAGGGGGTGAGCTCAGAAGAGGTCCCCAGCGACACATTGTGGTTCCTAATGGTCAGTCGGCTAACAAGTCTCCACTATCTGCTGCCCTTTGCTCAAAACGTGTAGGTAGCAAATCATTTCCTCCTCCAAAACCCCCAAGTTCAAGTAACATGGGGGAGTTGGGGCCAAAAGTCCATCCAAATTTACCATCACAACAAACATCTTGCGCATCAGCATCTTAGCAGCGGCTCTAGCCATACATGTTACGCATTTTAGGTTGTGCTAAAAGTGTTAAAATGTACTGCATAGGTTCAGTAAAAGTTGGAGTAATATGGTTTCTATTAAAAAGCCAAACAAATAAGATACGGCTTGGACTATAGCTGTATGTATATTTGAAGCTTTAGCAGCAGGACAAACAGAGCACAGAGATCAGGAAACGTAAAATGAAACAATCAAAGCATCGTTCTCTGCCTTTTTGACGCAACAATGATCGTAAAAACCCTCAGTCGTCTGCGGCTCGGCTCGGCTTGTTCGCGCCGTCGCCGGGTTTGTTTGGTGTCCTGTGCAGAAGATCCAGTAAAATCTTGTTGAGTCTTTCCCGCTGAGCCTCCCTGCGGCCGAGCGCGAGATGAGGCAGCGGCGACGGCGAAGGCTGCTCCGACGTCTCGCCCGAACGCGTACTTTCCTCTTTCCGTTTTTCAGTCTCCGCTGCTTCCTCTTCGACCTCCGCGCTGTGGTGCTGTGGCTCCCCTTTCCGGTGTTTCCGCGACCGGCTGCTGCTGCTGCTGCTGGGCTGGGGCTGGGGCTGAGGGGGCGGGGCCTGATCCGGAGGGGGCGTGTCCGTGTCCATGTCCTCCGCGCCTCGGCTGTTGTCCTCGTTCAGAAAGTCCCGTTCGCACGAAGAGGAGGCGTCGTCCTCGAAGCCCTCGCCTTTGGGACGCTCGCTCTTCCAGGCGGAGCGGCCCCCGTTCCTCTTGTAGTTGTCCGGGACGTAATGAGGCTGCGGCACAAAGACGACCGTTACAAAAGCTGAGGTCAGAGGTCAGGGCTTCTTTCATCTCCAAACACTAAACACATAGATACTTTACTGATCCTTGTTGGAGAAAATTCAGGTGTCCCGTAGCAGCAAAAATGAATAATAAAATCATTCTAAAAAGCTGACAATGGTAGTAAAAAGCAACAGCCTCGGGTCAAAGCCGCCTCTGGGTGGAGCAGGACGGTAAATACTGTGATCATGTGAAATACTGCCACTTCAGAGTTATCATGCCCAATATGTATATAACTGCACTTTATATACAGATAGATAGAATTATTGATGTATTGATATTGAAGCATTTGCAGCTAGCTAAGAAACAGCAGCTACTTTTATACTTATATTTTGTGTGCTCCCTGTGTCTCTTACTATTGTCCTGTATGTGCGCTACAACATTGAAATGTACATAATTATCCTAATATAAAACTGAACATTTTCAATTAAGATGATTTTATGAGGAGTTTTTTGATGAATGTGTTTCTGCTGCTACTGGATATCTATCATCTATATCGATCGATCTGACTAACTATGACTTCTTCTTCTCTCTCAAACTCTCAAACTGCTCACCGAGAAGTCCCTCTTGGGCGTGAGTCTCTTGGGGAAGTGGTTGAAGGCGTACGGCTTGGTGCACACTGGGTAACGGTTGCGGTGGATCTTGTAGAACAGATGAGCCGACTTGTCCAAGCGGTAGTCACAGATGTACACGTCCTGCTCCTTGACTCCTTTGGGACGTCCTGCAGACACAAACACCAGGGTCAGTGTGTTTCTCAAGCTGCGGTACCTTCTGTAGGAGCCATAATCTATTGGGCGTGGGTGTCGTGCCGGGAGTTTTGAAAGGCACTCCTGCTCAGTGACAGGGAGAGGGGAGAAGCCGGGTAGCCGTATTTTTCGTTGACCGCACACTTTTGTTTCCTGTTTTACTCACAGGCCTGTGTCATATTCACTGTAAAAATCATGAACCATTGCTACAATTAAATCCACAAAACGCAGTACGTGCCTCCAGCGTGTTCTTTACAATCGGCTGCGCGTCATCCATTATCCTGGACCCGCGCATAGTTTTGGGTCGCTACATTTTGTCAACAATAAATACGGCTTCTCCCGGCTTCTCCCGTCTTCAAATGAGCCGCTGTGAGTTTCATCTTTTCTTCTTCCAGTTAGTGTTTGTGACGTGTGCTCGGCCTCACCTTTGCAGTAGGTGTACAGGTCCAGGACGCAGCAGGGAGCCACCACGGCCTCCAGGGGCACGATCTCGTACAGAGGCATCCGGAACAACTCGTTTTGGTAAAAGCGTCTGGACGGAGAGTGGTGCGTCTCGTGTGGACGAAAGTAATGATGACCGAAGGCAAAGCGCTCCCCTCTGAGAGAGACAAGGGCAGGGATTATTTACTCAGCTTCAAAAGGTTTTTTTATGCCTGGAGCTTGAATCATGAAAGGCGTAGTTCAAAATCATAAATCTATCACTGGAAATATTGTTGTAAAAGTGTCGTTAAAGCTGGGTTACCTTACTTTAAAACCGCAGACATGTTACTGTATCATAAAATCCATCTTTCTTTGCTCTCAAAACGTCTAGTTCTTTCTCTACAGCCTCAAAACTTAAGATCAGCAAACGTTTTCTAATAAAATGATTTATTCCAAACATTTTACTTTTATAAAACTCTTTCTGTTGAGACAAAATGTGTTAACTATAGAAAAATAGGTATTCCAGCTTTAAATGTACCAAAGAAATTCCTAACGAGTATACTTCTATGTTGTGTATTATCATTTTTGAGAAGGTCAAATATACTTCTGTAACAAACTGTATGATAAAAATGGTTGGCCTAATCTAATCCAGGCATGTCCAAACCCAGGCCTGCGGGCCAACTGCGGCCCTCTGTGTCATTTTATGTGGCCCTCTGCTGCTAACACAAAGTCCCCATTGAGGAATCATCCAACCAACTTCAGCTCCACCAATACAGTCATGCTATACTTTGTTGTAAACCTCAAACCCTCTGGAATCCACTTGTTCACTCTGTTGTTATTAGAGTGTGTTCACAGTAAAGTGACAATTGAAGTATCTGGACTTTAAAAGGTTATAACTTAAAAACTAAAATTACTTTCATAGATTGGAAAAAAGATTTCAAACGCAGACAGATTGAAGAGATAGTGTGAAAAAAATCAAAAGGAAAGATTGACATAACATTTTTTAGCAACATTTTAAACGACCAAATGAGCCTCTGATTGGACCATTCTACTGTGACGCAGTTACATAGAAAATTAAATGTCCTCAGTCTGAAAAAGCAGAAGATGAAATCCCACAAGATTTACATGGTTAACACAACAGAAGGAAATCACTTGATATAAAAAGGAATCGTAAACAAATAAAAAATTAATTAATTAATTAAACGACCCCTGAAAAATGTATAACGGACGTGATGAGGACGGTCCTCTTTTCTCTGAAAATTAAACTTGAGAGAAAAATAAATCTGGTCTGTTTTCACATTTAATTAGTTGACAATATGAAAGTATCACTTTGCATCTACTTTGTGTAAAAAAATAGAATCTCTGAATCAAATGTGGACATCTGAAAATACCTATCAAACTTCCACAGCTCATTCCGTCAAATCATCACCGTCTGTTACATAAAATAAACAGGGCCGCTACAGGAAACTTGTCTAATGTATAAAACAGTTATGTTCTAGCAACTTCTAATGAACAGAGGAGGTGTTTGGAAACATGAAAAACATAAAATATCTTCTGATTATTAAAATCTAATTTTTAGCCTTTTGTCACACTTTTGTGCCCTTTAGTGTGAACAAGCCCATTTACTGACATTTGTTTTATGATTGTGACACAACATTCCAAATGAAATGCAGCAGTGAATCAATACAGACGTATCATAACCCATTTTAAATTACAGAATCCAGTCAATCCAGCTCAAATCCAGGTTTTTAAATCAAAGTGGTCGGCCCCAGGTCAAGTCTGATGACCTAAAGTGGCCCTCTTACTAATGTTGTATATTTTAATATTTGACCATTTGAACATCATAGCCAGAAAGACCTCTGTGCACTCAGGAAAAACCCCAAGGACAAGATAGTACGAGAATCATAAAGGAGGACCAGCTTACAAAAGCCAGACAATTATTGACTCCCAGAATAAACACATGTGTGGCAAATTTGACCTATGGATCCCCCGCAGCCCCCTCCCGCAGCAGCTGCGTTTACACAGGCGCCGCACGGGTGGGGGCATTGTTTGCTTAAGCAGAGACCAGACCAGTCTCAGACCAGAGACCAGTTTCAGACCTGTGACGTCATCGGACCCTGGGCACAGGACCTCCCTGATACGACATGCCCCCTGCTCCCTGAACATAATGCTCTGGCTTGGGAAGAGACGGGAGAATCAGCCGAGGGCCAGGAGAGGGACATATTAGTTTAGGAGCACTTTTTTTGTTGAATATTCTGTATCTGATTGTAAAGATAATTAAATGCAGATGTTAAACGTGAAGATCTCTTGTCTCGCTCATGCATCGACTTTGGATACGTCAGTCAAAGGGAATTATTGACTACATTTGGTGAATCCCGACGTGATCGGGGCAGGAGCGGGACAGAGATGAGCTCAGATATAGAGACTGGATTTGTGGGTTTGGAAAAATCTCTCTGCTCTTCAAAAAGGTCGCTTCTAAGGTAAGCGGATCACAGTTTTGGAAATCTGCACATTGTTTTAAATAGAAGAGAGAGAGATTTTGGCTCGACAGATTGCAGCGTGGCCAGACGACCGCCGTGACGGGGCGTTCTATCGGACGCGATAGAACAATAGTCAGGTTTAGACGTTTTAACCTTGGGGGAAGCATGGGTCCCTCCAAAAAAAACAGAATAGATGTTGAAAAGAGAGCCACAGGATTTAGAAGTGCAAAAGAGGCACACCTTCGTGCAGAGAGGCACAAGCATATTAGTGAAAAATAGGAATAGAATTAGAGAAATAGGGATAGTTAGGGTCAGAAGTGATAGGATAATAAAAACTCCATATCCCCCGGGGGGCGGGAAAAAAGGGTACATTTAAACAGAAAAAAGCCAAGTATTTAAAATGTGGATTCTGATAATAATGATCTGATTAATGAGGAAAAAAGAGAGCCACTTGGCTGTAGTATACGAGTTTCATGTGAAGAAATGACAAAAGATCAGTCTGGGAGTTTTTCTCTTGTATTCTGATGTAATGTTTCGATAGTTACAGAGAATCAGGAAAAAAAAAAAGATTCTGCTGGAACTCTCGATACATTAATCATGTAGCAAATGGTAATGTTTTCCATTACTGACGTATTTAAGGATAAAATGTAAAGTGTCGTTTGACGTGAGAGAAACTTTTACCACTGATTTAAAACCTTGTCACGAGAAAAACGAGGAAAGTATTTCAGACTCCATGCTTCCTTTGTTCGGGAGGGCCCCTCCCCTCCCTCGTTCTGTCCTCTCTCTCTCTCTCTCTCTCTCTCTCTCTCTCTCTCTCTCTCTCTCTCTCTCGTGAAGACAGAACTATTACCAAAGACATTTTTTGATTTGTAGAAAATTACATTTATACACACGATAATGTTACTGACATGGAGTCATAGGATCACAGAACTTTGAGTTAGATTATAAAGAGGCATTATTTTATTTTTTATTTTTTATCTCCAAGGCGTCTAGACAAGTTTTTTTCCCTACATTTTGGTGATATAAAAGTTAGAATGATCTTAGAGAGCATTATACTTTTGGAAAAATAGGGCTTAGGATAGCAGTTGAATGCAGAATTCGGTTTTCAGAATCTAATGTTTAAAATGTTAATATTAATTATTCCATAGGTTTATTTTGAATTGTAATTAATCATTGGTTTGGTATGGTAATTAACACACTTGTTTGTGTTTCTTGTTTGTCTGTTTTTTCCGAGAAAACTTCTGTCTGTTTCATTTGGCCAAAAATCGTCTCTGCCACAAACCACCATTAGCGTCTCCCCCAGACCCACAGGGGGCACCAAAGACAGCAGCATCGGCTGCAGCAGCTAACAGGAACTCTCGAAGAAGACTTCTCCTGCCTGTGAGGAGGCAAAGAAAAGACCGCAGACTTTTTCACAAACTGAGTGTTGTCCCATCCACGAAACAGAAGGTGGCGGTAATGCGAAGAATAGGCCGCCAACCGCCGGAAAACCAAACAAGAAGAAGAAGGACACGACACATTTGGGTGCGTCAGATATGAAAGAAGTTTGGACGCCTTGCCTTAATCTAAACATCCGTCACTATTGTTCTTTGGGCAGATTTGAAACTGACTTTTCGTTCTTCCAGAGCTTCTCGATCCTGAAGATGTCGAGTTTGTCGCGGTTGACGTGTGTGAGTTGTCGATACGACTGTCGGAGCGGCTGTCCCTCAGGGCTCCTCCTGCTGTCCCGCATCAGGTACACACAGTCCCCTGAGACACACAACAGCAACGCAACTTACACACAAGTAACACACTCAGTAACACACTCAGTACAGACAGACAGCAGTCATTTAAGTTTCTGTCAGATCTCAGGTTTCAGATGTTTCAGACCAGACCAGAGCAGAGAGGATTCATGGTTTTACATTAGTCCAGAGCAGAGCAGAGAGGATTCATGGTTTTACATTAGACCAGACCAGAGCAGAGAGGATTCATGGTTTTACACTGGTCCAGACCAGAGCAGAGGATTCATGGTTTTACACTGGTCCAGAGCAGAGCAGAGGATTCATGGTTTTACACTGGTCCATTGATTCTCTGATCTGTGTCTGTGAATTCAATGGTTTTGTTAAGTCCTCAGAGATAACTACTGTTTTGATTCAAGGCTGTACAAGAATGAATTGAATTGAACCGCGTCCTCTGAAGTAATCACAGCGGTGCACACAAGCCACAAAGGTTTTCTTTTGACTTTAAATCACAATAACTGTTATGTTATGCTAGCAGTTATTTATATGATGTTTTAAATGAGCAAAAGGTCAACCGCGATATAATAATACATATATACATATAATTTAAGGAGCAGTATGTAAAACTGTAGCCAAAAGTGGTACTGCAACCTCTCCCACTCTCCCTGACTCAGGTTGCCAGATATGCAGACGAATCCAGCTGGGACCATAACAGCTGAATAGACAAGAGTTTTGTCAACAACAAATCTATAACCAACACCTTTTTCACAAAGATAGAAATCCTGGTTTTATTCCTTGTTTTGTCGTTAATGATTTGAGAATCATAACGAGACCTTTTTTAGTTCTGCGCCACATGGTACTTTACCAGTGAGATTAGCTCCACACGGTGAGTTCTGGCGCCCGGATCACAGACTTTCTGATTGGTGAAATGGTGGAGGGCGGGACATCGAAACGAAGATAATAACAAGATTTAGGGTAAAACTAATTTGGAAATTGAAATATCTCTGAACTACTGTTAACAGTTAAAGAAGAAACACCTTTTGACAGATTAGGGCCCTTTAATGATGACAGATTAGAACCCTTTAATGATGACAGATTAGGGCCCTTTAATGATGACAGATTAGGGCCCTTTAATGATGACAGATTAGGGCCCTTTAATGATGACAGATTAGGGCCCTTTAATGATGACAGATAAGAGCCCTTTAATGATGCATATTTCTAAAACATAGTCTTTTCGTCATGGACTGGGGGATTATCTCTGACAACATCCTTGTTTGGTTTTGTTTGTACCTTGGTGAAGCAGCAGCTCGTCCCGGAGGAGGCAGATGTAGTAAATGGACCCGGCCTGAGCGTAACTGGGCTGTGGGATCATGGGAACCTCCTGTAACCACGACAACACATTCATTTCAATGGAGAATGCGGGAAAACAAACCATACAAATGGCATTATGTGGATGAGTCTTACGTTGTCCACGGGCCGAGGGTCGCACTGCTCACACAAGTAGTGCTCCACCTCGGTCTCCAGTCGCATACAGTCAAAGTGCTGCCAGACCTGACCACACAACAACAACGTCAGGTTTATCTGTATGGCACATTTACAACACCAGCTGCCCAAAGTGCTCCACAGGCATCAAAGATTAAAGAATAACAGGAAACAGCTTAAAACACACACAAATACATGTAAAAAGTAAAACTCAGTGTGTGTGTGTGTAAGTGTGCGTGTCCCTGCGTGTGTGTGAATGTGTCCCTGTGTGTCTGTGTGTGTTGTGTATGTGTCCCTGTGTGTGTATGTTGTGTATGTGTCTGTGTGTGTCCCTGTGTGTTTGTGTGGGTGTGTGTGTGTGTATGTGTCCCTGTGTGTGTTGTGTATGTGTCCCTGTGTGTGTATGTTGTGTATGTGTCTGTGTGTGTCCCTGTGTGTTTGTGTGGGTGTGTGTGTGTGTATGTGTCCCTGTGTGTGTTGTGTATGTGTCCCTGTGTGTGTATGTTGTGTATGTGTCTGTGTGTGTCCCTGTGTGTTTGTGTGGGTGTGTGTGTGTGTATGTGTCCCTGTGTGTGTATGTTGTGTATGTGTCTGTGTGTGTCCCTGTGTGTTTGTGTGGGTGTGTGTGTGTGTGTGTGTGTGTGTGTGTGTGTGTCCCTGTGTGTTTGTGTGGGTGTGTGTGTGTGTGTGTGTGTATGTGTCCCTGTGTGTGTGTGCATGCGTGTGTGCGTGCGCGTGCGTGTGTATATGTGTCCCTGTGTGTGTGTGTGTGTGTGTGTGTGTGTGTGTGTGTGTATGTGTGTGTGTCCCTGTATGTGTGTGTGTGTGTGTGTGTGTGTGTGTGTGTGTCTCACCATGCACTTCTCGCACTGGATCATGAGCCCCTCGTCCTTGAACATGCCACAGATGCAGCGGATCACGTCGTCGTCTTTGTCGTGAGAGTCCGAGTTCTGCTCTCGCTCCGGAGAGTCGGAGCTGTCGGCTTCGCTCACCGTCTCCCCCACGATCTCGTCGATCTGAACGGCCGCCTCGTTCCGGGCGCTGTAGTACGCCTTACGCAGGCGGCACACGTCTCTCCCCACGGACGACTTCCTGCCGTAGTATTTCTATCGGCACACCACAAAAGAGGAGGAGTTCACAAAGAATTCAACAGTTTTTAAATCACAACAAATATAGCTATGAAATATAATTAATCCACCGTCTGGTTTTCACTTCATGTATTTTTGATGCTTATATCAAGACTTTTGGATCTTCTTCTTCAGACAGAATGTGGAAGACTCTCACTGAGCTCTTAGCCCAAAGAGTCAGGTACCAAAAAACATAACATGTTAGCCCCATATGAACCAACTCGGACTCTGAGGAGCACAGGGACTGGCCTCCTGCTGGGACTCTGAGGAGCACAGGGACTGGCCTCCTGCTGGGACTCTGAGGAGCACAGGGACTGGCCTCCTGCTGGGACTCTGAGGAGCACAGGGACTGGCCTCCTGCTGGGACTCTGAGGAGCACAGGGACTGGCCTCCTGCTGGACTGAGAGGGAGGCACAGGGACTGGCCTCCTGCTGGGACTCTGAGGAGCACAGGGACTGGCCTCCTGCTGGGACTCTGAGGAGCACAGGGACTGGCCTCCTGCTGGGACTCTGAGGAGCACAGGGACTGGCCTCCTGCTGGGACTCTGAGGAGCACAGGGACTGGCCTCTGAGATGATACTGTTGTTATTTAGGGAAATACAATACAATATAATTTATTCTTATATGTTGTTTACATAATCACACCAGCAGACTGTGGGACAAACACACTGCATCATGTATGAAAACAGTTTCTCGGATTTAATTGTAGAAAGCTGCCTCTAAAACCCCTTTTTTTTACTCCCTGGTTTCTTGTTATTTTCAGTAAAAGACACAGTTCTTACAAAGGTTAGAGCCCTGAAGCTTAACTTTCCGCTTCACAACAGGCATGCACCTCCAAACAGCACGAACGTAACGTAGAGAGACACTTAAAGAGCTTTCAAGAGCCACTTGTTCAAACCCTTCAGTTAAACACATGTAAATCTGACGTGATCCGCTTCAATTCAACACAGGTCCTTTTAGAATCTCAATTACTTCTTTGTTGGTGAATATAAAAAGACTGTATGTAATTAAGCCCATTTAAGAAGAAAACTCAAATAAAATGATAATGAGTTACTAGTTACTTTGTCATTTCATCTTCTAGAATGTGAAATTATCTGCACGTATTAGAGTTTTATTATTATTATCTTTTAAACAAGAAATATGTAAAATGTTCTTGTGAAGTCATCATTAAAGGGCCCTAATCTGTCATAATTAAAGGGCCCTAATCTGTCATCATTAAAGGGCCCCAATCTGTCATCATTAAAGGGCCCCAATCTGTCATCATTAAAGGGCCCTAATCTGTCATAATTAAAGGGCCCTAATCTGTAATCATTAAAGGGCCCCAATCTGTCATCATTAAAGGGCCCCAATCTGTCATCATCAAAGGGCCCCAATCTGTCATCATTAAAGGACCCTAATCTGTCATCATTAAAGGGCCATAATCTGTCATCTTTAAAGGGCCATAATCTGTCATCATTAAAGGGCCCTAATCTGTCGTCATTAAAGGGCCCTAATCTGTCATCATTAAAGGGCCCCAATCTGTCATCATTAAAGGGTCCTAATCTGTCATCATTAAAGGGCCCATATCTGTCATTAAAGGGCCCTAATCTGTCATCATTAAAGGGCCCTAATCTGTCATCATTAAAGGGCCCTGATCCGTCATAATAATAAAACTGCTCTTTTCCAATACTTCTTTAACTGATAACAGTAGTTCAGAGATATTTGAATTTCTAAATTACTTTTCCAGCCCCTAAATCTTGTTATTGTTTTCATTTCGATGTCCCGCCCTCCACCGTTTCACCAATCAGAAAGTCTGTGATCCGGGCGCCAGAACTCACCGCGTGGAGTTAATCTCACTGGTAAAGTACCATGTGGCACAGAACTAAAAAAGGTCTCGTTATGATTCTCAAATCATTAACGACAAAACAAGGAATAAAACCAGGATTTCTATCTTTGTGAAAAAGGTGTTGGTTATAGATTTGTTGTTGACAAAACTCTTGTCTATTCAGCTGTTATGGTCCCAGCTGGATTCGTCTGCATATCTGGCAACCTGAGTTATGCTATTCTTGTTATTCTTGTGTCGTGTGCTCCTCATTCCTACAGTTCTGTAACTAGACATTTCCTCACTGAGGGACAAATAAACAATCTCTTGATCATAAATAGTATCTGGTCAAACAAAAAGGTGGATTTTTAAACATTATACTACACTGATTTCTCAGACTGTTCGGGGCCTTACCTCTGCGTTGCGGAACACTTTGAGCATGTCGGCGTCGAAGGCCTCCACGGTTTTGTAGTGTCCTGTGAGGATCTGCTTCTCGATGGTGCTCAGGTCCAGAGGGTCCGACACCTTCTCGTAGTACTGACTGTTCCTATGGAGAACACAATACTTTACTTTATATTGTTCCTATGGAGAACACAATACTTTACATTGTTCCTATGGAGAACACAATACTTTACTTTACATTGTTCCTATGGAGAACACAATACTTTACTTTATATTGTTCCTATGGAGAACACAATACTTGACATTGTTCCTATGGAGAACACAATACTTTACTTTATATTGTTCCTATGGAGAACACAATACTTTACATTGATCCTATGGAGAACACAATACTTTACATTGTTCCTATGGAGAACACAATACTTTACTTTATATTGTTCCTATGGAGAACACAATACTTTACATTGATCCTATGGAGAACACAATACTTTACATTGTTCCTATGGAGAACACAATACTTTACTTTATATTGTTCCTATGGAGAACACAATACTTTACATTGTTCCTATGGAGAACACAATACTTTACTTTGATCCTATGGAGAACACAATACTTTACTTTGATCCTATGGAGAACACAATACTTTACTTTGATCCTATGGAGAACACAATACTTTACATTGATCCTATGGAGAACACAATACTTTACTTTAACATTAAGTTTAAGTGTAATTTATCAGGGACAATGTGCAGTTGCATTAAAACGATGCACCAGATTTAGCACCAGCTTCTTCCATCTGTCGTCCTTGACAATACAATCATATAATAAAACATATTAATATACATTTCAAATAAAAAGTGCAGGTTACTACTAAAATACAATACATTGGCACCGTTTTTTGTTTCCTACTGGCTTTAAGAGAATCAGAATAGATTGCTTATATACAACTCTGAGGAGCACAGGGACTGGTCTCCTGCTGGGACTCTGAGGAGCACAGGGACTGGCCTCCTGCTGGGACTCTGAGGAGCACAGGGACTGGCCTCCTGCTGGGACTCTGAGGAGCACAGGGACTGGCCTCCTGCTGGGACTCTGAGGAGCACAGGGACTGGCCTCCTGCTGGTTTCCCAGAGTCCATACTACGGCATGGGGAGGCTTTGTGCAGCACATTAACTTGCCTTGGTTATAAACAGTGCAATACAGATAAACTTTCCTCTCCTCAATCCACAGAATGAATGCAAAACCAGATTGTGTTTACGGAAAATCAAATTTGTGAACGAGAGCCACCACCGCTGCAGCCACAGACACAAAACGAGCGGTAATTATGTCGACTGCAATAGATTAGCGCCAAACTGGGAACAAATCAAAGTGGCGGAGGCTGTCACGGCTGAGTAGTGGCGCCTCAGATAAAGCTGTTACTGTTTTGGCTGTTGGACACTGATGCTGGAGATAAGGCTGCACTGTGGCTGTCTGCAAACACCCAGCCGTTATGAATGACTTGGCCTCATGCGGGTATCAGGGATGAGTTACCTTTTCCGAGACGGGAGGTTCACCAGCGGAGCAGCGAGGGTCTGGCCTGAAGAATCTGGAAGGCAAAGAAATTAAAGATGCAGTCAGTGATTCGTTCTGGTCGGCTTTTTGTCTGAGGCTGGTGAATTCTGTCACACATTCCTCTTTTTGACGGGGGATTACAGGAGAACGAAACAAGCTAGAAGCAAACGTCTTTTTGCTGCTGAAAGTAGAGAGTCCAGTCGTTCAGAATCTGGTTTCATATTTCACATAATCATAGCAAATAATATTCTGTGGGTCTTGAAAATCAGTGACATCATCAAAAAAGGCAGGCAGTCATTGAGTTACAGTTACAATATCAACTGTAAATGTGAAACTTGCTGACTGCTGACTCTACAAGTGAACCCACAGTTTATTATTCATTATCTATATCTTAAATAATAGATCATGTTTGATGTGTGCATAACGTGAGGGCTCTTATGTCTCCTTTTTTTCTGCTGCACTTACATTTCCCCACTGAGGGAAGAAGAAAAGTTATATTACCCTAAGTGATGGTAAAGCTAGCAAGAGTTAGCCACATTAGCATCACACTACCAGTTGCTCGGGTAATAAAACCCTCCATACAGAGTTATGACAGTGAACTATTTATAAGATCAAGAGCAGCTGATACAACATATCTACCCTGGGATATTGTGTGACTACTTGAAAAAGAACTATAGTACAGCCTCTGACAGCAAAGAAAGAACGCTTCTTAATTCAGGCCCAACTACTGCATGTGTGATTCCATCGACCAAAAATATCAAAAGTCACAGGCTTAGAACTATTGTAAATGTATTCAGTCTTACACTAAATAATGGTTGACAGAAGAGACATGTAACGGGACTACATCTAATCCTACTTCACCATTATCTTAATTTCTTCAACCAAAGAAGTAGCTCACTGCCATTTTTGTTGGGAAAAAGTGTCTTGCTCAAAGGTTGTAGAGAGCACTCATCCTTGGTATATACACTGCTGACTTACTGGTTCACGCCTTCATCACCTCCAGACTCGACAACTGCAACAGCCTCCTCCAAAAACTACAATTCATCCATAACTCTATCGCCCGCCTGCTCAGCCACACGCGCTCCAGAGAACACATCACCCCCGTCCTCAAACAACTCCACTGGCTCCCTGTTCCACACCACATACAATACAAGGTCCTCCTTCTCAACAACAACTCCCTCCATAACCTGCTGGTTCTTAACTCACTGACCTCCTCCATCATCACTGTCCCACCCTCACCTCAGATCTACAGACTCCAACCTCCGCACTCCCCTCAGGACTAAACACCGAACCTTGGGGGACCGAGCCTTCGCTGCAGCCGCCCCCACTCTCTGGAACTCACTCCCACAACCATCAGAAACTCAGACTCACTACAGAACTTTAAACCACTTCTCAAAACCCACCTATTTCAGCCTGTCCTTAATTTTGTTCTTCAATGTTTATTTCTATGTGTTTTTTTAAGTGTCTTTGAGTGTCCAAAAAAGCCCTATATATAAGTCTGATGTATTATTATTATTATTACTATTATACACCTGTAAGTGATAGTACATTTCTTGTTTTATTCCCAGTAAAGTGTGAGGAGACTAAAGCTGACCTTTATAGCCGGTGATCATGTCGCAGATCTCCTTGAAGATGTGAGCGAGTCGAGCCGTGCGTGTGACCTCCGTATTCTCTTCGGCGGCGGCGAGTCTCCGCGTCCGAACCGACCGCGACGTCTGCAGCGCCGAGAACTGCGTCAGGAACACGTCTGGACGAAAACAGAGACGAGCAGTGTTTAAGGTTCAGCGATGACAATCAGTGTGTCCAAGGCCAGGATCAAACCCTTTTTACAGGAAGGTAAGTAAGTAATGTTTTTAATTATATAGCGCCTTTCACAGAACAGAGTCAAAGCGGTTTACAATTGTGGGCATTTGTCTCTCACTCCACACAGAGACGGGAGGGGCCAGTACAGGAGGCACAGACCTATTGTACATGTTTTTAGTGGTAGGAGACACGGGGAGAACATGCAAACTCCACTCAGAAAGGCCCTGGTCCGACCGGGATTCAACCCAGGACCGTCTTGCTGAGAGGCGAGAGTGCTAAACCAATCACTCAGGTCCCGATGTACTGTACGCAGCTTTGTTGTGATGATCCAGGACATTCATAAACATTTATGGACATTGGTCTTCTATCCTCTTTAGACCAATGGCTCCAATGTGTTTGTTATTATTGAAATTCCTGTATTTGACCATTCTGATCAGTTCTTGATGCAACTACAGCTTTGTCGAGTCCCTACGAGAAAACTTCTGTTGTGATTTAGGGCTGTAAAAAAAAAATTAAACAGTGATCTATTCAAATATTTTAAATGACCAAAATATAAAAATAAAATTATAGTGTTCATTCTAATTATGTAGAGAAACATGTGAGGTCTTATTTGATGCCTTTTTTCACAATGGCAGTAAAACATGTCCAATGAGACCCTTACAGTATTAGCAGTGCTTCACTGAATACGGAATATTTTTGTTATAACAAAGGTTTATGGTCTGATGCTTCTGACTGAGGTTTTGTAGAGAAATCAGAGAAACTAAAACTTTTTTGTAAGCCCTCGGTCAAAACAGCAGTCGTCTCGAAAGGACAAAGTTGTCGATGAGCCAACAACTGATCAGAGAATCAACAAGAAATCCTGACATGTTTTACTGAATGTGTCTCATTAAAGTTTTCACGTATATTTCAGAATTAATCTACCCTTAAACTCCACACGACAGGTGGTTGGATTGTAATTGAATTATAATGTTGATACGAACATGAGCCCGAGGTCATTGTGTGTATCTCTCATTGTCGGAGAGCGCTCACCAGACTTAATGTTGCCGTCATCTCGGATCACGCTGCCCCAGCGAGCGTACATGGACAGGCTGCTGGGGTCGCGCTCCCTCTCGCCCTCACGTTTCAGCAGCTCCTGTTTCTCCCTCATCTTCTCCCAGTTTCTCAGGAGGAAAACTCGATGCTTCAGCACAAAGTTTCTACAAAGTACAACAGAACATTAAGGAACTGTCCACTTCAATTACATACAATAGATGTTAGTATAGCAACAGAATCTTCTCAAAAATATCAATTAGCCAAAAACAGACCAGAGAAACATAAGATTTCTCACAGAATTGTTGTTATTTATGAGATTATTTAGATTTACCGCTCTCTGTTGGACATGGGCTTCATGAGGTGAGGGTAACATTTACTGCTGTCACTGGATTCTTCTTCCTAAAAAAGATGAAAAATAATAGAAAAACACATAATACAACACAATCACCTTTAAGCAGGGAGATATAAAAACTTGTATCATGATTTAAAAGAGCAATAATTCCCAAAATAAAAAAATACCACAGACTGCTTGTTGGATGCTTTTGTTTCTATCTATATCTAATAGTGTCAAGCTGCTGTATTTGAGAAATGTCTAAACTTTATACATTTAATAATCAAGCTTATACAATTATTAGTATTAGATAGCAATATGGCCTACGTGCAGGACTGTACAAGGACTCTACAAGGACTCCATGTTATGACTCTGATGTGACTGTCTCTTTGTGACACGTATGTCTTTCGATGTGTGACGTGACAATGACTATATAAACTGTGTACTGCCTTTATTCTGTCTGAGAGAAAGAAACAGAGTAAACCAGTGGAACTTGAGAGAAACTTAAATAAACTTCCAGAGTTTGGCACACCACGATCCGTCTCTGTCTGCTAAATCCTGACAGATTTGGTGGAGAATGCGCGGCTCAGTGTGTGCCATTCTCTGGATTGTTTTGAGGGAGTTTGCTCTGTTTCTTTTCCTCTGCGTGAGAGACCGGCATGCTGTGTCTGGGAGCGGAGATTCCAGCAGGCTGGAAGAGCTGTTCCTGGATGCTTCTTGTCGCTTCTGTCACTTTTGTTTTTTAAATTGAATATTCCGACGCGGAAAAGAGTTGGCAGACCTCTCGGACAGCCCGTGCGCACCTGTTTGACAAGAATAAGGTAAGCAGACACCTTTTTATATGTAAAGTCTGCATAATTGGATACTAGCTAAATTTTGGTCTGTTTTTGAGGTCTGTCGAACTCTCTAAATTGTGTTCAAATAAGTGAGGATCCATAAAGTGTATAGGATCCATAACTGAAAAGGCCATAAAGTGAGTGAAGGATCCATAAAGTGAAAAGTGTTGGCCATTAAAGTGAATAGGATCCATAAAGTGAAAAGTGTTGGCCATTAAAGTGAATAGGATCCATAAAGTGAAAAGTGTTGGCCATTAAAGTGAATAGGATCCATAAAGTGTAAAGGCCATATAAGTGAGGATCCATAAGTGAAACAATGGTGTAAAATTAAAAGTAATTATAAAAAGGGAAACGTGTTAAGGAGGCCTTTGTTACAAAAGCTTTGAAATTGACGAATTTCAGGCTGATAAATGACAAAAGTAAAGAAGCAACAATATTTCAGTGATCACGGTTTAAATTACATACAGAAAAAGGGAGTTTTTGTTTTTGGAGTGAACAGAGTTCACCGGAGAATGCAGAGTTTTATCTAAAGTTGAGCTATGAGAGCTTTCGTGAGTTATTTACATTTTTTGCCGAGTTTTATCTACAGTTAAGCTATGAGAGGGTTGTATCCAACAGGTTGTTTTTGTTTTTTAGAAAGAGATTTTGAGTTTAAACTAGTTTGCTACCTCAATAAAATAGAAGCGTAAACGTTAAAGACAAGAGTGCCTTTTGTTACTAGTGTGGAAAATGATCACTTCTAGACTTGGATGACAAAAGTATAAAGAACAACATCAGTTATATTTGCTTAACAAAGTAATCTTGAAAGTTATTCTTCTTTCTGTTTTTGCATTTTTGCTAAAACACTACTTTCTGCTTGTGTGTGTGTGCGCCGCTCTATCTTGCTGCCGTTGTCAGGGAAACGGCCCCCACCTTCGCTGCTCTGGCTCTGAATCAGAGCAAAGCTACTGCTTTTAGGATTTAGGCTTTTCATAGTTGTTATTCAGTTAAATTTGCGAAATTTGCAATTGAACCTTGTGTTATGACACAGTTAAACGTTTTTAAACACCATTAGTGAATAAGTTTTGAATATTATATGTTTTTTGAAACCCAAATATTAGTGCTAAAGCTTTGCTTTTCTTTTTAAATCTGCTGCTTATTTTGTGAGTCCATTATTGTATCTCTGATATATTTCATAGCTGTTAGTGAGAATTTTTTTATGTTTTTATTTTAGTTACAAAAGCCGTTTTTCAAACATTTAAATTAGAATCTGTTAAAAGTGATTATTGATTATAGACTTCGTCTAAAAAGAAAGAGAGAATTAGCATTAGGCTGTAAAAGTATTATTAAGTTAAACTACCCAATTCACCCATTGCAAGCGGTGACGTTTTTGTTTTGACTACACGCCTGACCTTGCTCCTGCTGATGCCACAGCAGAGGAGACTGGCTCTAAAATGTGCTCCAATTCATATTGACTTAAGTTGAAAATGCTGCAATTATTTTAAATTAGTAAAATATATGCTGAGATAAATGCATAGATAATTAAACACAGTACAAAAGTACATAATACCTATTTTAAAGGTTGAAGGTTCAAGAGATTTGAGTCTTGTTTTTTATTAAGAGAGTTTCTGGTGTTAAAAATGTCATAATTAGTAAGATAATAAGTAATCTTTTATTTACATAGCGCATGTGGGAAAACCCAGAGCGCTCCAAAATTGTTTTGACTTCAGAGAGAAAAACAATCTCATACTGATATCTATTGTTTTTTTTTAAATTGGCCGTCTCAAGGATTGTTTTTCAGACTCTGCCTCACTGTACGAGAGGTCACTGCTGGACACTGGACACCAAAGCCCACCCAGCCACAGGTCACAGATCAAAGAGCAAAGGGAAATGCCACCTCCTTGCCCCTCCCCACGCCACTGCAGAGCTGAGTGGGTGTGAGAGAGACCGGGGCCATGAAAGAGAGGTATCTGGAGACGTGATGGGTGGAGCGTCAGGTAGAGACCTAGAGGCAGTTGAAAGTGTGTCCAGTTGGTTTACACCACCACAGTGTGACCTTTGACACCTACAGGTGGTTCGAGGAGTCTGGAGAGACAACCCCAAAATTCACATATACACACACACACACACACATACACACACATACACTCACACATTCACATTTACATATAGATACATGAAAAAGTAGAACATGAGAAAAAAGCATTTTAAAAGTTTACTCCAATGTAAACACATATTTTTAATTGTCTATCACTTGAATCAGTATTTTTTGAGACCAGAAATGTTCATTTGAATTCTATATTGTCATGGACTTAATTGACCTCTGTCCTGACACTTTTGATTTGTTGATTTTGTACTGTGTGAAGTAATTACATTGATTAGAATTAGATCTGATAAAAACACAAATTAGAGAAGTAAACTGAATCATTGCGCTTGCTTTTTGTCTGAGGGACATTAGCAACAGCATGAATAGAAATTGTGTTACAGTAGAATCAAAGTGATTTAACCATAGAAAGTAACTATTGCATAACAAGCTGTGTACAGGAACTGAGACACTGCACCATTGACCAGAAGTGCATCGCAAATGACCTGATGTGCGACCCAAGTGAAAAGACTGTATCTGGAGATCCTGATGTGCATCTGGAGAGACCAAAACCATGGCTTGGACCCTACTGATGTCCAAGATGACATCTCTCGAAATATGACCTGACCTGATGGACCAGACTGAGACACCCTCAGAGGACCTGAGGACCCTGAGGATCTGAGGACCTGAGAGAGAAAAACTGGGGAGTGATGTTTATATTATTGAAATCATACATTGATGAGTGCTAAATGAGAGAGATACTCATGATTCTTTCTTTTGTTTGATGATCTATTGGACACAGACATTTGCAGAACAAGAACCAGCCAATGAAAACGTCTATTGCCGATGCTATTGCTACAACCAGAACCTGTGACCAAATGCAATATACATGTTAAGTATTCAGACAACTGACAGACAAAACTTTGACTTTTTAGTCTGGGAGACTGAGCAACTGTTAAAATGTTTGAAAATGATAAAGTTTGAGTATTGTAGCGTTTTATTAGATGTTAAATAGTAGTAAAATAGAATAGAATTGTCCTTCCTTTGTTTTTCATAAACACATTTCCACATAAGAGTTAAAATAGTACCATACAATGTTATCCTTTTGATAGATCAGCTTGAATATTAGAATCAGAGTTATGTTACAGCCATTGAAAGTGACAGAAGTCACAAATTAGGAATATGCCTTTGCTCAAGCTGCAGCCGAGCTTTGGAGTTAAAAAATAGAGTAAAAATAGAGATAGATAAATGATGATGTTCATTCATCCCAAACTGCCTGACAATAATATCTTGAGATAATAAAAAGTAATAAATCACTGACCACTATAGAAGTGTAAATGTTGACCATTTGCCTTACTGTGTTCACAGTTTTATTCCTGAGAATGAGAATAGATAGAGCAAAATCCCACTGATAATAAGCCACTGATAATGAGAGTGTAAAACCACAGAGAGATTTATTAGATTAAAATGTATGTTTAAGAATATGGCTCAATAGAAGCAAATATGCAAACATATTTGTAAATAGATTAGAATAGTTTTAAACTATAGTGAATAGTAAAAGTAAAGTACACAGTCTAAGATTAAAAAGTGAAAATAATACAGTGAAATAAGTGAAGTGTAGTGTAAACAATTAGCATTAGAATAAAAGTATAGAGTAATAAAAGTGAAATTAGCTTCAAATTTGAGACTCAGCTCGTTTTTGTCTGTGTTTTGACTGAATCTGCTGAGTTCTTGTGTGTCCAATAGTGTTTGTTTGTTTTTTATTTTTTATTTGTTTTTTGTTTGTTTATTTACTTTATTTTTGTTTTTTGTTTTTTTCCCAGGATAGAGGATAAAATCCACTGATATTGATTTGATGATTATGAGTTTAATGCATACATTTTCTTTGTTTTTAATAATTTTTTAAAGTTTTTTTTAGGATTTTTTTTTTTCTTCTTTTTACACTTTATTGATTGATCAAATTGAGTGATCACATGTGATTATGTGATCAAAGGGGAGGGTATTAGTATTAGATAGCAATATGGCCTACGTGCAGGACTGTACAAGGACTCTACAAGGACTCCATGTTTTGACTATGATGTGACTGTCTCTTTGTGACACGTATGTCTTTCGATGTGTGACGTGACAATGACTATATAAACTGTGTACTGCCTTTATTCTGTCTGGGAGAAAGAAACAGAGTAAACCAGTGGAACTTGAGAGAAACTTAAATAAACTTCCAGAGTTTGGCGCACCACGATCCGTCTCTGTCTGCTAAATCCCTGACACAATATCCAACTCTACGTCAGCAGCAAGAAAAAATATTCAAAGTTTAACCAGCCCTCAGATAGACTCATTTTTTGCGTTTACCAGTAAGAAACGAAGCTAGTCTGTGGGGGCGGACATTGTGCAAGTCTCTCTGCATGTGTTACTCATGTCTGGAGTCCATTAACATAAAACAAAATCATTGGGAATTTTGTTGTAAAAAGGGGGCTTTGTATTCTGCGACACACACAAACCTAAATCACTGATAACTTACTCTCTTTTTGAGCTGATGTTTGGATTTCCGTTTCTCCTTCAGCCGTCCTAGCCGCCTCGTCCCTCCAGCTTTTCCCGGCAGCCCGTTGATTCTCTGGCTCTTGCCGCCGATGATGCCGCGGCAGCTCTCCGAACCGCACATGCAGGCTTGCTATGGGTCAAAACGTACAATGTAAACGACAAACCTGCAGTAAAAGCACGTGAAAGGAACATTCCGGAGCAGTTTGTCCGTCACCTGTTCCTCTGTGTTGAACGAGTGGAAGTTGTAATCGTAGGTGAGTTCGGTGCCGCTGCTGATGTCTTTGAGCGCGAAGAGACCGATGCGATACACTCCATTCACAGACCTGGAAAAACAAACAAACATATTAATAATCTTAATTCTATATTCAAGGTTCATACAAAATACAAGACAAAGAAATTACAAGACACAGAGAAAAGTGGGAGAAGGGTGTAGGTTCAGAGAAGGTTTGGGCCTTAAACGTTTGGATCGGAGTTTACAGTGACGTATGTAATGAGCCCGAGTGAGTGAGGCATTTAGCCTAGCTTTAGCATGTAGCCTAGCTTTAGCCATTTCTTTTGCCACTAACGGAGCCCGTGGGGAGTAGAGCCACAACATCTTTGCTTCAATGACATTTACTAAACATTCCTCTTGATTGAACCAGAACAGATTATTTTACTATCGCATTCTCCGACAAACTACAACCAGCAAATTCAGCACAAACTCTTGACGTCACCGACACCGACCTACAACACCCGCCTCCCCTGCTCTCTGATTGGTCGGAGGAGATTCAACCGAGGAAACTACAGCCACTAGGATCAGACCCAGACGAACATGTAGGAAATGACCATGGACCAGAGTTTACACATGGTAAGACCAGACATACATGTAGGAAATGATCATGGACCAGAGTTTACACATGGTAAGACCAGAGTTTACACATGGTAAGACCAGACGTACATGTAGGAAATGATCATGGACCAGAGGTTACACATGGTAAGACCAGACGTACATGTAGGAAATGATCATGGACCAGAGGTTACACATGGTAAGACCAGACGTACATGTAGGAGATGATCATGGACCAGAGGTTACACATGGTAAGACCAGACGTACATGTAGGAGATGATCATGGACCAGAGTTTACACATGGATAAGTAGTAAAGCCTTTTTAATCTGTTCTTTCTTACAAAGCGAGCGGCGCAGGTGCATGCCCCAGATACAGACGATCACTTAATGATTCTTCTTTGCCCTTTTCAAACATGTCCTTTTGACCTTTAGGGAACGAACTGAACTTTATTGCATAACTTCACATTCGGCAAAGGCAGCAGGGGTTTCAAATTCACACCTCAAGGTTAAATAGTGCACAAAAATGTTTCTCAGCAACATACCAGCTGCAGAATGTAACAAAAGCTTTTAACAGGAAACACCGTGAGTGATCCTGCACATTCACAGCCTGTAAATGTTTGTACTGTATTAAAACCAGGATTTAATTAAATAAGAAATGGTAAAAGTCAAGGTGCCCCAGTTTTTGGTCGTGTGATCCATCCTCCTTCATCGAATCTTGGTGCAAGCTCGTCACCATTGTTCCAAGAATAAAGCTCCCTGTTCTACGTGCCAGCCTCCTGATAATTTATTCTGCGTATTGGGTGAAAAAGCTGGATCAGCGCATTGTCTTGAGGCGCTACAGCTGTATCCAAGGCCGGGCCACATGTAATCGTTCTTCAGTGACAAGATGGATGAGTCGTCAGGCTTTGTGCTGGGAACCCTCGCCCCTCACAGCGGCTTTCATTTCAGAGGCACACGAGCAGCGGCCGACATTAAGAGCAAGTCATGGTGAAGGCTGTTTAATGTCAAAGAGAAGGTGACACAGATGACCATGAGAAGGCCTTATAAAACTGTTGATTCATGATTGTTTTGTTAAGATTATTTCTCGGTAATGGGCCAACCGGTATGAAACAAAACCACAAAGTTCAACATCTTTGCTGTCAGTACATCATAATAATAATAATAATAATAATGCATTGGTTTTATGTGTCTCTCTGTGTCTTTCTTTGTCTATATGTACCTGTGTCTCTCTGTGTCTACATGTACCTGTGCTCCTCTCCCCTTGTTGCTCTGTTCTTCGTTCCTGAGTTTCATTTGGATTTTTGATTCCTTCTTACTCTGCACTTTTATTTATCATCACCATTAAATCTTTATTTTTGTCATTTCCGTTCACTCTCATGTGTTCATGCTCACGTGCTCACTCTCACGTGCTCACTCTCACGTGCTCACTCTCACGTGCTCACTCTCACGTGCTCACTCTCACGTGCTCACGCTCACGTGTTCACGCTCACGCGTTCACGCTCACGCTCACGTGTTCACGCTCACTCTCACGTGCTCAGTCTCACGTGCTCAGTCTCACGTGCCCACTCTCACATGCTCACTCTCACGCTCACGTGCTCACTCTCACGTGCTCACTCTCACGTGCTCACTCTCACGTGCTCACTCACGTGCTCACTCACGTGCTCACTCTCACGTGCTCACTCACGTGCTCACTCACGTGCTCACTCTCACGTGCTCACTCTCACGTGCTCACTCTCACGTGCTCACTCTCACGTGCTCACGCTCACGTGCTCACTCTCACGTGCTCATTCTCATGTGTTCACCCTCATGTGTTCACCCTCATCTGTTCACTCTTTTTTGTGTCCTCCTTCCTCCCACTATCATGACACACCCCTTCACCAGTGAGATTCATGTGTTCACTCTTTATTAAGCATGTGTTCACTCTCATGTGTTCACCCTGTAACAAGCATGTGTTCACTCTGTATCAAGCATGTGTTCACTCTCATGTGTTCACTCTGTAACAAGCATGTGTTCACTCTCATGTGTTCACTCTGTATCAAGCATATGTTCACTCTCATGTGTTCACTTTGTAACAAGCATGTGTTCACTCTCAAGTGTTCACTCTGTATCAAGCATGTGTTCACTCTGTAACAAGCATGTGTTCACTCTCATGTGTTCACTCTGTATCAAGCATGTGTTCACTCTCATGTGGTCACTCTGTAACAAGCATGTGTTCACTCTCATGTGTTCACTCTGTAACAAGCATGTGTTCACTCTCATGTGTTCACTCTGTATCAAGCATGTGTTCACTTTCATGTGTTCACTCTGTAACAAGCATGTGTTCACTCTCCTGTTCACTCTGTATCAAGCATGTGTTCACTCTCATGTGTTCACTCTGTAACAAGCATGTGTTCACTCTGTAACAAGCATGTGTTCACTCATGTGTTCACTCTGTGTCAAGCATGTTTTCACTCTCCTGTTCACTCTGTATCAAGCATGTGTTCACTCTCATGTGTTCACTCTGTATCAAGCATGTGTTCACTCTCATGTGTTCACTCTGTATCAAGCATGTGTTCACTCTCATGTGTTCACTCTGTATCAAGCATGTGTTCACTCTGTATCAAGCATGTGTTCACTCTCATGTGTTCACTCTGTAACAAGCATGTGTTCACTCTCATGTGTTCACTCTGTATCAAGCATGTGTTCACTCTCCTGTTCACTCTGTATCAAGCATGTGTTCACTCTCCTGTTCACTCTGTATCAAGCATGTTTTCACTCTCATGTGTTCACTCTGTATCAAGCATGTGTTCACTTTCATGTGTTCACTCTGTAACAAGCATGTGTTCACTCTCCTGTTCACTCTGTATCAAGCATGTGTTCACTCTCATGTGTTCACTCTGTAACAAGCATGTGTTCACTCTCATGTGTTCACTCTGTATCAAGCATGTGTTCACTCTGTATCAAGCATGTGTTCACTCTCATGTGTTCACTCTGTAACAAGCATGTGTTCACTCTCATGTGTTCACTCTGTATCAAGCATGTGTTCACTCTCCTGTTCACTCTGTATCAAGCATGTGTTCACTCTCCTGTTCACTCTGTATCAAGCATGTTTTCACTCTCCTGTTCACTCTGTATCAAGCATGTGTTCACTCTCATGTGTTCACTCTCATGTGTTCACTCTCATGTCTCACTCTCATGTGTTCACTCTCATGTGTTCACTCTGTATCAAGCATGTGTTCACTCTGTACTAAGCATGTGTTCACTCTGTATCAAGCATGTGTTCACTCTCATGTAATCACTCTCATGTGTTCACTCTCATGTGTTCACTCTGTATCAAGCATGTGTTCACTCTGTACTAAGCATGTGTTCACTCTGTATAAAGACTGACATGGCCGAGCCTGGGACTGCGCTGGACCAGGCCGTGCTGAGACAATCCCTGAGGAAAGGAGTAAATACTTTTGGCTTGATGCGAGGCCTTTAAGCCATTCAAGTGAACGCTGCCGGAGAGTGAGCGAGATGATGTCACCAGATTACGCCGGCACAACCACATTAATGCAGCCGGGGGTTTAGTGGCAGAGCTTTGTACTTTTACAATGGGAACACCTGCTGCACGTGTGTCTGTGAGAGGCACACGATACTGAAACTACAGAAACCCGACGACCACACGGCCCTCGTCGAGCAGGTAGCAATAAAAAGAGAATAACAGTAATCTATTAAGGTTTCAATTACACTGCTCATTGTGCACATGGGAACGGAGCGCCATAAAAAGAGCCACACAGAACACAGCAGGACCACTTTTGTTTTCTCCACTCGCATAAGTAATGGGCTCGAGACTCCCACTTGTTTTCATACCATACAAGAAACAATATCCAGCTTTTCAAATGCAAGAGATAGTCATACATGCTCTAGTTTCTTTCAATCTTTCAAGTTAGATAAGATAAGATATCAGATTCTTTATTTGGCCCACAGTTGGGAAATTTCATTGTTGCAACGCACAGACAGGACAGTAGTAAGAACACACAATATAAGTAATAATAATAATGCGTTGGTTTTAATAGTAATAATAATACTTGTGTAGCGTTTTTTTTGGACACTCAAAGATGCTTCACATGGGGAATAAAATACAATACAAAATAAAAAAGGGGGTTTACGGAAAAGCTTGCTTGAAAAGATGGGTTTTGAGACTAATTTAAAGTTTGGTAGAGAGTCAAAATTTCTAATGGGCAGTGGGAGTGAGTTCCAGAGGGTTGGGGTTTTATACAGCGCTTTTTTGGACACTCAAAGACGCTTCAAATGTCATTATTCATTCACTCCATACACGGTGGTGATAAACTACTGTAGCCACAGCTGCCCTGGGGCACACTGACAGAAGCGAGGCAACCAGTCTGTGCCATCGGCCCCTCCCACCACCACCAAGTAGCTGCTATGTTTCTTAGCTAGCTGTAATTCTTCAATATCAATCTTTCAAAACATCTCTACATAAATAGTGCTAAGTTATGTACAGACAGTATAGAGCCGGGTAAAATGTAGATAAAGTGACATTCAGAGGACATTCTGAAGTTGCAGTATAATCTCAGTATTTATTTATAAGTTGAGACCTGTAGATATTTTTATGAAAGCAGTTTATCTCTGTAAGCTTGGTGCCACAGTGCAACAACTAAACACCAGAGAATAGTGCTATCTTCAAAGTACTTGAGTTTCTCCGGAGCTTTCCACAACATGTCCCGGGACGTAGCAACAACAGAGCAACAACAGGCAGTGATGCGGAGCTAAAGGCTAAAGGCTAATGGCTACGACTCTCCTTTCTCTCTCTTGTAATCGTTCTATACGGAATATAATGGATGAAACAAGACGACACAAGAGAATATGATCAAAAATCTTCTAAAAATTTGAACAAAATATATAGAACTAGAAACAACTCGACAGCACAACTTTGAAATAAAACAGGAAAATCATCCCAAAATGTGGAATATGGTCTCTCTACTACCCAGAAGCGAGAAGCACAAAAAACAGAGCAACACAACCTGAAGTCTACGATATGTGCTCACACCACAGTTTGAGAAGCACGGATCTAACTGTATACCCAGAAATAAAACATAATCGTGAAAATACAGGCTCTTGTTTTCACCACAGCCGTCTTCATCTCGCCTGGCTCTAAAACGCTGGCTCCTGCTCGGGCGTAGAAGGGACCAAGCCAAATCTGGACTTAGCCAAATCTGGACTTTGGTGGGGTCCCAAACGCATGGAAAGCAAAAGGCCGGGTTCGCAATCGGTTGGAAATGGCACTCACCACTTCTGCATCTCACAGTTGGGTTCACAGCTGTGGTTGATGAAGCGCGCCTCGTTGCCCATACGGTAGCTGTCGATGACCATCCCGCTGTCCAGGTTCAGGCAGTAGTTTCCGCTGTGAGAGAAATACTGCTCCATCATGCGGCTCCTGGAAACACATGAGGTTTTGTGAGACCGGGAGAAGGGCTGGGACGGGTAATGCTTGGAGGATGAGGGAACTGGCAGAGCTCCGATATTTCACTGGGTTAGAGGAACAAGAAGATATGCCAATCAAAACATGGATAATATTATAGAATCTAAGTCTAATTAACATAGATCTAATCACTGTAGGCAAATATTTACTCTGAAATATCTAGAACCAAGAAGCAATAAAAAAGTCCATTGTTATACAGTAAATACATATATAACTATTAGCGAAGGAGCAATTAACTGTGGGTTGTTAAAGAGATACGAGAGATCCTTCATCTCACAGTGGGGAAATTTCAATGTTGCAGCACACATACAGGACAGTAGTAGGAGCACACAAAATATACAAAATATGTAGCTGCTTCTTAGCTAGCCGTAAATGCTTCAATATGAATCTTTCAAAATATCTCTATATACGTGCTGTAAGGTTGTATACATAAAGGGCGGGGTAATAAGTAGAAAAAGTGACATCACAGTTTTTCACACTGTTCTTCGGGCTAATGCTGCATTTTTTTTAATTTCACCTTTATTTAACCAGTAAGGACTTACTGGTAAGAGATTAAGGCTATATCCACACGAAGACAAAACGCTTATAATTTCAGAAACTTTTTCTGTAAACACGGAGTTAGCTCAGTAAATGTGTGCGTCCATATGAATGTAGTCAATACGCCTGAAAACGCTGTGAAACTATGCCAGACCTGTTGGTGGCGCTGTGACGCAATGACGGGATCAAGCCCAAACTTCCGTGACGGGAACTGGGCATGCGCAGAATTTTGTAAACAGACAACATGGCGAGTGGGCGAGCTGGTACTACATTAGTATGGACGGACGATGAGGTTGAACTGTTGCTTCGGGTCACACTGGATTACAAAACCAACAAGCTACATTGTTGTTGTCATTATTTTCTGAGTGCGGCGCATGCGTGCTTTAACAAGAGGCGGGGCGATGAAGCGTCTCAGATACATTGCGGAGAGGCAGTAACCACGGAGCGGCATATACGGAGTTTTGAAATCTTTCCACTCTGGGACCTACTTTCAAAAATGTTCGTTTACACCCCCCCAAAACGCCGGCCTCGTATGGACGATACACTGGATTGATAAAGTATTTTTGCGTTTAGGCCTGAGCTTGACTTCGTGTGGACAGGGCCTAAGAACCTCTTTTTCAAGGGAGTCCTGGACAAAAGTTACATACAGTTATATACAATATTAAAGGTTTTTTTCGTTAAATGTGTGACATCCATGATCATTTATGTGTATTTTAACAACCCCAAAATAATATAATAATAATAATATAATCAATTAATTTCTTAGTCATCACACTATGGACATTTCAAACCATTTTATAACAACACAGCTCAATCTCACCTGAATTCGTGCTCGCTGACCACCTCCCCCAGGTACTCGATGATGAACTGCCCCGAGCTCAGTGTCTCTTTGGTTCTGATGCCCCAGCCTTTGCCCTCGGCCCTGAAGCGCTCCAGACACTGCACCCACTCGTGCCTCTGGATGTGCTGGTTATCGCAGCGGTCTCCACAGGGACAGGTGCTGGGGGAGCACTCGGCAAAACTCATCCTGGACACAGACACAACCATTACTGACAGTTATGGACACTTTTTATACATGTGTCTGACTTTCTGCTATCACTTCTATAGGTCTTTGATGATTGATTGATTTTTTCTGAGAGGGATAAGTGTAAACAATCAACATGTGAAACATTACAACATTTATAGCCACAGATAATTTGCAATATCAGTCTAAATTAAAACCACATTTTACAAAGGCCGGTGTCTCCAACTCTTTAATGATCACACGACTGGTTTGTTTTTAAAAATATATACATTTTGAACGTTATAGAAATAAAGGACAATTACTTTTTTGTTTTTTGTTTATGATGCTGACAGATATTAAATATGTAGGAAAAATAAGTACTTTTGTTTTGCAAGAAAAGTAAAAACCAAAGAGAGTAACTAATAATGTCTAGAAGCTGAAAAAGGGGAATCAATAAGTGTTGAACTTCACCACACGCCTTTTTAAGTGACAATGAATATTCTTTTTATTCTACTAACAGCGTTCTTAAGACTACTGTTTGTTTTTTTTGGGACAAACTTTTTCAGTGAGTGCTTGAAATGAACTAAACTAAAAAGAAAAACAAAATGGCTTCAGTTTGTGTTTACAGCCCAGTCTGTCTGAGTTCAGTTTAAGATGAGGGCTTAGAGTTCCAGAGCTTTGCCCCCTGGACTCAGACCGACTGTCCGAATGTGGTTCTCCTGAGGTGCACTTCCAACTTCCCGTTAGAGGAGCCTCGTGTGATGGACCTCGGAGGAACAATGACACACTCAGGACAACAGGGGCTCGACTGTGCAAACATTTACACAATCATTTACAATCACAAAGTTTAATGAAATTATCAAAACTAAGAAAATGTAGCCTCTGCAACACCTGGAAATGTCTACATCAATCCTCTCTGCTGATCCTGTTTGTGAAAGTAGCTCTCTGATCGGAAAAGGTTGGAACCTCGCGGCTAAATGTCTAAATAACCCCATGTCGTTCATTGAGTTGTCATAAATACAATCGTTGATGTGAAGGAGACGTCGGCATCAATATGAAACACAGATGCATTTATTTCACGGTTGCTTTTGAGCGTATCATGTCAATATCAATCCGTTTATGCTAATAATAATAATAATAATACATCATTTTTATACAGGGCTTTTCAAAAACTCAAAGACGCTTCACAATTCAAGACACACACACACACACAGTTAGACACACAAAACTAAAAAACTAAAAGCAGGAAAGAAGAGTATAAGGCTGAAACTAAGAGTCATATGGTTGGAGGAAGAGGCATGGATCTATAATAATAACTGGATAAAGTATTACTAGCTTAAGCTGTCCCACCCATGGCCACAGGGGGCGCTGTGGTACTGCAGACTAAATTCACGTGGGCTACTCAGAAAAAAGTCCCATAGAACTCAATGTAAACTAAAACAGCTCGACCTCAGCTGACAGAGAACCTACAGAGAACCTACAGCTTTCAGAAATATCAGATTCTGTGGGGATGTTAGTGTCCCCTGTCGTCCTGAACTTTTTTTCTTCTTAAATCCTTCGGTTTTCTTTAAATCCACACTTTACTGCCACAAACTCTGCTCCTTTCCTTCCCGCTCTGGCTCCACTCTGCTGCTGCTCTGATCAGCTCTGATTGGTCAGAGCACGGCCGAGCCCCTCTTTGTTCGTGCACGAGAGCCACACACGCGTATTTGGAGCAAAGCATCATGGGAGCTCGTCCACTGCGCAGAACCGGGAGGACCAGACGATGCCCAAATATAGGCGAGTTCTGCTAATCTCCCGGTCTCCGTGAAGTCCCATGATCTACTGAGCACAAGCCATTCATTTGAACAGGACGCCATCTTAGATCACCGGGGCTTGGGAAGAGGTGAGTTTTTGGCTGTTTTTTGAAGGAGTTTAGTGAGTCCGAGTTTCTGAGATGAGGGGGGGCTAACACAGTCTGAACAGAGGGCATGAGTTGCTAGCATTGCGCCGGAGATGCTTCTTTACCTGTTCAGGCAGTCGTCCAAACAGGCCTTTTCCTTCGCGTCCTCCGGAGCTCTGCAGTTGCATGTTGTCGTTTCGTAACCAGATAGAGGCTTCACGTCGACGTACACATCTAAAAAAACAGAGATTTACCATTTACCTTTGCTCAAAGCATAAAGATTGAGCTCGTTATTGTTAACAAAAGCTGGCAGCAGAACAGAAGAACGAAGACATAACGAATTGATCTCGGTTGATCCGGACATATTGGTCAAATCACAAGAGTAAAAGCAGAACTCACTTGATCTAAGCTTTTTGTAAAGGGGAACATCAGGTCTTTTGTGAAGCTGCAAAGCACAAAAGGACAATAAAGAACGAGCGATTAAATACGAAGAAACAGATGCTTTATCAGACGGACTTATTGGCAACGTTTTTCAACCCCAGCCCCGGGTCTAGAGCTAAAGAGAGCAGCAGAACCATGTAGTAATCATCGGAGAAATCACCTGATCGTGTTTCCACAGCCATAAGATGTCGTAAGGCAGCTGGAAATCAATGCGCTTCTGTCTCAAATACTTTCCTGAAAACACAAAAACAATGAAGGGGAATTTAGTTGGAGGGAATGAAAAGAAACATTTACAGACTCCTGACTGTCTGTAGAGTGATATAGTTTAATGGCTGTGGTTCCACACGAAGAAAGAAGACGGAGAATGAGTTTGAAATAGATTTTTGGCATGAACTAACAAACGGCTAAAAGCAAAACGAGGGGACAAACTTAAAGCTGGGGTACCTAACTTTTTGTTTCATAACTCTTGTGCTTTCCTCGTGAATAGATTAACATGAAACTTTTTATATTTCAAGCTGAATTTTTATGTTTTTTCAAACTTGACCAGCCCTGTGTCGCTGTAGTGGGTCATTTGGACTCAAAGACAGCACAAGGGATAATATTACTATTATTATTTGTTTGTCCAACAGGCAGGTAAGACTCTTTGTGTTATAAGAAGAAGAAGGTCATTTTTCATCCCACAATGGGGACATTTCAGTTTGATGCATACACATATACATATACACAAACACATCAAGGCAAGCAATGAACATCACTTCCACACTCCTTATAGGCAAAGTGGGTTAAGTGTCTTGCCCAAGGACACAACGATAGCAGACATCAGTGGGAGTTAGAGGAGAAGGTCTCGTGGCAGGCTCAAACCTACAACCTTCAGGCTCAAAGGCCAATGCTCTACCAACTGAGCCACTGTCGCCCCCACAAAAAGTGTGTCCTTCAAGCCGGATTTGAACCAGCGACCTAAGGATTCCAGCAATACATTCTACAGTCCTCCGCTTTACCAACTGAGCTATCAGAGGTAGGCATAGAAAAGTAAACACTGTGACCAAATCAGACCACAACATGCAGTCTTTTTAGAAAACATGCGAGTCACTATTTCACGCTTTGGGCTGAGAGCTGATTGGCTGATTGAAGGTGTCCCAGAAATAAAAAATAAAAATAAGAAACTAGTGATACAATCAAACTGTTTTGAGAGTGAGGAACGAGTTAGACAGATTTTATTATAGTTAATTTTTGTGTTTTTAAATCCCAGTATCCCAGATTATAATTCATTTTTGAGATTGTGGATTACAAAAATCTATAAACTTTCCATCTACTAAAAGACAATTCTGTCCAGTTTCACCAACACTCAGTTACTGTGAGCAGGTCGCAGCCTCAGCCTTTCAGATGTAAAGCTGTTATCAACCAGGAGGATACAGAAACCCATGACGCCAAAGACAGCAATAATATCATAACAAAATGTCAACCAAGAATAAACTACTTCCCTTTTGTTAATTGTAAAATCCTTCAGTGACCAGTATTCAACCTTTGTACATAGTCAAAATCTCAATGCGCAATGAATGAAAGAATAAACAGTCAGCATTTAGGATAATTACAACGCCCCCTCTCTCAGTAAAGGGCTTTTTCTAACATGTTTGAGCAAAGTGCAGTGGGATTCTCAGAGATGGAATGACTCCTGCTGTATCCCCTTCTGTGGTAAACTAAAGCTTATGGCACATGCAAGATCACATGGTTTTAATCTACTCACCGACATGTATGGGAGCCGGGAACAGGCCGTACTCGTGTTCCCCCGGTATGTACTCCAGCTTCTCCTTCTTCAGTTGTAGCAGCTGACTTTTTGGGCTGCGGCGGAGAAATCAAATAAAATCCGTTAATATGGAAGTCTGAACAGCCCGGCATGCGGAACAGGAAAGTTATTATGATGGTAACATGAACAAACGCAATATCCGTTTCCCACGTAACAAAGTTAGCCGCGATAATGTCATAGTTTTGCATTTTTATTTATGCATAAGTTTTGCGTACAAAAGTCTGAAATGTGAATTGAAGTTCACATTAAGAGGTAAATTACATGAGTTTTGAATAACCCTGTTTTCAAAAGCAAATATAAGCTCATCATTTTAACCTCAAAACAACCTAATTTGTCTTAATGTGGACTCTAAAGTTTGCAACAACAAAAAAATGCAGGGTATTAGTAAGATAAAGTGCATATTCTCCCAAAACTTTAGTCATAAGTTGCAGCTAGGCCTGTCGCGATATTCAATAAATCAATTAATCGCATAATAATTAAACTCGATCTCTCTCTCTCTCTCAAAAATACTCAAAAATACAAAATACAGCTAGACCAGGACTTAACCCGGACTTAACCAAGACTTAACCAGAACTTAACCAGGACTTAACCAGGACTTAACCAGGATTGAAAATGGCGGACACAGTAGTTGTGAACATATGCCAGTCTGAGTGAATGATGAAAATGATCTCAAAACGACAATATTATCGCTTATCACAAAAAATTCTGACACAATTAATCGTCAAGCAAAATGTGTTATCGTGACAGGCCTAGTTGTAGCTATTTTCCAATGAATGAGTCGTAAATGATTTCAGTTTTATTATCCACACTCACTCCTCTGATTTGTAGACGTCAGAGTAGAGCCCTGCCTTCTGAAACTTCTTCTTTGGTGGTCTAGCGGGTCTCTTTTCGCGTTGGCTTGGGACAGGTCCTGAGAGTTCGGGGGAGCCTTGTCCGTCTGGCTTGTCTTCCACTGGGCTAAAAATACCACAATGACAAAAGGACTTGTTATTGGGTTCCACAGAATTGCAATGAGGTGCAGTCCCTGGCCGCAGAGGCAAAGCAGGAAACTGAAATGACTTATGTATGATAACAATCTTATTTACAGTTACGGTTCCAAAGTAGGTTTTATCTAGGTTTGAGTGATGAGGCAAACCTTTAAACTGGCATCAAAAGGCTCCAGCTTCTCAGGGGGAGAATGCAAAGAACCGGGATCTTAAAGTCGTCAAACTGATTTCAGTCGTTTCATTTTCAGTCACAAATCATCTTTTTTAATTTTTAAATGTACCTTTGAAAATTAGCTGTTTTGGTATTTTAGACCGAGATGTGCACTCACCTCGGATGTTGCTGGGCCTCCTCTGGAATGGGCCAGGCTGTTGCGGTCCCAGATTTGGCCGCTGCAATCTTGTCCAAGTCTGGCAGCACCACACACTCCCGGACCTCCCCTTCCTCCAGTTCATCTTCCTCCTCGTCATCCTCGTCCTCTCCATCCCAGTGTTTTCTCTTTTGGGTTTTCCTGCGTTGCCCTTGAACCACACATTCAATGGTTTTTTTGACCGTGTCACCTTCCCGCCCTCGATCTCGCTGACGGTTGTGACTCAGCTCCTGCAGATCCAGAGGCGGGGAGGGCGAGGGAGGAGGGGAGGGCAGGGGGTTCTTCCTGGGGCGGCCCGGACCCCTCTTCTTGACCATGTTGTTCCCCGTCCGCGCCTGTCTCTGGAGCTTCTTGGCGCGCAGGATCTTGGTGACGTGGTGGAGGCTGCGTTTGGAGGAGATGTCGCGGTGGGACAGAAGATGTGGCAGCGAGGCGCTCAGGTCTGGGGACGAGGGCGAGCCACGCAAGTGGAACAGAGAGGTTTGGTGAAGCCTGGAGAAGCCGATGTCAGAGGCGTCGGACAGGCCTCCTCTTCCCTGAGCTGACAAGGATCCTGTCAAAGATGAGAACGTAGATCTTATCTAATCTTAAAATATAAATAATAATATTGAGCATAACATTTACTTCAGAATGAATATAGAAATGTCTCGATCTTCTGCAAACTGAAGTGAAAAGTAAAACATAAAATTTAACACAAAATCAGGAAATTGGCATTGAATATTGTTATGAATAGCAGCCATCCCTAGCCAAATGCTTTAACCAAATAAATATGTCTTCAATGACAGCCTTGTTAGTAGCAGAAGTCCTTAATCAACACGTCAAGTAACCTACCCAAAGATAAAAACTATAAATTCCTAGACCAGATGACATGGTAAAATGTCTTTATAATTGATTATACATGAATAGAAATAGCCTTTATGACCAGCAGCTGTCCATAGTGCACATTGCTTCTTGACCCACACCACCTCACTACACACTTGTCTTGGATGCCAGTCGAGAGCCCACCCTTGTCCCACACAGACTCCAGTCTGTGACCGAGGAATGACCCCAAGTCCTGGGCTCTAATCCGGGATTACCCTGACTCCGATTGACAGCACCTCAAAGGACCTTATGAGCGAGATTTCTCACTCACACACAAGAATATAAACATCAAACCAGGCTGACTATGTTAAATATCCACGTGCCAAACTAAGAGGATTGGGGCGTGACCTAATGTTTCTGGTGCACAGTACAAGTGTGGACTGGTCACTGAGGATCTGTAAAAGTCATATTTGAAAGTGACACCATAACTCACTTTCACACATGATGCCACGAAGCAACCAAGATTATAGTTGAGAGGAAGGCCCAACCATTCTACATTTCATTTCATTTCACTGCGATATTACCATCACTGGAATTAATGCTCATAATCATAATGGACCCTTTTATTATTGTACTTTTCATTTGCCATTTTGAAAATATACAAGAGTAAGCATTAAAAAGGCAAGACTCAAGGTTGCACATAATTGGAGGACATGCTGTGCCACCGTGGTTTCACTAAACCAGTGCTAGTGCTAACCCAGGTGCATTCAAAGTAGAAGAGAAGCCCTTACTTTAGTGGCTCTGGGGGAAAATATCCAAATATAGAAAGTTAACAAAAACCACCCACTTTTAGGATAAACTGCAGCTTCACTATGCACAACGCAGCAGCCTCTTTAATACATCACATATGCTTTCTCTTGCCACAGCCATAATCACCAGTAAGAGCTACCAAATGTCCTCTAGTGTGAATTCCGCATCTGTCGTGCGAATGACGTGAAAAATATAGACATCCAGAGATTTTTCGTGTTCAAACACAGCAACAGCTGAACGCGCAGCAGTCTAAAATCAACCACAACTAAAGAGGTTACAAAGTTATAGGGAAACCGCAACATTTCTTCGCGGTACTCCTAAGAGATTTATATGCTTTGAAACACAAGCTTAAAAGATAAGACTTCAGTTCAGACTGTGGAGAAGAAAACAAGCTCAGTACTACTATAAATAAGATATCAGCACATCTAACACTATGTTAATTGACCAGGTATTTTAAGAAAGAGAATTTAGTGCAATTGATCCCTATAGATTTCAAAGGAACAAGAACCAAAAAAATACAACGCATTTAAAAACCCTACGACCCATAGCGGGCTTGGAAAAAGTTTGTGAAAGAGTGTGATTTGGGAGTGAAAAAATAAACCTCATCCTTCTTCAGTGAAAATATGTTTTGTTAATTATAAAAAATATCTTACCGAGTTCTCTCCTTTCGCCTGATGTGGAATGGTCCTTGCGAATGGCCCGGTCCATGCGCGAGAAGCTGCTCTCTCCGTCCGACTTCCTGCTCTTCATATTATTGCGGGAGAGGGCAGAGGTGAACAGGTTAGTGAGGTTTGGAGAGTCCTTCTCAGGCTCCGCATCCTCCGAAGGCGACAGAGGCTCGTCATCTTCACTGTCCGAGCCTCCTCCCTGCTCCTCTGCTCCTTGACTCGCAAAGGGATTCTTAGCGGTTGCAGCGTGACTCCTCGATAGCTTCGCGTAATCTGCCTCACAGCCGCTGCCCATTCTGAACCAGGACTCTCCAGAGTGGTGCCCCTTTGAGCTGCTTCCTAAAGTCAGTCTAGACGGGCCCAGACATGACATTGCGCCCTCCATTCGCTTGTACCTGTCTGCGGACGATGAGGAAGAGGAAGATGGGGAGTTGGTGCCCTGCTTGCTCATACTACCGCTTGGTGTGTCGCGACCGAAACGGCATCGCTGCTCCCCCAGGTTTAAACTGCTGCTTCCCTTTACCGACGGGCCGCTCTCCACGCTGGATCGCCCCACAGATGCAGCTCGTGCTTCTTCCTCGGCTTCTTCATCAACGCACCGCTCTCTGTGTTTGTGTCTGTGCTTGTGCTTATGGTGCCAGTTGAAGGAAAGCTCAGAGGACATTGGCGGGAAAAGAACAGGCGATCTCCCGCTTCCCAAAAACTCCTGCCTTAGCAACTTGTGTTTCTTCTTGTGAAATTTCGACGGGTTCAGTAGGAGATGCGATGGGTGGTGCATGTAGGAAGACGGGGGCGGGGGGAACGTGGGCGCGTGGTGGTGTGATGTTGACGAATGTGGCGACTGGTGATGCGGGTGTGAGAAAAGACTGGTCGGTGGGAAGCCTCTGTAGTAGCCCAGACTAAGAGGGCTGGAGGAGTAGGGCATACCGTACGATGGGTGGTAGAATCCTCCACTTGACAGAGGAAATCCAAGACCAGGAACAAACGGAACTTCCGACATTGAATCTCTGAGTTTGGGAGGTCTTCCCCGCTTTTTCTTCATATCTGGTTTACGGATATAGTGCAGAGGATCACAGGATGCATATGCAGGATGGGAATAATAGCTACCGAAATTAACCCTGAAGATAGTAGGCAGAAGATCTCTGTGAATGTAATGATGCGGAGGTGGACCAGTTGTTCCCAAACCGCTCCTGCTGCTTAGCCCCGGGAGTCTACTTGGCCCGGCTAGGCTTAATCCGCTGCCAAATCTGAACCCTGTGGTGCGATGTGCTATTCGTATCTCACTTAGTCTAATTACAATCTCCTCCAACTCTGCCAAAAAGTCCGGATCGTGCCGTCTGGATCGCAGCTGCAAGTACTTCTTCTTGCGTTTTCGTTTCTGCTTTCGGAGTTTGTCGTAGCCGGGGCAGCCGTGGTGACTGCGACGCTTACATTTGTGCTTGTGTTTTTCTTTGTGGCCCAATAGTGAAGAGGCGGGAGCTGCTGGGTGTGGTCTTCTCGCATCTGGTGAAGTTCTGGTGTTATGGGGGGATGGCGAGGGCGAGGGGTGCTCTATAAGTACTGCAGAATGTCTCCGTCGACCCCTGGAGTTGAGCCCTACTCCTGGGCCCATAGTTGAACCGATTACCCCAGGCATCAACAACCCACCTCCGAGACCCGGTGCCAGGCCTAGACCACCTAAGCTGTTACCGGTTTTCTCTCCTCTATCAGATGTACTGTTGTTGTCTGTTCCGATCCCGCTGTCACTGGGGACCGTTTCCTCGCTATGAGATTCACTGACGGGTGATGGCGTTGCCTCTTTAAGTTCACTGAGGGGTGCAGGCGAGGTGGGATGGTAAGGCCTGGGAGGGGAAAGCTTGTGGTAATGGTAGTGCTGCCTGTAATGATGGTGGTGATGGTGATATCCGCGATAAGATGACTTTTTCTGAGAAGACAAGAGGAGGCCAGTGTTTCGGGGATTTGGAGCAGAGAAAGTAGGAGGAGGGAAGGAGAAGGATCCATGGCCATGGTGGGAGCTGGAATAGTGAGGATGGCTGCCAAAGTGCACTGAACCAGGCTCCACGAAGCTGGCATCGCTGTGAGGACTGTGGCCACCGCTGGACTGAGACATAGTGGGAGAGGGGAACACGTCTGAGGAGTGATGATGGGACTGGGATTGATGGTGGTGATACAAACTGGTGCTAGGGGACAGGAAAGGCTCCGAACTGGGACTAGTAGAATTAGTGGCCGCTTTAGGTTTCCGACCTCTTCTCTTGCCCATGTATATTGTGCCTTTTTTGCTCACATTGATCTGGGGGCCAAGTTTCCCACCTAAAGAAGCAGCAAGATTTTCCACTGGGTTGACAGTAGGGGTGACTTTGGGGGGCTCCTCTGTCCTTGGACCTAGAAGGATTTGACTGAGCAGGCGCTTCCTTTTGACACTCTTCATTTTATTGATTTTACCTATAATACTTTTCATGATGAGTTGTCCATTTCCTCTGTTATGAAACCTCTCTCCTGCTTCAGGTGCCAGTGTGGGGGGCTGGCCTTCCTGTGGTAGAGTGGGGGGCAGGCGCTTGGGACGCCCTCGTTTTCTGGGCATGGGCTCAGGGGGGTTTAAGTCTATCTCTGGGTGAAGAACAGGAGGATCTTGCTCCTCTTTGGACTTCAGGAAAGACGGGAACACTTTACATGGTGCAAATTTATTAGGGGGTCTTCCTCGTGTGGGGGAATCTAGTGTTGGCATTGTAGACTTTGGTCGACCTCGTTTTCTGGGTTGATCCGAGAACAGATCTGACATGTCACTGTGAGACAGAGAGGTGGGTCTAATCTTATTTGGGTTGGGGGGCCTCCCGACCGGCCGTTTTACAGGTGGAGGAGACTCTGCACTTGGAGATGAGTTACGGCTGGTTCTGTCCTGGTCAAACGAGCTCCTGTGACTGCTCTCACTGTCCGTTTTGCGACGAGGCTTGCGGCCCCTGCGTTTCTTGAGGGGTTTGCTGTCCTGTTCTGAGGGTGAGTCTAAGGAGGAGTCAGCAGAGTCGTCTCTGAGGGGTGTGGGTGGGCCCTCGTCATCATCTGGTTCTGGAGAAGGTACCCTCTGTCTTACGGCCTCAGTAGGGCTGCTGTTTCGGCCTTGTCTCCCACTGTCCTGATTGGAAGTACGTTTACTGGGACTGGAGCTTTTTCCCCGTTCAGCCAGCGATAACTGATGATTAGCTCCTTTCTCTTTTCCTTCTGGCTTTCCAGAGGCTGATAAAGGTGGGAATTTGGTAAGGTCTCTGGAGCAGTCTTTTTCAGAGTCTTTTACACTTGTTTCCTCAGTCACAGACGGACTGTCCCGACTGTGTTGACTTTGGGCTGAAACGGGTGAGTTGAGTTGGCTTACAGTTCTCTGCTCTGCTGTAGGGTTGCAGGATAAAATGGTATTGGACGATGATGGGGTCCTGTGTGGAGAAGAGTGAGCCGAGCGAGACTTAGCACTGCTACTGTCACTCTTGCTCTCTTTTGAAATGGCTGAGAGACGGCTGTTTGTGATGCTGACAGCTGGGCTGTTGCTGCGGCTGCTGCTACTGCTGCCGCTGCTGCTGCTACTGTTGTTGGTACTACTTGTTTTCACAGTTCCATCATTCTCTTCTTTCCTCTGATTTGGAATAGGAGATGAACTGTCCATGTTATCTTTGCTTTTTGACCCATATGGCCTACCAGGAGGCCGAGACACAGGAAGGGCCGGTGAGAGGTGAACCATTCGCGAGTATGTGTTTCTGTTGGCTAATGCCCTGTCTCGCTGTTTAGCAGTGGGGGCCATAAAGCCTGAGCTGGGGGTCGAAGGAGTAAGCGGAGAAGGGTCAGCCTTTGATGGTTTGACTAGTTTCGGAGTCTTTGCAGGTGGCCGTGTCGCTATGAGTTGAGCTAACTTTTCAGTCACTGATGGTGGTCCCCAGTACTGTACATTTTTGTCCTCACTGGCTTTTGGAGCTGCGCTGAAAGTAAACTGTGGGGGCTTTACACTGTCAAAGGTGGGTTCCTTAGATGAAGTAACAGGTGGAGAAGGTGAAGATGTTCGAACACTTGATTGTGAAGAAGAGGGTTTCTTTGCAGTTGAATGTGTTTTGCTGTCTGGAGGAGGCCGGTGGAGATTCAGAGGACGTTCTGATGTGGTGTTGACTGACTTTAAGTCTGACTTTGAATCAGACTTGCCATCCATCTTTGGTGTGCCCTGGAAACAAGGACACAAGAAGTCACTACAAGTGCTTTATTTACTAAAAGGAGCTGTAAATCTAACATACTAAACAAAAACATGTTATAAGAATTTTACAGAGAAAACCACTTAATTGAGCTCTAATTTTCTTCCAGTTGCAGTTGATTCCAACTGCAGATAATTGAGCTTGAAATACAAATATTAAACCAGAAAAAAACAATTCCCTACTCAAATAAAAATATTTTGTGAGTCTAACTTCATTCTTTAACCAACTGAAAATCCCCAGCTAAGATCCGCTGCACAGTTCTGACCTGCTACTATCACTGTCCTTTAACAAACACCAATTTATTGATAAAAGATCTCTTGCCCATTTCTGCGAGGTGTGCATGCACGAAGGAGGAGCTTTACACACTCAATAACGCTTATCCGGGTCAGGCGGGGGACAGGGAGGGAGAGCGGGCAGAGAGGTCAGCAGAGCAGGGGGAGGAGAGGATGTGCCCATAGAGAGAGAGCCAGGGCAGACACAGGGGGCAGGAGACACAATAGAAAACTAAAGGACAATTTACGTGCGGCTTTTGACTAGTCCAATAACCTGCTCTTTACTAGGGCTTCCCCACAAACCACTGATGCAGCTGTGTCTCTGGGGTTGATGGTTAGAAACAAAAATAATTTAGAAAGTATTTTGTTATAATGCTTCTTCTTAACTCATTGAATGCCAGCCTATTTCAGAACAGGTACTCCCACAGTGCCAGCCATTTCTGATGATTTTTACTGATTTTTCAAGACCCACAGAATATTGTGTACTATGACTATCTGAAATCCGACACCAGATTCTAAAAGAATGGACTGTGTACTTTCCTCAGCAAAAAGAATTTTGTTTATAGCTTTTTTCGTTCCCCTGTAATCCTCCGTCGAGTAGAGGGAAGTTTTACTGAAATCACCAGAAATCACCAGAAAGTTGAGAAAAAAGAGGCACAACATGTGCACCTACATGTTTTCAAACCATTCAGAGAGCAATGCTGCCACCTGCTGGCTCGATAAAATATGGTCTCAAGTCATCCCCATACATATTAGATACAATAGACATCTGGGAACGTGAAAATAGCGAAAAAGGCAATTGACGGATTAATGCGTCAATGGCACACGACGTTACTATTTGCTTTGACGTATTTGTGCGTCAATGGGACACAATGAGTTAAAAAATCCTATTTGATAGAGATAAGATAAGAATTGAAAAAAGTTCAGAAAATTAAAACTTGTTTGATTAAAAAATACTTTGTAAACACATTTTTGTTTCATTCTGCAGTCATTATCTGAGTCCTACAGTAAAACCTCTTCTCAGGATGTTTAAGTCAATGTAAGGCTCAAAAAACAATTAGTAAATTAGTTGACAACAATTGCTTAGTAACAATGTGTGCAGTGAGATTAAAATATACCTTTTTAGTTGGAACGTTCCCGTTGACTTGGGCAGGTGCAGGAGTGTTGGTGTTGGGGGGTGAAGGGGCGGAGGGGGGAGGCGTAGGTGCTTTAGCTGCTGCTGTGGTTGAAGATGAGGCTGTTTTATTACTGGAAGATGTTTTGTTGTTGACAGAGGGGCTCTTCTCTCCCTTTTCTTTGTCCTTGGACTGAGCGGCAGGGGTCTTGGTCTGGCTGCCTGCTCCATCTCCTGTAGACGCACTTTTGGATTTGGCGTTACCTCCACTGCGCGGAGCGTGCCGGACAGTTGCCCTGAAAGCCGGACGGCAAACGTAATTTTCCAGGCTTTTCGGAGGCTTCTTCATGCGTTTTGCTTGGAGCCCAATTTTGAGTTTGAGATTGCCGTCTGACAAGCTGCTTTCTTTGACAGAGAAAGACGGGTCATCCGCGGTCCCACCAGCTCCTGCGGAACTCGTCCCACTATCCTTGTTTTTCTCCTCATCTTCTTCCTTTTTACCACCTCCTCCCTCCTTCTCTCGCTCCCCTGAAGAAGCACTTGCACCTTGCATTTTTTGATCCATTGAAAGGTTATAGGAGTCCCAGGGAGAGGGTAGGATGTAAAATTTGGTGTGGAGTTGAGAGGGGAGGGAAGGGAAGGGGAGGAAGGGGATAAATCTGAGGTGACTTCTCTCAGCCCTTGGTCTCCGTCCTTCAACTGTCACACAAAAAACAAAAAAGTAGAAAATTGATTAGTTACAGATACTTTCATTAAAAAACAGCAGACGACATAAACTCTGACAGTCTGGGTATAAAGAAAAGGCCAACATTTTTATAATGTGTTTTGTTAGAGGGCGTCTTTCATCTCATCTAGGTGAAATTTTATGACGTGTTTGTCCTTGTGGCAATAACAATCTGTAACCTATTTATACAAGGTCGTTTCACCTGAGTAAAGTCTCCTCCATTTAAAGTACATGACACAAGTTCAGATTTAACTACTTATTTAGAAGTTGTCTTTAGTTATTTCAGTAAAGTGCTTTTGGCCAACGTTAGCACAGGAGCAGCTAAAGTCGCCCGTTTCCTAATTGTGCTCCTTTGTAGACAACCCACTTCAATGAAGCTGTCTGCGGCGCCCAATGGCCACTGAGTGATTTAATGGGGATTTGCCCGAAGCAGGTGCTTTCTCTGAGTGAAGTCATTTGGAGGTAATTCAGAAGTGTGACCTCAGCACATTGAGCCCTAAGGGACAGGACAGAGAATCTGACCGCCTTTTTCTGCCCAGGCCCCAGTATGAGAGTGTGATGGAGCAGCAAAATGCAGCCACGTCTCCATTAGTGAACATTATAATACTAGGGCCATAACTTTGTGTCCAATAATCATTTATAATAAAAGTTAGTTTAAAAAATCCAGAGTAACATTTTTGCCAAACCCACATGTGGTATAGCAGTTTCTGTCTGTTTATTTCAATTATAAACTTCACACCTCCAAAAGGGAGATCCCCCCTCATCTGCACATACCACACTCAAATCACACCTTGCGCTTTTCCTCAACACTTAATCAATCTCTGTATTTGTGCATTTCTGTTAAAGCCTTTTCATCCTCCTCCTCATTTGCTTCACAAACTTGGAAAGCGGTAGTAACAACTCATGTCTGTGTTGCTCCTGCCATAATCAAAAACACATTTCGTCCAGCACCAGCAGAAGACTGTTCCCAGTGTCCTTCTTCTGCAGTGACAAATGCTCTTCTCGTTCTTTCATTGGAACGCTCATACAAGCTGCTTCTCTTGGCCAACAGCAGCCAAAAATAAGGTAAATGTAAGTAACACAACGAGAACACTGTCTAAGAAAGTCACAACATAGCCCTAACCTCCAACAAAACCGTAAACCACTTCAATTACTTCTATGGTATACGATCTGATGCCAAGTCAACTCGGTTTTACAGTATTACAGTGAAAAGTGAAACCTCTGCCCCTGTTACAAGTGTTGTGCTTTAATAGTTAGGAAATGAGTCATATGTCAAGCAATAATAAATCATTCTGTTGTTTTGGCCCTGTTGGGTATAACGGTAAAACCCGGGTCACAGAAAGTGATAATGATTTATATGTTAAAGTCAAATACATTTGTCTGGTGAATATTTCAAAGGCTCCAGAGCTAAAAACTGTAACTTTTTACTCACTGAAATGTCTGTGTGTTTGTGCAGTCTGTATTAGAATCCAGACTTGGGTATTTTATGAGATGAGTTTCAGTTTTTATGCCCAAAAAATCCTGCTGTGTGAAATAGTTGACTACAAACACCCGCTTGCGAGACAAGGTTAAAAATCAAAACTGTTCAATGCTTAAAAAATTTGATTGACGGAGTGAGCTTGAAGGCAGTAAACCAACCCAAAACAAATACCTGAAATATCCTACTTAAAACGTCTCAATCAATAATCAAGACCCTCAAAATAGCCCAACTAGGCACAAACAGAGCGTAGTAAACAACTTCCCGTGCCCCCTCCTATTTTCATTGCTCCCCTCCCTCCCACTCCTGCACTTTTGCACACGTTGTTCATAACTGCTGATTTCCCCTTGGCCGGAGCAATTGTGCCCTGCCCCTGCCCCTCCACCACCGCCTCCCACATTATCCACCAGAGGAGCACTGGCTTCCCTGACATCTCCAAAAGCTTGCTCTTCTCTTTGGATTATAGCTCATTTGCGTGTATGGTCCAGGGCAGCGAGGAAAGGAGACCAATTCTTTTACTGCTACCATTAGTGAGATGTCCCAGAGGAGGCAGTAAACGCTGAGGACGCTGTAATGGCGTGATTGTCTTGAGGGCTGACGGGAATGACAGGTGTCAGTCTCAGTGCTGGTAAAACACGCACATAAACCATTTGAATGACTATATTGGTTCAACTAGACCGTTTGCTTTTTCGGTTTTGCAAAAAAGCCGTTAGATGCATGGTCAAAATCTCAAAACGATCTGGTTTCACTATGAATCACCATAACTGTGCGCGTTTAGTCATTTCCTAAACACACACGCATGCTCCAAAGCTCCAGTTTACAGGCAGATGAGAGGCAACAAACTAGTCTTTCTAGCCTTGTGCAAACATTTCTTTTGAACAATCTGATGCGAGACCTCAGCCTCCTTTAACAATGTCAACAATGAACCATGATTTCTGCAAGATTTAGACGCACTCACCTCTTATAACAGACGAAAAACGGTGTTCACATTATTTGGCCGTGGGTTTAACGCGTGGATCAACGTGGTGGCCACATTTTCCTCCAACGCGCTGAGAGGAGAAGAAACACAGCAGCTGTCAGAGAGCGACCTCCAAAATGATTGTATACACACCAGCGTAGGAAGTAAAAGGCAAAGCCACTTAAGCTATATGTTGATATGACGCATGCATAAATTGTGGTATGTGTGTTTGCATGTGTATAAAGCCATAATAGTCAGAAATGAAGCCGCACACCTCAATTCAAAAATCAATGCAAATCGCGCTAGACTTGGTAAATATTGATTTACCTTGCCAGCGCCAATTTCACAAACTTGCTAAAGGCATGGACTAGATAGCTGATAAAATTGCACCATGTATTAGTAACACGTGGATAATAACACATAACAGAATTAGCGCACACAACTGAGAAACCAATACATCCATAATAAGCCACATATGCGGAGAAATGCGTGTGATTGTTCCATAATAAACTAGTAGCTACAGTCCAATAATAGACACGCTGCCTACTTTGTACCAAGGGCTAACTAGCCATCAATCAGACCCCGTTTTGGGCAATTTCAGGCTAAAATCGCGCACTTCAGGCTGATTTGCACACACGGTGGAAAAATGCAATGGCTGACAAGTATGAATTGTGCAAAGTTGTCTAAAAATGTCACAACTCATCCACGCTGGGAGTGATGTCCATAATCTCACATCTCTCAGGCGCGCGTGCCACTACATCCCGGCAAACCACGGCTAATGCAAGTTAGCTAACCCCAAAAAAATACACTAAATATAAATATAAACTAGGGTGTGTTTTCGGACAAACTGCTATCAACGCGGGGTGTTTGTATGCGTAAAATGTGAAAATGTTAATCCACGGGGGTGAAATAAGTGAAGCATAGCCGTGTGGGTTATTAAAAAAACACTGACTGTCAAACAAAATGGCGGCTGCGTTGAATCAACACAAGCTCGAAATGGATCTCTGCTTTATCCCGCTGCTCGATGCAAAGTGTCCCCAACAGTGATATCCGTGATAAATCCACAGCGAATGGTCCAAAAAAATCCCGCTCAGACACGTCCTGCACTGGGCCCGGTTGTGTCAGTTTCCCAGGCAGGCTGCACTGGTGTCTCTGGTTAATGGGGCCTCCATGTCTGCTCCAGCCCAGTGTACGTACAGCCCACAGCGGGAGAGGGAGGGCTGTGGAGCGGGGGAGGAGAGAGCAAATGTCGGGCGGGCAAATCATACGCATAGATGTTTTTTATTTTTTTATTGTTAAAGTGGTATGTGCACGTGTAAAACTTGGGAAACTCTAATCTTGTGTGTTGACTGTGTATAAACAGTGAATAACCGGTGTATTGGCGCAGTGTCTGGATGATTAAAGGGGCACATGTAGTTTTTGGGAAGAGGCGCGCGCCACCTGCTCCAGGGCTGGAACGATTAGTCGACGACAAGACTCGGGCAACTTGTAAACAGGGTGTCAAAGTTGAAATGTTTCACACGTCCACACATCAAAGTCAAGCGTTTAAATGTTTTGCAGCATATATAAACTAAACAGATAATTGGAATAATCTGTTAAATATTTCATTGGTTGTAAACAAATGTGTGGACTGCTAAATGGTGATGAGTGATTGAGTTGAGCTTTTTGTTTTGTCAGTTTTGGCCCTCATTCATTACTTTTTAAAACCATAAATAAGACTGATTAGTATGTATTTAACTTTGAATGGTTTTATGGCACTTTTAACAAACTTGTCATAACTGTGAGCAGGCAGTGAAAAAAGGCTGTGGGGATTCAACTCTATACTCTATTCTACCGCCTTAGTATCTATCTGGTACCGTATCCTAGCAACCGACCTATAACAAACCAGTACCGGGAAAATTCCTTGGTAACCATGGAATCCAGCAGCACTGTCAGTTAGAACACTTTAGTACCAGATGGCCCAGGACAAAGCACATACTAAAAATGTTCCCTGTACCGGTTAAACAGGTCCTGTGGAAACGCTCTCAATCTGGGTAGAGTAGGGCCGAGAAGAGTAGAGTAGGGCCAAGTAGGGCTGGTGGACATGGGGCTATACAGCACCTTTAATGAGTGAAATGTTGCTACTGCGAGATGAATAAAGGTTTATCTTATCTTATCTTGTAATCCACTCTATCCAACCACATAAATTAGTTCATACATTTTGAAATAGTCTAAACATTTGTAGCAAAACCCATGGTAAAGGACACTACATAGTTCTTAAGTGGTAAACAGTCACAACAGCGTCATGAGGGGGATGTGTTGTTGACATGTTGTCATGGAAACAGATGCAGGAGTGTTGTTGTTTGACATGTAAAATATTCTGAAATCCTTCATAATGCCACTTTAACAAATATATTAATACCACAGTTATGATAATATGGTAGGGTTATTAGTTAGGTATGTAGAGATTATATTCAAATCTATTGTTTTAGAACGACATCGGGTTACTGTTATCTTAAATATTGTGAGATTTCATAACACTTTGAAGCAACTTTTGTTAAGGTTAAACTCATCATTCTATCAATGTGCAGAAGCCAGTACTTTTCCCTTGTTTTGTCTATCTGAAGGCCAAGCTACAAGCACACCGTGGCAGCTGCTGATTGGAGGTCTCCATGCCTCCGCTCTGTATAATACACTTGCATTCTCTTGTATCTTTGATCGTGTGCTTTGTTCGTGCTGTCTCTACCATCGACAATAAAACATGTCTTCTGTCTGAATTTAAGACGCGATCCCAGACTTGGCACATCCTCTTCAGGTGGTGGAAGAATGCGGCCCTTGTCTGTAACATCTACAGAACAGAAGACCTTTTTTTTTTTTACACAAAAATGTGTTTTTTTTTTAAGCCAAAACTGAAAAACCTCAAGAGAATGCATCTGGACCAGCACACTTGGACAATCTGCACAGCCCCTGATTCCAGTCAGGCTGTGAGCTGCTGAGACATGGACAACACCATCGTCCTCTTTTGCATGGACACCATTTGGAAAAATTGGATTACACAATTTGGACATAATTTGGAACAATCTGGATTTCTGAATTTGGACATAATTTGGACTGAATTGGATTGCTGAATCTGGACACTGAAGCTGAAACGTGTGATTCAAAGACACGTCACAGAAGAATTCATGGCTCGACACAAATGCAGCCTGAAGAAACAACACAGAGAAGTGGGAGAGACTGTTTTCAAAGCTATATCTGGAACCACCATCGACTGATGAAGATTGGTATTTTACTGAAGATTGTTGACAAGTTTTATGAAAGATCTGAACATGTTTTATGAGTTTTTGAAGTATTCCGAGTTCTGAGTTTTTTGAGGTACCGAGTGAAGTACCAAGTTTATGAGTTTTTGAAGTATTGAGTTATGATGTTATGTTGCTGTTTATCGATCCTGATGGTCACACGTGAATGTGTGCCCAGAGGGGGGAATGTGAGATTTCATAACACTTTGAAGCAACTTTTGTTAAGGTTAAACTCATCATTCTATCAATGTGCAGAAGCCAGTACTTTTCCCTTGTTTTGTCTATCTGAAGGCCAAGCTACAAGCACACCGTGGCAGCTGCTGATTGGAGGTCTCCATGCCTCCGCTCTGTATAATACACTTGCATTCTATTGTATCTGTGTTCGTGCTCGTGCTGTCTCTACCATCGACAATAAAACATGTCTTCTGTCTGAATGAAAGACGCGATCCCAGACATGTCATCTTCTTCAATATAGTAGTTCAAAACACCAATTCCTCCTAAACCCTGAATACTGTCTCTGAGAAAAGTGAAGGAGGAAATCTGAGGAGCAAAGCTGGTCAGTCATGTGGTTTCTGAGGTCGTCTTGCTCAGTCATTGACAAAAACGTCTGTGCTTCATTATTTTTGCTATTTTCAGTTTCAGTGGAAACAAACTGTTTTTGTAGCAACCCAAGATGGGCGTGTTATTCTGCTGTGCAACAGGCAACTCCAAAGTGTCTCTCTCTCAATTCAAAACAACAATATTGAGCATACAAGAAAACCCAAGGCCAATAGACAAACTTCAGTCTTCTATAGCTGGAATTGTGGGTAAATTTCTACACCAAAAAACCCCACAAACAAATGTTCCAGTTATGCGACTTTAATGTATCCAAAAATAAATCAGGAGCACAGTGTAGAATGCATAAAGCATAGTTTTAAATTCTAAAAATGTTGTTTTAAAAATGTAATTTGGAAAGTAAAATTGATTATATATTATATTTATGGTCACAGATTGATGTAAATACTTAAATGGACCTCTACGGTGAATGTTTCAGCCACAGTATAATCAGCTCGAGTACTGATATCTTTATAATAATAACAAAGTCTATTTACTGTATTTTGTAAGAATAAACTAACAAATAACTTGTTAAATCTTCAGGCTAACAGCTGATTGGCTGGTACAGGGGTAATCCAACATTCATGTGTATACTGAGGATGCACCAAATGGGAAAGGAGCAAGTTTGATGGGTTCAAAACTACTTCCTCTTTACAAAGTAAAAAAATAGATACCCCAGCTTTAAGGAAGTGGCATGTGCCAATGTGAAAAAGTGTAAACAAGTAATAAACATTTGTATATTATCCACTGCAGCTTTGACCCCGACCGCTGCATCAGATTAAAGTCATTAAGAAGCCAGCGCAGGATCCTGAGCATCCACGATTAAGTCTATTATAATCAAGCATTTCATAAGTAAAGTTCATCCACACATCGCTATGGCCTCTTTCTCTGATCTTTATAGCTCTTCAGGCCCTTCAGGCTCTTCAGGCTCTTCAGGCTCTTCTGCTGAAGTCACTGAACTCATGGACAGAGAGGACGAGAGGCCGTGGTCTTCACCGCTGAGGCTTTTCCGACACACGGGGCAGGTATCGTGCTGCGAACAGGGTACAGTTAAGTGAGAGTTAAATAAAGGTTGTGGTTAAACGTAAACATGAAAAGACAGTGCAGATTTATGTGTTGGTTTGTGTTTAACACAGTTATGAAGGCAGGATGCGTGACACTCCATTAAAACTTTCATGACCTTTAAACCTGACTCCACTAAACACACAGTGGCTCCTCACCAGCTCCAGCCACGGCACGATGCAGTCGCTGTGGAAGTAATGCAGACACGGCAGTTGCCTGACTGATTCACCCAAACAATAGTCCTCCCTACAGACCGGGCAGTCGAGTCGGCTGTCTGCAACACACATTCATTCATTCATAAAGATCCAGACCCAGGTTCACTCCATCATGAACTTTATATAAAGGCCATGTATCACCTGTGTGCTCCTCAGAGATGCAGACCGTTGGGAGGGAGGAGATGGCCTCCTGGTCTGCAGCAGGGGGTCCTGTGTTATCCAGTCGTCCCAACAGCTACAAGAGACAGAAGAAGATCCAAACGTAGGGAAATGAATTGCCTTGAAAGGAAATATAAATAAAAAATCATTTGCAACACGTCCAAACAAGTAGAGACTTACATCTGTAACAACGGCGTCTAACCCTCTCCGGCCCCAGGCGTAGTCTCCGGGGTTTGAATGCAATTGAAGCCATCTGTCACTGTGGAGGTGTAAAATGGGTTATACTCGAATACTCCGATACCAGTTACATGAAAGGTCCAGAAACACTGACCTTGGAGAAGACGTAGCAACACCGTCAGTGTTAGTGGTAAAAAGATCAGAAAAGAACTGCTCCAGTGATCTGGAAAAACATCGTAAAAGTTTAAACACCATTTTAAGATGCATAACCCGGTGGTCTCGACAGCTCAGTGCATCAAGTTTATTTATGTTTTATAATTCTCAGTCATGATTTTGTTTCCCCTGTTGAGGAGAACGTTTGTGGGTTTACCTAAAATGAGACAAAAACACTAACCATGAAGAAACCTCTTCAGCTTCTCTACTTAGAAACATACCACAAACTCTAAGATTCTGCTTCACTTTTATCACTGCACCATTCAAAGTTTGCTTATTGGTTCTGTGACTGTGTGGGTCGGTGACATCACAGATAAAGAAAGGAGACCAGAGAGAGACCAGAGAGAGACCAGAGAGAGACCAGAGAGAGACCAGAGAGAGACCAGACAGAGACCAGAGAGAGACCAGAGAGAGACCAGACAGAGACCAGAGAGAGACCAGAGAGAGACCAGACAGAGACCAGAGAGAGACCAGAGAAAGACCAGAGAGGGAGCAGAGAGAGACCAGACAGAGACCAGACAGAGACCAGAGAGAGACCAGAGAGAGACTAGAGAGAGACTAGAGAGAGACCAGAGAGAGAGACCAGAGAGACTAGAGGGACCAGAGAGAGAGACCAGAGAGAAACTAGAGTGAGAGAGACCAGAGAGAGACCAGAGAGTGATCAGATTGAAACCAGAGAGAGACCAGAGAGTGATCAGATTGAAACCAGAGAGAGACCAGAGAGAGACTAGAGAGAGACCTGAGAGAGACCTGAGAGAGACCTGTTCTGGAGGTTCTTTATGAATACAGACTCTTAAACCGAGCTCTTGGAATAATAATGACTCTTCTGGCCCCTGGAAAAGACATGTTCCAGCTTCTTTCCTCTGGCAGAAGATATCGTTTGTGAGATGCAGGACATCTGGTGACAATTGTGTTTGTTTTAATCCTGTACTTTTAATCTTGTTTTTCTTATGTACTTGTCTGGTGCACACTGGGGAATTTTGCAACAGTATTCCAATGTGGTTTTACTGCACATGACAAATAAATGAATCTGAATCTGATTATGTCCTGGATCATACGTGCCCACTCACCCCTCCTCCCCCTCCGCCGTGCCGTCCACGGGCAGCGACGACGCAGCGATGGGCTCCAGATCGTCAGAGGAGAAGGAGGAGCTGCTGGTGGAGGTCAGCGTGCCGTCGTTGGGCTCGGACTCGGAGGACGGAGCGGAGAGCAGGGCCTGGCACTCCATAAACAGCATCTGCATCAACTACACGCGAGACGGACGTGAGGAGCAGACACCCAGATGAAATGAGCCTATACTTTACAACTTTACCATGAACAAAGTGGATAAACATCCGAGAAGGCAGACCGTTTTAGTCAGAACATACCTCTGGGAGTATTTGCTCTTGTCTTTGGGAAGTTGTACGGTTCTGCAATAAACTACACAGAAACAAAACATATTCCAATAAGAATAGTTTGGTGGTCTTTGAAGTTGTTGATTTATTATTTACCTGGAGTTTTCTTCGACTTCTTCGATAAAATCCGAATCGCATTTTGGACAGACCAAGTCCTAAACAGAGAAACGCACCAAGAAAAACATTTTTGTAACCTCAAAACACACATACTACCTCTCCCTCTCTAGAATAATTATCCTTAGGGTTATAACCATAGACATAATATACACTTTATATGTCTATGGTTAAAACAATAGTCCACCAACAAAATTACATACCTAAACCCAACACAAAAATACATAACATACAAAACATACATGTAACTATTTAAGGGGAAAAAACACTGAAATATATATATTGTATTTATAATGTATCCGTAGCTGGGTTTCGGGGGCAGCAGTCTGAGCAGACGTCTAGACTCCCACACACACTTCCTCCCAGGTCGAGCCTTTTGATGCGGAGAAGCAGCGGCTCTACTCAGAGCTCCTTCCGTGTGACGAAGCCGGTCACCCTATCTCTAAAGGATCGTTCAGCCACTCTGCGAGGGAAACTTATTTTGACGACTTGTATCTCAAATCTCGTACTTTAGGCCATTACATAAAGTCGGGGATGGGAACGTAGATCGACCGGTAACTCAATTTCGACTCAGGTCCCTCTTCTCCACAACAGGCCGTTACAGCTCTGACTGCAGACGCTGCTCCCTCTTCTCCACAACAGGCTGATACAGCTCTGACTGCAGACGCTGCTCCCTCTTCTCCACAACAGGCTGATACAGCTCTGACTGCAGACGCTGCTCCCTCTTCTCCACCACAGTCTGATACAACTCTGACTGCAGACGCTGCTCCCTCTTCTCCACCACAGTCTGATACAACTCTGACTGCAGACGCTGCTCCCTCTTCTCCACCACAGTCTGATACAGCTCTGACTGCAGACGCTGCTCCCTCTTCTCCACAACAGTCTGATACAACTCTGACTGCAGACGCTGCTCCCTCTTCTCCACCACAGTCTGACACAGCTCTGACTGCAGACGCTGCTCCCTCTTCTCCACCACAGTCTGATACAGCTCTGACTGCAGACGCTGCTCCCTCTTCTCCACCACAGTCTGACACAGCTCTGACTGCAGACGCTGCTCCCTCTGGATACAGCTCTGACTGCAGACGCTGCTCCCTCTGGATACAGCTCTGACTGCAGACGCTGCTCCCTCTGGATACAGCTCTGACTGCAGACGCTGCTCCCTCTGGATACAGCTCTGACTGCAGACGCTGCTCCCTCTGGATACAGCTCTGACCTGTCAATCTCTTGCTCCAGTTTTTCCCTCCCTCGTGAACAAGACCCAGAGATAAATTTGCTTGAGGAAGAACCTCTGCAAATATATTTAGCAATTGTTTTTATACATCTTCTCAGTTTTCACATTCTTGAATTAAAATAATCAATCAACAAACTAAGGAATAATCAACTGATAAATATCAACCATAATCAACCTTAATAACACATACAAACAAAGCGATGTGAGACTAAATGTAATAAACAGAGTGTCTCAAACCTGAAAACAAATAAGTCAAATCTATAATAAAACATTTCATAACACACTATAGTCTTTATAATCGTGGAGTCAGTGCACGTGGAAAGACCGCTACATTTAGAGCCCTCTGCTCTTGTCTGCACCATGCTCTGATACACGTGAGGAGTGTTCCACCAGTGCGTGAAGCTGCTGCCAAACTCTGCACATTGCATTGCACAGGGCGCTCCCTTCTGGCCTGTCACGGGAAATGAATAATTCAACAGGTTTCTTAACATCATAGGGAATATTAGATCATCATTTAGTATGAAGAAGAGGCTTGTTTACGCCTCTCGGGAACGCAACACCTTTTTACTACAAGTATTATTGAAGTAGAGTCCAATGGTACAGATCTTTCAGTGAACAAACAGAACTAAACTAGACAATAATGTACCACAGAAGGATAACATAAGGACATAAAACCATTGTGTGGGAGGGAGGGGGAGGGGTTGTTATACAAAAATAATAATTAACAATTAACACAGAACAACAACAATAAAATAAAAATACAGGGTGGAATTGAATGGAGAATGTTTTAAAAGTGTGATTGTTTTTATTGCTTTTGGGTAAGTTGAAGGATGAGTCTATTGTTTATAGATTCATTTGATGAAATATTGTTGAAGAGGGGGTTTCTTTTTAATAAATTGGAGTGTATGTGGAATTTGCCCAGAATGATTGACAGATTAAGTAAGTTTTTGGTACAAGTTGACGCACAGCAGGACCATAACAGCCCCATGAGTAGGACCATAACAGACCCATGGAGCAGGACCATAACAGCCCCATGAGTAGGACCATAACAGACCCATGAGTAGGACCATAATGACCCATGAGTAGGACCATAACAGACCCATGGAGCAGGACCATAACAGCCCCATGAGTAGGACCATAACAGACCCATGAGTAGGACCATAATGACCCATGAGTAGGACCATAACAGACCCATGAGTAGGACCATAACAGACCCATAAGTAGGACCATAACAGACCCATGAGTAGGACCATAACAGACCCATGAGTAGGACCATAACAGCCCCATGAGTAGAACCATAACAGCCCCATGAGTAGGACCATAACAGCCACAACAGACCCATGAGTAGGACCATAACAGACCCATGAGTAGGACCATAACAGACCCATGAGTAGGGCCATAACAGCCCCATGAGTAGGACCATAATGACCCATGAGTAGGACCATAATGACCCATGAGTAGGACCATAACAGACCCATGAGTAGGACCATAACAGCCCCATGAGTAGGACCATAACAGCCACAACAGACCCATGAGTAGGACCATAACAGACCCATGAGTAGGACCATAACAGCCCCATGAGTAGGACCATAATGACCCATGAGTAGGACCATAACAGACCCATGAGTAGGACCATAACAGACCCATGAGTAGGACCATAACAGCCCCATGAGTAGGGCCATAACAGCCCCATGAGTAGGACCATAACAGCCCCAGGAGTAGGGCCATAAAGACCCATGAGTAGGACCATAACAGCCCCATGAGTAGGACCATAACAGACCCATGAGTAGGACCATAATGACCCATGAGTAGGACCATAACAGACCCATGAGTAGGACCATAACAGCCCCATGAGTAGGGCCATAACAGCCCCATGAGTAGGACCATAATGACCCATGAGTAGGACCATAATGACCCATGAGTAGGACCATAACAGACCCATGAGTAGGACCATAACAGACCCATGAGTAGGACAATAACAGACCCGTGAGTAGGACCATAACAGCCCCATGAGTAGGACCATAATGACCCATGAGTAGGACCATAATGACCCATGAGTAGGACCATAACAGACCCATGAGTAGGACAATAACAGACCCATGAGTAGGGCCATAACAGCCCCATGAGTAGGACCATAATGACCCATGAGTAGGACCATAATGACCCATGAGTAGGACCATAACAGCCCCATGAGTAGGACCATAACAGACCCATGAGTAGGACCATAATGACCCATGAGTAGGACCATAACAGACCCATGAGTAGGACCATAACAGCCCCATGATAGTAGGCCCATAGACCAGCCCATGAGTAGGACCATAATGACCCATGAGTAGGACCATAACAGCCCCATGAGTAGGACCATAACAGACCCATGAGTAGGACCATAATGACCCATGAGTAGGGCCATAACAGCCCCATGAGTAGGACCATAACAGCCCCATGAGTAGGGCCATAACAGCCCCATGAGTAGGACCATAATGACCCATGAGTAGGACCATAACAGACCCATGAGTAGGACCATAACAGCCACAACAGACCCATGAGTAGGACCATAACAGCCCCATGAGTAGGGCCATAACAGCCCCATGAGTAGGACCATAATGACCCATGAGTAGGACCATAATGACCCATGAGTAGGACCATAACAGCCCCATGAGTAGGACCATAATAGCCCCATGAGTAGGAGCAGTAGGACAGACAAATGGCCACAGCGAGAGCAGCGACAGCGGTGTCTAAAAATGGAAACACGAGTCAAGTCTGGCAAACACGCTGAAGTCAACTATTTATGCATGCTATTCAAACGTGTATAAGTATATTTATATATATTCAGAAAAGTTCATGAAAGCACGATTTAACATTTCAAAACATGGGAGACTGGAGAGGGACTTATATGGGCATCTGCACCAGTGAAGTGAAAGTATTATTATTATTATTATCAATTTACATATATATACATTCACATTAAACGACTTCTTATTTCGACCTAGTGACAAATAAAGTGAATAAAATGTTCTTGTAATAAATCAAAAGAAAGTGAGTCATCGTGAAAGTTTAGCCCGATCACGCTGTTTCCGGTCAGCAAACTCTGCAATTCATTTAACTGTGAAAACACAAACTCACCGGGAGGTTCGGGGAGGTTTCACTTTTGCAAATGTGGCAGAAAAAGCGGAAAGGTGGTTGCACGGAAGCCTCCGCCATGTTCACGGTGAGGTGTCCGGTCCTGACGCAGAGGGTGAGGGTCACGGTGCAGAGCGGGGCAGAGACGTCCCCGGAGCCTGGAGTCACTCAGCGGCTCACGGCTCAAGTGACCGTGGCGTGCACAGAAGTCTCCCAAATACAGACTAAAGTGAACCCATTTTTACTCTTTTTCTATAATCATCTTGGATTTTCCTGTCCGTGATTCAGCAGAAAAAAAAAAATCTGCTAATTTAAGATTGCGTTGCTATGGCTGTGTTGGTTACCTAGCAACAAAGAGGTTATTTGACTTTATTAGACACGTGTTGTGTATTCTTATTATGAAGAAATGTTTACATAATTTTCCCACGTTGGCTGCTGGGGTGTATTATTTAATTAATTCACTCAAATATTCATTTAATTTAAAATGTATTTTTATTATTTTGTATAATGCACATTTTATGTCGTTTCAAATTTCAAACCAGCTGATCACCATGGCAACGGAGTATTTTGAATTGGTGCTAATCTGTTATGATCAGACAAACACATGACACATAACTCCTCAAAAGTCATCTGTTTAGACAAGCCTACTCACTAACATCATAACAACTCTCCTCTGTCCATGATGCTCTTAACTTTGTATCTTAACTGTTTTTAAAATGCACTTTTTTACTTGTAAAAGGCCTTGAGTGTCAAGAAAAGCACCTGAGAAATGAAAATATTATGATTATTATTACAATAATTATATTCCACAGCGTGGTGTGGGACCAGGCGCCAGAGGGGAAACTGTGAAATGGGCCAACGGCACAGATTGACAGTCTTACCTCGGCCAGTCTGCCCCAAGGCAGCTGTAGATGGCTATAGTCGCTTGCCACTGCTGCGTGTGGAATGATTTAACAATACAATTCCAGTCTTAAGTGAGTTTGTAGGTATGTGTAGCCACTATATGATGAATAAAGGTTTAACTCCTATATCACCTTTAGCATTACTTGGGTTCTCATACCGTACAGAAATATAATTATACATGTTATACTGCCTGGTCTTACCATATCATTGTACTAATTTCATTTCACATATGTAGGGAAATAATAATTGCCCAGAGTTTACAGATGCTAAGGCCAGGGCAGGCTGATGTTATACGGTCAGAAGTAGGAAGTAGTATGTTTCAGTCTTCTCTTGGATAAAACTGTTTACAATAAAATAAGAAAATAAAAATAAAAACAACCAAAAATAATCCAAATTGGAGGCAAAGGGAACAGACTGTACACCAGGAAGCATGTCAACACATTTATTAAAACCAAAATAGTAACTTTTAATAACACAACAACAAAACAGTGATTTTTTTGACTAAACCAACACATTCCAGTTTCAGAGTATTTTGGCAACGAGGGACAATATTCCAGGCATTCACTTACGAAAAATCAGCGAAACAACTTTAGCACTTGAAGTAGCATTATTAGCATTAAGTGACAAATGCAAAACGGGCTTTATATTATTTACAGCTTAATAAAGAATTTCCAGCACAAAATATAACAAAAAAGATTAGCTCTGACTTTATAACTTGGCACATCGATCGTTTAGACTTTACCCATTTATCCCCCTGAAATTTAAGCCTTTACAAAATTACTGTTATATGTTTTTCAATATTGTCCTGTCGAGCTTCAGCATCTGATTACCATTTCAAACTGACAATAAATAAATGCTTCTTTTAATTCAAAGGGTAAATCTGAAGATAATGGGCTACCACTGGCTGAATGAGGGAGAGGGAGAGGGAGAGGGAGAGGGAGAGGGAGAGGGTGAGGGAGAGGGAGAGGGAGAGGGAGAGGGAGATAATAAACATTTTCACGGGATGCAACATTAAAGTATCCAATCCGACTGACACCACTTTCCCTCCATAGTGACGTAGAAATTCAGTTTATTGACCAAAATAAATATTACTTTTCATATTTTAATACTCACTTTGTCCAATTTAGGCATTACAACGGACAATACCTTAATAATCTGGCAAAGTAGTTAGAAGACTCACTTCCTAAAATAAAATCCTTGTATAAACCTTGACTTTTGGCATTAGCAGCAGGGGTCTCCAGCATTTTCACCCAGGAAGGCTCTTTCAGCTGTTCACAAGACTTTTACCATTGTTCTTCACATTCAGGGTTAATGTTATTTGTTTTCTATAGCCTATTGAATCATTCTCTTGTTGTTTAAAGTACATTTGCATCACTACAAGTCCAAATAGTGCTGCACAAATTGGCTTCTCTTTAACAGGGCACAGATCAGTGGAGCTACGTATAGCATAAGTTGTCCGTTAGAACAGTTTAGTGTCAAAACAACTACAATGCATTTCCTAAAGCCTTTGGGGAGCGAGAGCTGGGGATCCCGAAACTGCCACAATCATCCTTCACTTTTTTATACTTCCAAACGCTTGTACCAGGCTGATCTTTGTAGATGAGCAAAATTAGGTTTTGTTTTCATGCCGTATGCTGTAAGTCACTGCGCTCTAGTCAAACCCAGACTCGGTAAAATAACTAATATTTGAATAATGAGGATGTGAGAGATGCGTGAGTACGTGAGGCTCGTTAAATGGACTTGCACAGTTTTGCCCCCTTCAATCAGTTGTCACGGTCTGTAATAAATAAGAGGTTCCAATGGCCACTTCTTAAAGCTGTCCTACCCAGACGTCAGGCCTCGCTCCGTCTACCGCGGCGCCGTGAACGCCCCCTGAGCCGCGTTGGTGGCAGCGCTGGCGGCGGCCGTGGCAGCAGCTTGACGGACAGCCTGGTTGGACATGACCCCGGTGGCGAACTCAGTCTGGGCCTTCTGAAAGCTGGCATCGGTCTGCCGGTACAAGCCGTGGATCTGAATAGAAAAGGAGAGATATGACACTGTCCCATTATACGCTTTGTCTGCGTGAAACCGAGACCCAGGACTCCATGAGGCTTTCGTTACCGGCTCCATGTTGACGGGCAAGAATTAAACAATGCACCAGAAGTAGGGCTGGATGATAAACTACACTAAAGTATTAATCCCATAAATAGATTTGTATTGGTCGAAAAACAACTTTTAAATACAAGCAATAGTCTTCTGAGTCCAGCTAAACCTGTCCCACACCAAGTACCTTGTAAAAGACTTTATTTACAAAATGGGATGAAACATAACGACTAATATAGATTTGTTCAACTAAAAAGGAGGTGTTGGAAATGGTTTAAGAAAGTGTATTTCTTTAACCCTCTAATGAAGTGTGTTTTTTCTTTTCTTCTCTTGAAGCTTGACTGAGAATTCTGGGCGGTCCTGGTTCTGTTCACAGGTTGTGATCGGTCTCCATGCGGCCTGTGTTTTCCTGCTCACATGATGCTAGCCCAGAGCAAAGCCACTGTTATATGTGTTATTGGATTCTATTTTACTTTAGTTATTTCCATTTGTTATTTTTCTAATAAATATATATATGTTTAACTATTTGCACTCAATTTGGAAGGGTGGAGGGATGTTAATCTACCTGTCCATGAGTGAATGTAAAATGTGGAACATTAAAAGAATCCGGGTTCGAATCCCGGTTGGAACAGGGCCTTTCTGAGTGGAGTTTGCATGTTCTCCCAGTGTCTGCGTAGGTTTCCTGCAGGTGCTCCGGTTTCCCCTACCACTAAAAACCTCCTGAACTGACCTCTCTCCAATCATCCATCCATTTTCTACCCTTTAATCCATTTCTGGGTCAGGGGGGTGGCAGTCAGAGATGCCACCCAAGTCTCATAGCACCAGCCCCTCACTGACCCTCTGCAGGTGGTGAGTCCACAGGAGGACGGCTGCTCTCTGACTGTGAGCATAGCCTTGATCTTTCAGTGGGGGCTTTGGGCAAAGTGGGGTTAAGTGTCTTGCCCAAGGACACAACGACAGCAGTCTTCAGTGGGAGTCGGTGGAGAAGGTGCAGAGGTGGGAATTGAACCCACAACCTTCTGGTCTTAAGGCCAATGCTCTACCAACTGAGCTACTGTCGAGCCCTAGTAAAAATGGATTATTGGATTCCATTTTACTTTTTTTGTTATTTCCGTTTGTTATTTTTTTTATTAAATATATATGTGTAACTATTTGCACTGAATTTGGGAAGGTGGAGGGATGTTAATCTACCCGTTTGTCATCCACCTGTTCATGAATGAATGCAAAATGTGGAATATTGAAAACGTTCAATAAATTGTGTTGGGGAAAAAAAAATAATTCAAGAAGAGTTACTTGGCTAAACATGTACCACTTTGAAATACTGCTGTCAATAGGTAGAAAAACCTTTTGTTTATTTATTTTTTATCATTAGTGTGTTGCTTTTATAAACCCATGTGTCTTTTATCCATTGTTATTTGTATTTAACCAGGAAAGTCCCATTGAGATTAGAACCTCTTTTTCAAGGGAGACCATGTTGTCAAATGGCAAATAGAAACATGGTATTTCACTATGGTACTCACTTCAGTCTACAGTACCTCCCACAGTCCTGCTGGTGCTGGTACTTAAAAACTACCGGCCTTTCAGATCTAATGGATCTTAAAAGCATTACTCACCTTCTTCAACAAGAAAATCCCCATCACGGCCTGAGCGTTGAACAGGATGGCGTTGATAATCATGATCACGCCAACTCCGATATTTGACTTCAAACCGACCAAACTCACGATCCAACCACTACAGGAAATAAACGTCATTTCAGTTTTGAGTTCTTGTGACAGAATTAGCCAAATACCCATCAGTTTGTTGCCACGGGTCACTACCTGAATCCAGATCCAGGAATCCCAATGGCCTCGAACACGGACATGACACAATGAGCAAAGAAAACAAAGAAAAAGAAAAAGAAGTTGACTGAACTGTCGCTCCTGCAAAGAAAACACACGTCGTCAGTCTCATCATCGACGCTGGATTAAGAAGAGCCGTCGTTACTCCCACCTGAAGGCTTTGTACACGGGTCGGTACCAGCAGAGGAAGGAGCACGGCGTGAAGAGGAGCCCCCAGAGGATGGCGAGGCCGAAGCCCACTCCAGTGTCAGAGCCGCCGCAGAACGCAGCCAGAGACGAGACCAGGTTCAGCAGCAGATTGGCCGTGCAAACTGCAGCAGAAAAGTACAGCGTTAACCTTTGACCTCAAACTAAACGGGCTGTAATAAGAAAGTAAGTAAGTAATATTAATGTATAAATACAGATTACTTAGATACTGTAGGGCTTTACTCATTAAAAGCAGGGGACATCGGTTAGTTGGCTCAGAAAACATTTAGAATCACAAAGATTAAGCCTCCGAGTCCAAAGTAAACAGAATAAGCTCGTCATTAGTTGTTTTTTGATTTTGCTGAAACAATAAGGTACACATGAGTTGTTCCTCTGATGCAGGAGAGTATGTTGGAAGTGTCCAACTAGAAGGACTGTGGTGATCCAGGACACTTTAACATTCTACATGTATGACATTTATCAACATGTGTTCTATATTCTGTATGTGTCTTAACTGTTAATGATTTCAATGGTTTTGTTAAGTCTCTGAGATGAAGTTGTTGTGATTTTGTGTGATTCTACGTTAGCTTCGTAGGACAATATGTGGTGTTTGACAGTGGTCCCCAACTCCCGCTCAAACCCTCACGGACATTTATGAGTCAGATTCTGAGCCTATGACAACAATTCAAAAACACGGTGAAGGTAAATATTCTTAAAAAGGTCACATGTTATTGGTGAACATGTTTTTTCATTTGGAATAACAAAAAAATACACCTAGAACCTTTAAGACTAATACATTATTCCATGTAAAATATATGTGCAAAACGCAAAGCCAGTCCTTGACCATTTGAGTCGTAAACTTCTCACAAATCAAATCGATAAAGTGACTTTTCCAGATCTCATTGAGCTTGTCAGAAAAACTCACACATCCAGAAGTAGTACATGATGGTGACGATGCGCTGGAAGTGTTGGCTGATCTCGATGTTGATGTCTTGGTAAAAGCAGGGTCCCACTGGGCAGAAGGAGGGAAGAGGAGGCCAGTTCTTCTGTCGATCTGGAGGAGAAACATTTTAATCATTGTATTTCAATATTTTCTGAGAAACATTAGAATCTTTATCGTCTCTCACCGGCTCCGGCCCCGAGGCTGTGGGCCTGCAGCTCTCGTTCCCGTCGCTCCAGTTCTTGGGCCTTTTTCTCCAACTCTTCCTGCTTCTTCAGGAGCTCTGCTGTTGTTGCATTTACAGCGGTCTAAAAAAGACAGAGTAAGGAAACTGTAGGCGCTGACCTCATCATGTGTCATTAGCTCAAAGCGACCTAATTCTGGTTGGAGCCGATTAAAAACAATCAAACGTGGCCAGGAGCAGAAAGTACAAAAGTAGTTTTCTTAATGGAAAGTTTGTTTTTCTGTTTACATGTCACTCAAACAGAGCTTGTATAGAACAACATGGCGCCGCTGCAGAGGTTCAGTGGTTTGGGCAGGTACCTGGTTGGTGTAGGAGCCATAGTTGCGAGGAGGCTCAGTGGGTGTGGTCTTCGAAGGGGGGGTTGTGGCGGGAACAGCCTGGGGGGCAGCGGGGGGAGTGGCTTCATAAGGAGGCGGAGGCTGGGGAAAAAAATACTCATGAGAAATATATTCACAATCTATAGTTTTTCTTAAAATGATGGAAGATTTCTGTCAATAGCTTTGAAGTGAAGGATCACGCTGAAAGTAAATCTCATCTCAAAGCGTGGAATCGAACTGGAATGTTTACAGATAATTATAAGTAACTCCTTTCATTGGAAAACAAGCTCACAGTTCTTGAGACGTAAATGTCATTCTGGATTTGATTACAGATTAAATATCAAAATAAACAGTGTAAAGTAAAAAATAATATTCACTTTTTGAAGCCAACTGAACACAGATTGTCTCTCATCTGTCGTCGTATTTGAATCTTTGCAAATAAAGAATTGTTGAACAAGGTCAAGTGTACCTTAATGTGGCCACTCATGGACATTGCACTGTAAGTAACAGGAAGTCACAAACTAGACATTTGCTTTGGTTCATGGTGCAACAAGTTATAAAAGTAAAAATAGTTATAATACGTGCAAAAACGTATTATAACTACTTCCACGGGAAGATGGTCAACACAGATAACGCAGCCTTGGTATTTCAGCGGGAGCTTCAGGCAAAGTGGGGTTAAGTGTCTTGCCCAAGGACATAACAGCAGCAGACATCAGTGGGAGCAGGTGGCATTAGGTTCAAAGACCAACGCTCTAACAACTGAGCCACTGTCGCCCTTTATAAAACCATGTTTTTTTAAAACATGGTTTTAAAAAACCAGTCCTCTGTCCAGGACACTCTACATTCTACTACATTCTACTACATTCATGGACATTGGTCTCTCCCAATGGACCAATACCTATCTGTTCTATATTCTCTGTGTGAACTGTTTTATTCTCTGATCTGTGTTGGCGAATTCAAGGGTTTTGTTAAGTCCTCCCAGATAACTACTGTTGTGATTTATGGCGACACAAGAATACATTGATTGTACATATGGTGCATATAGAAAGGCCTGGGCCGACGCAAACTTCTAACCAGAGATCGTTTTGTGAGGCGGGATGAGCGCTGCCCACTCACCCACCTCCACAAAGACACCATCAAACTTTAACTAAAATACTTAAATCTTGTTACACATTACAGGAAATCAGTGAGGAACAAAATGTGAGCGCTGACTTTGCCTTAAAGATTTATAGAATTTGGGGAAGCGCCACCTAAATGAGTGAAGCAAGTATTATCATATGAGGGGAACAACATATACAGTGATAGTAATATAGTAAGAGTAAATAAACTAGTCGTGTGAGGAAGTTCCCACTTTCTCAGTGACAGCTAGCGTGGTATGAAGACACAGAGATCAACTGGTTTGACATGACGTAATGTAAACAAGCGAGATCCCCTGATTACTGTTACAGACCGGCTCTACAGCAGCGGTGTTGATTCTAACTCTTATCATGTGAATATGTCAAGGTTTTAACTCATCAAAATAATTCAACAGGACTTTTCTATTGCAGCTTTTGACTTCCAAAATTGTATTTTAATTCTCTAAAGTTACGACCGAATTTAGAAATAATCATTGTAATGGGAGCAATAGTGTTTAAAGGAAGTTGGTAGAATCAGAGAAAGACTTTAAATTGCACAACTTTACTTCTAAAGGTCTGGTCCAAGGCTACGGAAAGAGTCCTTTATCGGGTCCACAAAATCTTTTTAAACCTATAATTAGAAGCCATTATTATTAACAGGACATTAACACCAGGAATTATCTATTTGATCTGTAATATGTGTGTATATGTATGTGTATGTGTATGTGTGTGTATGTCTGTAGACCCATGCACCCATCTCCCTGAAGCCGAGCAAAACCTGCAGCATTTCTCAGATTTAACTCAAATAACAACAAGATTTACCCCAGGAGTCCCATTGTCGAAGGGGTTGTACAGGTCCAAAGTGGCGTATCCAGTGGTGCTGCTGTGCTGAACCACTGCAGGGTCCTAAAACCAAAACAAAGCCTGTTATTTTGATAAAACCCTGGGCAAAAACAAACATCACTGCATGAATATCTCACTTTTACAGCTACAAGTGAGCGAGAAAGGCCTAACATCAGCCACTGCATCACATGAGCCACACCATGCCTGCCATTAGGAACCGAGATCGATCCGCTTCATATGAAATGGACTTGACATTACCTGGAATGGGTTGTCTTCCATCTGCTCCTGCGTGTCCTGGCTCTGTATGAAAAGGCGTTGGTCTGCGTGGGTCTGCGTGGGTCAGATTCGTCAGTACTTGCTGCGGTAAACTTGTCGAACAGCAGCTGGCTCCTGTCTTCTTCCTTATCACGCGTTTGGTTCCAGTCCAAGAAATGTCGAAACGCTTTGACACAGATTTATTTATTTTAATCTTGTAAAAACGCGTAATGTTTCGCTGCTAGCTGTGACAGACTGTGAACTATCGGCCAGAGTACGCAGCGTTAAAAAATATAGCTGATGTTTTCGGACGCTGACTTCATAACCGGAAGTTAGTGCGAAACCACGCGGTCATGTGACAGCTGGGAGCGCGCGAGGGGCTGGGGTACTTCCGGTGTTTTAAGATAATTTCATTTTTTTTTCTTTTTTTCTTTTTTTATTAATATTTATGAATCATACATGCGTAAAAGTACATTCTATTTAGATATTATTGACGCTGATGGTAATACCTTAATAATATAATAATAGTAATACCTTATTTATTTATTACTTTGTTCGTAATTAGCATAGTTTTTTCACCACATCAACCGCATACTTAAAAATAAAGCTATTTACAACTATCAGTATCAGTTATGATTACAATGAGAGCGTTATTAATACCTGCAGTACTATTAGTTACCAACAGGAGTCAGCCGTGCGCTATCCATTGCCTCATTTCCTCACTTACAATACATTTTGTTTCTCCCAACTGAAAGAATGTTGTACAAGTACAGTAAGACCAACACATAAAGTTCTCATTTATTCAGAAAACATTTTATCTTTTGCATAAGAGCCCCGTGAGTCACTCTTTGAATCAGAATCAGCGTCAGATTTATTTATATTGCCAAGTCACAAAGTAGGAAATTGCAAGGTTCACACAATAAACATTGAGGCTTTGGGTTGACGGGTTTTCCGTCTGAAAAAAAGCTAAATAGGCCACGAAATGGTTTAGGGTCCATTGTAGCTCAGTTGGTAGAGCATTGGCCTTTGGTCCTGAAGGTCGTGGGTTCAAGCCCACCATAAGACCTACTTCACGACTCCCACCGATGACTGCTGTCGTTCTGTCCTTGGGCAAGACACTTAACCCCCCTTTGCCTGAAGCTCCCACTGAAAGATCTCAGCTCCTGTGGACTCACCACCTGCAGGAGGATCAGTGAGGGGCTGGTGCTCTGTGACTGGGTGCAGCTCTGACTGCCACCCCCCTGACCCAGAAATTGATTAAGGGGAAGAAAATGGATGGATGAATTTATTACAGTTCAAATGGCTGTGGTTTGAAAGTTAGAGGCCCATTAACTCATTACTGGTTTCCTGAACCATCTGGTGGAACACTTTTTGGATTATACTCGGATTATCTACTGCAGTGTCTCCCAAAGTGGGGTCCGCGGCCCCCTGGTGGCCCGCGAGGGTACTGCAGGGGGGCCGCGGGAGGTCATAAAAAAAAATATATATATATATATAATTATTTAATGTTAAATTTATAATGTTTTGTTTGTAATATTAAAATATTTGTGTTCATTATTTGACTTGAATAATCCACTGTAATCATTTTTGTATTACAATGTTTGTAGCAGAGGCTATTTCCCCAAAATAAAATAACCAGAAGAGCCTATTCTTAATGTTGTCTTCTTGGTTATTATTTTGGGGGGCCACGCAGACCCGTCAGATTTTTAAGGGGGCCTCGGTGTTACTGAGTTTGGGAATGGCTGATCTACTGCATCCCAAGTATTTGGTAAAGGCCTATTATTAAAAACTAGGAGTTAAAAAAAACCTAAAAACCTACAAAACAAATTATTAGTGTTATTAGGGCTCCTACATACAAACATAAACATTGCTTTCTTCAAGGAGTGAACTTTAAAGGGTTAAAAGGCATCGTCTCATCTGTGTTTGAGCTGGACCTTCTGTGAAGCTGAGGCGTAGGCGTCTGAAAACTAATTCACTGGAATTATTAATAGAAATAATCATTTTTCGCAGGCTGCAGTTTCCTGAAGTCACATGGGTCACATGACAGCGGTCATATGATTGATTACACAAACAGGATCCGGGCGTCTGAAACCTACACGAGCTCGATGCCAACACTTTGAGTATTAACAGTAACAGTATCCATCTTAGGTTACTTATTTTATACTGGTTTTTTTTGTTTCATAATTGGAGGGAAAATCTGGTTTACTCAAATATCTGCCAAAATCTTTTGAGTTTTTCTGATTTTAGTGTAGGTAGGATTGTTTTATGTTTATGTTCCCCCCCGTAAATAAATAGCTTCTCATTTTAAAAGAAATACATTGTAATGCTCTGATTGTAACGAAGTACTTTTCCAGATGCTCCTTGTTTACAAAAATGTGCATTATTCATGTCTGCAGCCACGGATGTCCTGGGGCAGACTGATGGAGGAGGGACTACTTCTTGACTTAAACCTTGTAAAAGTTAGAGCGGTGTCTGTTGTGTCCCGTGTGAATAGACACGGACACAACCACAGTTTGGCACTGTACAGCCGCAGCCGCCCCACTGTGGCTCCTGGTGTTCCTAGAGGTCTCCCATCACAGTACTAACCAGGCCCTGCCCTGCTTAGATTCAGAGGTCTTAAGGGATCTGGCTTTCGCATGCAAGTATGGCCACCGTGAACAAATACGAATCTGGAACTTTTTACTTTATATTTTATACTATTCCCTTAATTTCAGTGTAAAGTATAATAAAAACATATTACAGCTTAATTTTGCACTAATAAAAGTCATAAACATCTTTTACCCGCAGTCTTCATCTCTTCACTGTTTCTCCAAGTTGGTGTATTTCAGATGATTCACTCTTTCCTGGGATGGGATTGGTCCAAATGGCTCCTAAATCAAAACCCGTGGCTCGAGGCCCCAGAAAAACCGCAGCATTCTTGGTCCAATGGAGCAACATGAAGCTGGATGACATCACCGTCCCTGGAATGAGCCGCAGAGCGAGCGGTGGAACCAGGAGCACTCAGGTCGAGAGCAGCCCACGGGTCCATGAGTTCATTCAGACTCAGATCAGCAGCAGTTATTCTTCTGTGGTTGGTCAGATGTAACTAATTACTTTTTCCACGTCACTAACCCTTTACTATTAAAATGTGTTTTACATTTATATTGAGAAAAACGTGTTTGGCCTCATGCGACACTCAAAGGGAAAATATATTTTTCCATCAACTTTGACGTGATACGTTTGTAATTGACACTTTTATAATTTAGTTTATTCTCAATCACAGTCCATAAAAGTACATTGTGAAAATGAAACTCCCAGAAGCAGAAGCTTACAGGTGCACAGGTAAAGGCTGTGCTCCAGCTTCACACAAAAATAATGAACACATTTAAAACACATTTTAACGAGGTCTCGGAGTGAAACTGACCAAAGCCACAGTTTTTGTCCCATTTGGTTAAATGTACAAACCTGGGTTTGGAAAAGGCTCTTGTTGTGAATAAAAACACTTGAGATTCTCTGACGAACTCTGGAAACTCTGTTAAACCATAAGGTCCTCAGGAAGTGGCTGCAAAATGAGAAGTGAAGGGCCATTCTCCACAGAAGTAAGGACGAGGAGGGTCCTCAGACTCTGTGAGTGAGCGACAGCTGGAGCTGGAGAGGTCCTGAAGGATCTGAGTGAATGAAAGTTTAGAATGTTTTCTTAATGAGCGCAGCATTCATCGGTCTGTGCCTTTTCAAAACGTATTTCATTTATTATTCTGTGAACTGTCAACAAAAGGGTTTAAGCTGAAGTTTAGTAATTATAACATTCATTAACGTCCCTTTATTATTCCATTTCTGGGTCTGGGGGGTCCCAGTCCCTGATGCTACAGGGGGGGGGGGGTCTCATAGTTTTCTGTGAATTGAACTGAAACAAAGTATCTTTAGGCGGATTCAAAGATCAACCCTTTAATCTAAAACACTTGAATTATCCACAGACTTAATGTAGTTTCTATCACAGAGATCTGAGTGAGTTTGATTAGACAAAGACGTGAGAGAACCGACTGTGGGAAGAACCCGGAGAATGATGTAAGAACGGGATCAAATGAAGCCAAAATCATCGAAAAACATGAAAAAGACAAAAGAATTCTCTCCTTATCTTGATTTGAACAATCAATCAAACTTCTTTCTCAGGAGCAGCGGGTCCATGTGGTTTTTACAGGTTTTTATCAGAATCAAAAAGATGATTCTGTTTCTCTTTCTGTTTGTTTTAAGCCAAATATTCACAAACTAATATCATTGTTATTATTATTATAGTTATTATAATCATTGCTATTATTATTTATTATTTTTTTTATTTTTTTTCATTATATCCTTATAGTAATATGATATTCTAATAAGTCTCTACTTCATCCAACCCCTTTTTGAACCAGGTACAAGTTCATTTGTCTGTTCTATGGATGTATGTAAAAATAAATATTGTGCAGGTTCGAAACGAATAAATAAATACATGAATTAATTAAATAGTTGTTAAAAAATAATAATAATAATAATTAAAAATAAAACATGTAAATAATGAATTGATTATCGAGAAAATAATAACAAGAAATTATTATTATTATAATTCATGTAAAGTTGAAATCTGGTTTGAGCTATTTTTGTGTTTTTGGTGCCGGTTAAGCGTCTAATTTGTAGATTTCTTTGTATAATAATGAGTCAGGAGTTTAATTGTTTTTTTCATCCTGCTCCTGTACTGTGTAATGTTGTCCCTGGATTATTGGGCTATTTTGTTACAATACCATAAAATCAATAATAATAATAATTTCCAGTGACAAAGACGTTGTTCTCAGATCGTTCACATCGATCTGTTTAAAGAATATAAAATAAGGATCAGAGACACAGAGCTGGTTACTATAAAAACTGTTTATTAATCACTATAAAAACAACGTAACGGACACAAACTAATTACTAAAAGTCTTAAAAGTGAAATGATCAACGACGAAAGTGTCTTGTTTTCAGTCAGTGCAAAGTTAAAACTACGAGAGAGAGACACAAAAGTGACGGAAATGCTTTTGTTAAGATAAAAAACTATGAGGAGTGAGTTCAAAATAATGTAATGAAGGTTAAATGTGGGAAGGTGCTCCGCCAGAGATAATGGAGAAAGTCAAGAGGAAAGGTCCGAGGTTCTTTGACTTATCTTAAAAATACTTAGTAAGAAAAACACGGTCTCTCTCTGGTCTTCATCAACGCAAGATATCTTTAATGTTGCTCTCAATTCACGATTACTGCTTCCAAAAATGTGTTTCAACCATAGACTCTGTATTTACGGCAGTAGTCACGCCTATCTACGCCATTCTAACTAATGGGCCAAAAAATGGGCTTTCATGGAGTGATTCAAAATGGCCGCGGGGGCAAAAGGTGAAAACCCGAATCCATTCATTTAAACGAGAGACTTTAAAAATTCACAGCGACTAAACTAGACTGGTCCAGAACACTCAGCATTGACACACATGTGGAACGGAGCTTTGGGCCAAGAGACAACTTTTGGACCATCCTGTAAAGACGTTTACCAGAGGTAAGAAGATGCTATATGTTAGCATTGGCTAATTGTTATTCCGGGTCCACCCCCACAGGCCCGGGGTGGTACTGCAGCATGTCAGCGCACGTCATTTTGGCCACTTTTGAGCCGGGACCCTCCCTCACTGATTTCAACTTAAAAACTCACAGCACTTTTCAGAAACTGTTAAAGCTCGGGCACCTAACTTTTAAACCAGACCCAAACCACCTGGAAGTGAAATTCTGGGTCCAGGCTCAATTGTAAACAAAATGACATTATTCTCTCTATAATGTAAGTATTTCTACATTATGTTTTAGCATCATTTTAACAGCTCTAAACCAAAACGGCTGCAAACGTTAGAATAACATGAACTTATTTATTTAATTTTTCGAATCATGTTTATTTTGGTTGTTGTCTATTTACATTAACAGCCCCATTACGCATTCGTCTGTTGCCATGGCACCCGTGACTCTGGCTTTTTGCGTGGACTGGTCTGGGATCCCTTTCGACCCGAACACTGGACTTTTCGATGCGAGACTGAAGCGGAAACGGGTGAATGGAGAAAGCACTGAAGGCACCGAAGTATTTTATGAGCAGCCTTTTGTCATTTCCTTCATTCCCGCTCATAAACTCGGGTGCAGACCACGTCCCCCGCAGTCATCGTCTGAAAGGAACCAGCAACAAAACCTCAACTTTTGAACTTCAAACAGGAAATGCACTGGTCCTGAGCGCGGAGGTCGGCAGGTGGGGGGGAGGAGGTGGCGTTGGGTGGGGGTCAGGTGGGGGGTAATACATACAGAGTAACATGAAGGTTTGCTATGTTTTTGTTGTAATGCAAAAATGAACAAGGTTTCTATACGGTTTCTAGACTTGGCTTGTAGCTTGCATTTGTGGAGAGTCTCACTTGAACTTTCAAAAATATTTATTATGTGTTCATTCTAAGGATATTTTGAGGTTTTTCTTAAAATGTTCCACAGTCTGGCATTGAACCCAGGTAGAAATGATGAAAAATAAGTCAAAAATTGCTCAAGTTTGTCAAAATGTGGCTTAACTTGAGCACATTCTGACTGAGCCTTAAAACAAGATTTTCCAACGGGATGAAGCAAAATGATCTTGTTTTAAAAAGATACAGAAATGTCTCTCTTGGAATGATAAAAGATAATTTATCTGGAAATAAGACCAATTGGCTTTGTCCTATTGGCGAATGTGCTTTGGATAAAAACTACTTGATTCAAGCAATTATTACGTCATATTTTATCTTTTTTTTGCAGGGATTTTGCAAAGTCGGACCCGAGATTAAAGTCTGCTTTGGTTGAAAAAGTATTCTGTTAAATGTGTTAATTCTATGGCTATATGGATATGTTAAGGTTTTATTTTATTTTATGTCTTATAGTCTGGCATTAAACCCAAGTATCTATAGGTGTAAAGCATAAATAATGACAGAGAATGCGATTTTCTGGATATTTTTCTCATTCTGTCTCTCACAGTCAGGCCTCCCTCATCTTTTTAAGTGGGAGAACTTCAGTGGCTGACTAAATACTTTTTTGCCCCACTCTAAGTCAATAGGAGCCACAGAGAGATGGAGCAAACCTTTGTCCATGAGCACTTCCCTATTCATTGAGCTAGCATGTTAGCATTGTCCATCTATGGTCAATGCTAACGTCATTTCCTTCTCTCTGCGACTCCAACCATCGTAAGAATCCGTGCTGCTTTGTGCAACTACACAACACACACTTGCAAGTTGAGTTACTTTGTGTATGATTTGTGCTCTACAAATAAACTTGCCTTTCTCTTCCATTTGAAGCAGCCCTAATCATTGAGCACTCCCTGAATCTACCCACTTCCAGCGGCTCACGGACGCTCTAACGGTGCTTACCAGGATAAGTTCTCCGTCGTTGGTCATCTCTCTGGTCCACGAAGTCTTGGGTCCGTCTCCTTTCTGCAGAGTTTGTTCACAGCTGATTTTCTGATCCGTTTCCCACTTTGGAAAACTCTGCAGGAATCCATTACAGAAACACGTCAGACCAGCGCACAGTCGACCCGGGGTCACAGCATTCCTACAGTTCATTGTCAAAAGTTGTGTCCGTCACTGAGCTCATAAAAGTGGACCCCAGGCCTGCTCCACTCGGGACCTATTGTGTGAATAAGACTGGGAGTATTGTGCTGCAGGGGCAAAAAGTGAACGGGAGGTTAGAGAAACATGTCCAGCGTTCAGGGATTATGGAACAGAAACCGACTTTTGTGTATGTGAGAAAGTGTCTGTGCCTAAAGGTCTTTAATGGTAAGCCCCAGTTACCAAATGTAACTAAGGGTCTATGAATATGTTGCGGAGCCGAACAGAGCCAACATTTGAAGTAGAACCCGGAGAAACCGCGGAGAGTAACAACCGTTGTTTGCTAATCACAATCTATAAATGTAGCTTCCGCAGTGTTACGGAATACATGTGATCCCATTATGTATTCAGAATACTCTTTCTGAGTAACTGTATTCCATTACAGTTACTACTTTACAGTCCATTGTTTAGAATACAGTTACTTTCTCAAAAACCCGGGAAAAAATAACAAATTAAAACATTGCTTATTCTTAAAGTGAAGATTCTAATTTTTCTGGTTGTTAAATGCAGCTGTTTAAGAATTCTACAAAAATATTTTAAGTTTTCGGAATACAGGTACTACTTTTTACATCATGAAATCATTATTTTTGTATTCCCGCTCTTTACTCCATTCACTTTCCTTCATGACATATTGAGATTTCGTCGGCGGCTCTGGGACATGTTTATCCTTTAGTTTCACATCAACACGTTTTTCCTGCACTTAAACCCATGACGGCAGGAATCAAGAATGAAGCCCAGGCCTGAACCATCGCAGACAAATGACTTCCATGTGTTTGTGGATCTACAATAATTCTGCTGCGTCTGGTTTTCACACAGTCAATCTAAGCTCTCATTTATTACAAAGTTTACTTCAAGATTTCAATCCAGAAAATGTAAAGTGAGCGGGACGACCACTACATGTCCGTAATTGTCCCGGATTATTGACTCTCCTGCATCAGCAAGAAACAAGGAACCTGTAGTATTTTCATTGGTACGTGTGTAATAGTATCCATCCATCCATCCATTTTTCTTCTGGGGGCAGCAGTCTAAGCAGAGACGCCCAGACTTCCCTAGCCACACACACTTCCTCCAGCTCGTCCGGGGGGACCCTAGGCGTTCCCAGGCCAGCTGAGAGACATAGCCCCTCTGTGTCCTGGGTCTTCCCCGGGGCCTCCTCCCGGTGGGACGTGCCCGGAACACCTCCCCAGGGAGGCGTCCAGGAGGCATCCGGAACAGATGCCCGAGCCACCTCAACTGGTTCCTCTTGATGTGGAGAAGCAGCGGCTCTACTCCGAGCTCCTCCCGTGTGACTGAGCTCCTCACCCTATCTCCACAACGGTCCGATACAGCGGCCGCATCACTGCGCACGCTGCACCTGTCAATCTCACGCTCCATTATGATACAGTAAATAGTTTCTAATTACATATAGTATATTGTCAAAGTGTAAAAGTCCTAATCAATCCATCATTAACTTTCTCAAACTGTGTATCAGAGCTAAACTCGATGAGCTAAACCACAACTCGGCTAGAATAACCATATACATTAAAAACTTGGAATTGATTCAAACGGTGGTATCTGTGGTGAGTACCGTGCAGGGGCGACCGTCCACCGTGGCCTCGCTGAAGGACTGTCCCACGGTGAAGGAGACCAGCGTGGTGCGGACGCTGGTGGAGGTCTTGATGGTCAGAGTGGAGTCCTGCTGAGAGATGTCCACCGAGGGGCTAGAGGCCGCTGTCACCGCAATCTTACGTAAAAACATGTTCACACCTGGAACAGACGAGGACCAAGACAGATCTTTATGTGAAATGTGAACGGACGGAGTTCAGTTATACTGTAAATAAACTAAAGGATTTATTCATGGATGACATCAGGAGGAGCTTTGTACCACAGGGAGCTTTTCTTTCTATGGATACTTAGAGAATTAACCACAAACTCTGAGATTCTGCTTCACTTTTATCTCTGCACCTTTGAAAGTTTGGTGACATCACAGGTAAAGAAAGGAGAGCAGAGAGAGAGCAGAGACCGGAGAGAGACCAGAGAGAGAGCAGAGAGAGACCAGAGAGAGAGCAGAGAGACCGGAGAGAGACCAGAGAGAGAGCAGAGAGAGACCAGAGAGAGACCAGAGAGAGACCAGAGAGAGACCAGAGAGAGACCAGAGAGAGACCAGAGAGAGACAAAAGAGAGAGACCAGAGAGAGAGACCAGAGAGAGACAAAAGAGAGAGACCAGAGTGAGACCAGAGAGAGACCAGAGAGAGACAAAAGAGAGAGACCAGAGAGAGAGACCAGAGAGAGACAAAAGAGAGAGACCAGAGTGAGAGACCAGAGAGAGACAAAAGAGAGAGACCAGAGTGAGACCAGAGAGAGACCAGAGAGAGACCAGAGAGAGAGACCAGAGAGAGACAAAAGAGAGAGACCAGAGTGAGACCAGAGAGAGACCAGAGAGAGACCAGAGAGAGAGACCAGAGAGAGACAAAAGAGAGAGACCAGAGTGAGACCAGAGAGAGAGCAGAGAGAGACCAGAGAGAGACAAAAGAGAGAGACCAGAGAGAGAGACCAGAGAGAGACAAAAGAGAGAGACCAGAGTGAGACCAGAGAGAGACCAGAGAGAGACCAGAGAGAGAGACCAGAGAGAGACAAAAGAGAGAGACCAGAGTGAGACCAGAGAGAGACCAGAGAGAGACCAGAGAGAGAGACCAGAGAGAGACAAAAGAGAGAGACCAGAGTGAGACCAGAGAGAGACCAGAGAGAGACCAGAGAGAGAGACCAGAGAGAGACCAGAGAATGTGGTGAAAGGTGAAATATTTATAATATGTAATATTATTATTATTTAACAGTGAATGCAGTTTGCTAAAAAAACGTACCATTTCTACCACTGCCACGACTAGAACAATCGTGTTTAGAACCTGGACCTTTTTTTACCTACAGATTTAAAGGAGCAGTGTGTAAAAATGTGGCCAAAAGTGGTACTGCAGCCTCTCCCACTCTCCCTGACTCAGGGAGTCCCAGATATGCAGCTGAAATATGCAGCTGGAGCTGAAAAGTCTTCGCTGGTTTTGATTGAATGTAGAGAAATGTAAAAGTTTCCAGATACTTCGGTGGTGATTTTCCCCCAGAGAGAACTTTGACGTTTTAGCTTTGGCTCTTCTTTCACAGCAGAATGTTTTTATTTCAACCAATTTCCTAATGTTTATCCAATTCTGCTGATGCCAAATGACTTTACAACCCAACCATTCAACAGTTTTCTTGAAGGCGTTCCCACTTGGACTAAATCACAAACAGGTTTAGTTTGAAGTCTTTCTCAGCAGCTGGAATGTGTCGTATCTGGGATTATGAATGATTCTTTTGTGTCATATAAATATATTTGAATATGGACTGGCTTCATCAGTTGGATTCAAGGCACAACACGTCTCCCTCTTTCTCTTTTCCACACCCAGAAATTTTACCTACACCCGGTTTGCAGCAGTGATATAATTGTCATTCTCTAATGGACAGTTAACTTTATATATAAAAAGTAAAACAAACATGGTAACAGCAAAACAAGTGAATTTTAGGAACAACTTGGTGCAAAGACATCTCCATAAAGGAAACAGACTCTATACTCAGGAGGATGGCTGCTCTATGGTAGAGCCTTAATCTCTCAGTGGGAGTCTGTGGAGACGGTCTCATAGTGGGCTCGAAACCACAACCTTCAGGCTCAAAGACCAATGCTCTACCAACTGAGCTGCTGTCGCCCTTCACTCCATACTTTTGTCTATATATTAGTTTAATGTAGTGATGTGCAGCAGATGAAGCCCCGTAACACACCGAGGCTTTCTTTGCCAGATTGTTTCAAATGTGTCGATGCCTCTGAGTTCATACTAGTTTATAACACTGACATCTAGTGGACACATTAATCATTGCAGCTTCTGAATTGAGTGCACAGAAAACAAGGCACCACAAATCATTTACACTGTAGCTAGTTAGCCTTATCCACTGAAAGCAGCCACATCAAGGAAGCGTGATCTAACTCTCTGAACCAATGAGAAGCCGGGAAACCTATTGAGCCAATGAAACGCTGTGACACACCGAAGCAGTGACACACGAAGCGAAGCAGCTGCTGCAGAGTCCGAGACACTGACGCATTTGTCACGTGACCGGTTGTTTTCCAGAACCTCAGTGTCAGTGCCATAAGAAGGAAGATTACAGCCAAACAAAAAAACGTCAATCTCAAGACCCTCCTCCAAATAGGCAAGGTTATTTTTATAGCACAATTCATACACAAGGCATCATAAATAATCACAGTACACTAAAAAGAAAGATACAAATATAAAATCCTTCACTTGTTTTTAACCTGGATTCAAACATAGAGAAGAGGCCTGTCTCACATTTTCAGGAAGACTGTTCCAGATTTTAGCAGCATGAATCTGAAATGCAGCCTCCTCGTGTTTAGTCCTGACTCTGGGACCAGCACAAACATGAGTTCATCAAGAAACAAGGCGCTCACATAAAAAACATGTTTGACTTTATACTTTAAACACACGCACCGTGGATAAAACATTCTAAAGCACGACTAAATCTCTTTCATAAATATGTTCGTGACCATCACCGACTATAGACTAGATCATGCTGCAACACAAAACTCTACCCCTGAGCCTTTCCCTGTCCTGTGTTCGTGGGCAAATAATAAGATGTTGTCTCAAATCTCATTCATCTCTGTTTTATGAACTAAAGCTGACATAAAGTCCTCTTTAAGCCATGTGGCAGGTCAGGGGGGCCCCATGGAGGTGGAGGGGGGCCCCGTGAAGGTGGAGGGGGGCCCCATGGAGGTGGAGGGGGCTCCGTGAAGGTGGAGGGGGCCCCGTGAAGATGGAGGGAGGCCCCATGGAGGTGGATGGGGGCCCCATGGAGGTTGAGGGAGGCCCTGTGGAGGGGAGCCCCATGCAGGTTGAGGGGTGCCCTGTGGAGGTGGAGGGGGGGCCCCATGGAGGTTGAGGGGGGCCCAATGGAGGTGGAGGGGAGCTCCATGTGGAGGGTGGCCCCCTGGAGGTGGAGGGGGGCCCCATGGAGGTTGAGGGGGGCCCTGTGGAGGTGGAGGGAGGCCCCATGGAGCTGAAGGGGGGCCCTATGGAGGTGGAGGGGGGCCCCATAGAGGTGGAGGGGGGCCCTATGGAGGTGGAGGGAGGCCCCATGGAGGTGGAGGGGGGCCCTGGAGGTGGAGGGAGGCCCTGTGAAGGTGGAGGGAGGGCCCCATGGAGGTGGAGGGGGCCCTGTGGAGGTGGAGGGAGGCCCTGTGAAGGTGGAGGGAGGGCCCCATGGAGGTGGAGGGGGGCCAAAGTTACTGATGGCTTTTACAAAAGTTATATTAAGAAAGAAGTCAGACCTAAACAGACTCTGAAACAATAACTGTGAAATATTTATTGAAAATAATTATATCAATGGCACGGTTAGTTCTCCAGCTTCACTGTCATGGGTTCATTTTCCCCTCCAGGTTTCCTCCAGGTGCTCCGGTTTCCTTTACCATTAGAATTTTTTTTTATTTAAGATGATCTTATAGCATGCATTTTCATTTCAAGTCCTCATTTAAGGGCCCTAATCTGTCCTCATTTAAGGGCCCTAATCTGTCATCTTTAAAGGGCCCTAATCTGTCCTCATTAAACGATCTTAATCTGTCGTCATTAAAAGGCCCTAATCTGTCCTCATTAAAGGATCTTAATCTGTCGTAATTAAAAGGCCCTAATCTGTCATAAACTGTTCTTTTCCAATACTTCTTTAACAGATAACAATAGTTCAGAGATATTTGAATTTCTAAATTACTTTTCCAGCCTCTAAATCTTGTTATTGTTTTCATTTCGATGTCCCGCCCTCCACCGTTTCACCAATCAGAAAGTCTGTAATCCGGGCGCCAGAACTCACCGCGTGGAGTTAATCTCACTGGTAAAGTACCATGTGGCGCAGAACTAAAAAAGTAAGTAATGTTTATTTATAATAGCGCATTTTACAGACCAAGGTACAGACCCAAAGCACTTTCCAATGTTCAGAGTCAGATATTGTTCCAGTCCTTCCACACACGGTGATGACAGAAGCGAGTCCAGAACACACTGGTCCATCAAAGCCTCTGACCCAACACCATCATTCACTCTCTCATTTACATTCAGACCTATTGTGCATGTTTTTAGAGGTAGGGGAAACCGGAGCACCCGGAGGAAACCTACGCAGACACGGGGAGAACATGCAAACGCCACTCAGAAAGGCCCTGTTCCGACCGGGATTCAAACCCAGGACTTTCTTGCTGAGAGGCGAGAGTGCTAACCACTCAGCCACCGTGCCGCCCAAAAAGGTCTCGTTATGATTTTCAAATCATTAACGACAAAACAAGGAATAAAACCAGGATTTCTATCTTTGTGAAAAAGGTGTTGGTTATAGATTTGTTGTTGACTAAACTCTTGTCTATTCAGTCATTATGGTCCCAGCTGGATTCGTCTGCATATCTGGCTGGAGGCCGGGGAGGAAGCCGGGGAGCTGAAGGGGCCCATGTCCAGGCTTAGTTCCGTTTACACTGGCTCTAATTACAACCGCATGAGGACCCGGCTTCAGATGAGTCCAATCTTCGTTCCTCCATGGCCTGTTTGTCTTCAGATTTTTAATGGATGCCACTGGCTGCCCCTGCACTGACCTCCTCACATCTCCCAGAGCCCATCGTCCCGTCACCATGGGGTCCGAGCCCATGAGGTTGGTTCCAGATCTCGGGGACCACACTACGAGAACGCTGACCCTTGGGTTTAGTGGATTAGAAAAGTCTTGGGCCTCTGACAGACTGATTGGCAGCTCATTACGCAAGCCATATGGGTTTTTCAGAACTTGGGTTCAAAAAAGTGTACACTGCATATTTCTGTCGTTTACATAAAGAAAAAAATGTCCTCTTGGTGAAAGCTGCTGTTGTGCTCTTGGGCACGACACGGAGCCTGCCTCAGCCCCAGTGTCTGCGCTCACGGGTGAATGAATGTGATCTTTCAGAATCTATTTATCGGTGGAGTCTTGGTCCAGACGGGAGGATTCTATTGTACTTGAAACCATGTGCGGACTCAGGGAGAATTTTTGTTAGGTTTTATTCCTCTTGGTGCATTTTTTGTTATTGGTGGTCAATTTAAAATGCTGTAAATTTCCCAAGAGGGGGAAAAACCTAGATTTTTATGGCACTAAAATAAAACTTGCTTTTCAAATTACGCTAGTTTGTAAAGAGCAAATAATGTAGTTATTTTCAAATGGTACAATTATAGGAAGAACATGCAAATGCCCATGAGGTAATCCCTATTTTAAAGCCTTAAAAGTTTCTTTTTACCAAGTACTATTTTTAAAAAGCCAGCAATATCTGAATCTAGTTTCACCCAGCCTGGTCTTACCACACCATAGTACTCATTTAATTTGGTACTAAGGTCTGGATTGTCTCCATTGACTCTGTTAACAGGTGGGAGGGGTTAACTTCTTTAAAGATTGAAACCATTGGATCTGAGTTTACTGTGACGTACGTAATGAGCCCGAGTGAGTGAGGTGTTTACTGTAAGTGTAGGAAATGATCATGGACCAGAGTTAATGAATGACACTCACTCTGTCAAAGACCTGCTTCACGACTCCCACTGATGACTGCTGTCGTTGTGTCCTTGGGCAAGACACTTAACCCCACTTTGCCTGAAGCCCCCACTGAAAGATCAAGGCTCCTGTGGACTGGATCAGTGAGGGGCCGGTGCTCTGACTGCCACCCCCGACCCAGAAATGGATTAAGGGGAAGAAAATTGAGTTTTTCCAGGACACCCTTCATTCTTCTACATTCATGGACATTGGTCTCTCCACATGGTCCAATACCATGTGTTCTCTGTGTTTGAATCTGTTGTTGGTGAATTCAAGGGTTTTGTAAAGTCCTCTGAGAAACTGCTGTGATTTCGGGCAATACAAGAATACTAGTTTGAGTTGAAAAACCACATATTTATATTAAAAAGACACAACTTTTACAAATGATCCGTCACCAATTCTGACTTTCTTAATAACTTAAAACTGATAAAAGATAGCGGCTTTATGTACATCAGAGACATTTCAAGGATGGCCCAAAGCTTATGTAGTAAATTAGATAGAGACATTTGCATATTATGACATCATACGGCGGTGGCAATTGTGGATTTTAATTTCATGTCATTAAGACATGAAAACACACAGAGCTCACACTGTACCACACTCAAGGGTTGGGGAAAAATAGTAAAACAGAAGCAAATCATTGTGTTGCAGGAGTTTGAATTAGGACACCCCTCCAGACCAGAGCGGAGAGGATTCATGGTCCGAACCATGTGGATCAGATGAAAACCCACTGGAGGAATGCTAACTTTTCGAAAATTGCTAATGAAGCATTTAGCATTTTACTTTGGACCAGAGCAGAGAAAATGGTCTGAAACAAGAGGCTACTCCACCTTTTGACCTGTCCTGCTCCACCCAGAGGCTACTCCACCTTTTGACCTGTCCTGCTTCCACCAGAGGCTACTCCACCTCTGCTGCTGTGACCCGTCCTGCTCCACCCAGAGGCTACTCCACCTCTGCTGCTGTGACCCGTCCTGCTCCACCCAGAGGCTACTCCACCTTTTGACCTGTCCTGCTTCCACCAGAGGCTACTCCACCTCTGCTGCTGTGACCTGTCCTGCTCCACCCAGAGGCTACTCCACCTCTGCTGCTGTGACCTGTCCTGCTCCACCCAGAGGCTACTCCACCTCTGCTGCTGTGACCCGTCCTGCTTCTGTGACCCGTCCTGCTCCACCCAGAGGCTACTCCATCTCTGCTGCTGTGACCCGCCCTGCTCCACCCAGAGGCTACTCCACCTCTGCTGCTGTGACCTGTCCTGCTCCACCCAAAGGCTACTCCACCTCTTCTGCTGTGACCCATCCTGCTCCACCCAGAGGCTACTCCACCTCTGCTGCTGTGACCCGTCCTGCTCCACCCAGAGGCTACTCCACCTCTGCTGCTGTGACCCATCCTGCTCCACCCAAAGGCTACTCCACCTCTTCTGTTGTGACCCGTCCTGCTCCAGCCAAAGGCTACTCCACCTCTGCTCCTGTGACCCGTCCTGCTCCACCCAGAGGCTACTCCACCTCTGCTGCTGTGACCTGTCCTGCTCCACCCAGAGGCTACTCCACCTCTGCTGCTGTGACCTGTCCTGCTCCACCCAGAGGCTACTCCACCTCTGCTGCTGTGACCCATCCTGCTCCACCCAGAGGCTACTCCACCTCTGCTGCTGTGACCCGTCCTGCTCCACCCAGAGGCTACTCCACCTCTGCTGCTGTGACCTGTCCTGCTCCACCCAGAGGCTACTCCACCTCTGCTGCTGTGATCCGTCCTGCTCCACCCAGAGGCTACTCCACCTCTGCTGCTGTTACCTGTCCTGCTCCACCCAGAGGCTACTCCACCTCTGCTGCTGTGACCTGAGGCTGTTGCTGATTATGAATATTAAAATCAATAAAGTATCTATCCACTCAGCCACCGTGCTGCCCATTGTCGAGGTGGCTCCTAAAGGGTTAATCCGCTTTGTTTGGTAGTTGGTTTAGTATGTGCCGATCAGTCATAAAGAGCCGGTGAACTGGTCGCACCGTCTCAAAGCCAAAACCAGCTATTGTTCTTCTCGCCAAGAAACCATCAAAGCAAATGAGAGTTTTTCCGTCTCATAATTTCATCCTCCTTCACTCACAGATCCTACAGTAATCCTTTTTTCTGGCATTGGCACCGATAGCCACTGTTCAGACACGTAAAGAATTAATATATTATTCCAGCATGAGCACCTTTGAGCCCATAACGACTGACGGAGAGGAAGCAGTGGGACAGATTCAGATTCATTCATTTGGCATTTGCAGTAAAACCACAGTGGAATAACTCTGCAAAATTCTGCAAAAGACACATCATACAACAGCAAGAGTGTTCAATCTAAAATCAATCAATTGTTTAAAAAATAGACTTTGTTGGGGATTGTAATTGCAGCTAATATTGCGGAAAATTATGTTGACGTTAAAATATGAAAAATTAGACCTCAAAACTACACAGTATCAGGTAATATAAGCTTAATTTGGATTATTATGGTAGAACTTTAGAATGTCTTGGAAATATTGTCAACTTCAGCCTTATCTCCACAGAAGTATTTTATTTGCTGTTAAAGCTGGGGCACCTGAGTTTGTCCCAACAGAAAGAGACGAACTAAAGTCACATGCAGCTTTTTTCTCAAAACATAATTGTGCTGAGAGCGGATTGGCTGCGTGAGGGTGGTCCTCTCTTTGTCCCTGTTCTGTCTGAAAAAGGTGATTCAAAGATGATGCAGAAGCCGTAAATACATACATGTGAAAAGTAGAGATAAGTGTTTTGAAAGGAACTGGCTTCATGGATTTTATTGCATGTTTTTGAGGTTGAAATTTAAGAAACCCGGCTTTAAGTCAAGATAAATTCAACCTAATTCAATTGACTTTTTCAGTATAGGGATAACTTTTGGAAACTCAGACCCAGACTCTTTTATTCATCCCATCAGGGGCCATTTGTTTGAGCAGCACAGAGCATAAAAACATAAGAAACACATTAAAAACACGGGAAATGTCAGAGAGTAAGCGATACAATATAATATGAAGTGGAGCCTATGCAAATATATTTAACAAAATACAAGAATTTACGCTCAAACATCAAAGTCCGTGTCCCCAACAAGCTGCAGAGAGTGTAGTGTAGTATCACACACTGACACAGGAGCAAACACATCCATTATCTACTCACCGAGCGCCTTCAAAAGCTCCTCGAAGTTTTCCGAAGACTTCATTTTCCATTTGCCTGAAAAGTCTGCGTACGTTCTCTCCATGTCTGTGCAGCCGTGTGTGTGTGAGAGCTGTAGGTGTGTGTGGCTGGTCCTGCTCTGTCCCTGTCTGCAGCCCGGCTCCTGTGGATGTGAGGCAGAGAGGGGGGAGAGAGGGGGAGAGAGGGGGAGAGAGGGGGCTCTGGGAGGGACTTCCAGCCTCTGTCTCTGCCTCCTTCTCAGCGCGGTGGTGAAAGATTTGGATACCAGCTGAAAAAATGCATTTTCCAGTAAGTGGTTTGATGTTGAAGACAGAGTGATAATTAATTTCTGTTTTCATGGCTGTAATTCTTGGTCTTTCCTTTTGGCTTTCCTCCTCTGGCATCGTCATAATCAATCACATGTGTCCGGTCACTTGCATGTTCATCTAACTGTGGAATGTGTTGGCTGCTAAAGACATGCGTGGTCCCCAACCCTGTTTGCCCTGAAGCCCCTCGTCAGCACAGACCGAGTCCCCCCCCCCCCCCCCCCCCGAGGAGGGTCAGGCTCGCTCTGGTCTGGTCTGGACAGAGGGCTCCAACTTTCTATTCGTTCAACCAAAGTTTCCGCTCATCAAATGCATCTGTTTTTACTCTCCACTACATTATGTCGTTAAACCAAATGTTTGCTTTAATTTTTCTGAGCAAATAAATTACATACTTGGAATAATAATAATAATAAAGTGTCTGTTTTATAGATTGATTAGGCTTTTCTGGACCCTCAACGATGCTTACACCGTACTCAGTGGTGATGAGCTCCTACTGTAGCCACAGCTGCCCTGGGACAGAAGCGGTGCATCCAGTCTGTCTCATTCACTCACACACCACACTCATTCTGATGTGGGAGAAGTGTCTTGCCCAAGGACACACTTCAGGTCACAGCCGCCCTG